GCTTTCAACCTGAATGAAATGGTTCCTCAGCGAAATGTTGCAGACCATCTGCTTCAGCTATACCTCGACACTTTCGAGACGACATATCGAATCCTGCACCTGCCAACTTTCTTGAATCAGTATGCTGATTACTGGGCCAAAACCCAGCCAGTCGACCCTGCTTTCGTCGCTCAGTTACTCGCCGTGATGGCTGCTGGCAGTTGTTTCTATGTCCCACCTCCAGGCCAAGACGACCGAGACATATTCCAGAAACCGGCCATGAAGTGGATTATGGCTGTCCAGTCATATATCTCGTGCACATTTGTGAGCCCGGAGATCGACTTCCGAATGCTCCAGACCCAAACTCTTCTTTTGGTAGCTCGCCTCGGAGTCGCCAGTGACGGGGATGTAGCCTGGGCCTCAGCCGGGTCGCTTATTCGGTCTGCGATGACGATGGGTCTGCATCGCGATCCGACTCGCTTCCACAAGGCTCGGCCATTCTATTCTGAACTGCGCCGTCGCCTCTGGGCAACTATCGTCGAGCTGGACCTCAAGATCTCTCTCGACCGCGGCGTTCCGCCGTCAGTTGACCTAGACGAATGCGACTGCGATCCACCGTCCAACTGGGACGATACGGACTTGATACCGGACATGGAGAATAATCCTGCTCCCCTCAGTACTGCCCTTTATACCCAAAATTTCTACCAAGCTCTCCTCACCAAGACCCTCCCACTGCGCTATCGCATCGCTAAAAGTATCAACGCTCTCCAATTTATTCTATCCTACGACGACGCCCTGCGAATGGGTGATGAACTCTCCCGCTCCATGCAACATGCATCCTCTCTATTTGACGACAACGCCCTCAGTATCGCTCCGGGAGAATCAGAACGTCACCGATTCGCCCAATCCCTCCATCTCTTCATCATGCGCAAATTCCTCCTCGCCCTCCACCGCCCTTTCTCACTCAGTGTCGCTCGCCTACCTAAATGCTCTTACTCCCGCAAAATCTGCCTCGAAGAATCCCTCGGCATTCTCTCCCAGATGGAACTCCCCCTCTCGACAGATGACATCCTCTACCCACACATCACCCAGCTGGGCAGCGGTATGTTCCGCGATGAAACCTTCCACGCTGCAATCACCGCCTGCGTAGAGCTGTCCCTCCAAGCGAATGAAATGAGTACGTCTGCTACATCCGGGATGGATGTTGTCAACTCCAGCGTGCTCATGAGCATGATCCAGTCCCAGCAAAACGTGATGATGCAGGCTGTCGAGCGCACCGCTGAGAATTTCGGGAGACGTATTGGTCCCGGTGGGAAGGGGTGCAAGCCTTACTTCTTTTTGAATATTATCCTCGCTTCGGTCAAATCGCGCGTCAAGGGTGAGGATCCTATGTGTAATGTTGATGCGGTCTCGAAGAGGTCCGTTCGCATTTGCAAGGAGATTCTGAATGGTCTTACATATCAGGAGGCTAAGATTATTGTTGATAATCGCCCCGTTCAGGTTGGTATCTCCGCTTATAGCTGTGTGTCTACCATGCCTAATTACGTTCCTGTTCAGACTTCCATTCCTTCGGGGACAACCCCGGCCGCGGCTACACCGAGTGATATTGATCCTGCATCGCTTTTATCGACTGACTTTAGTGATTTTACGGTAAGTTATTCTTTCTCGCATGTTGTTCAGGGCTGTGCTGACTTTTCCCAGCCAATTGATCTAGGAGGTTGGTTTGATGGCTTAGATTACACTGGGCCGGAGTTGTGGGACTGGGATGCCGGCTTGTCCAGCAACCTTCCGATATTCCCATGAATTATGTATTCTTCTAATGTTAATGACAGCGCTTGATGCCCTGTGACCTTGTCTCTACTCTTCTTCTCAAACTCCACTCTCATGACCAACTATATATCCTTTTTATCAGAATATGTTGTCAGAACAAGGAGATAGCCTTTCTAGGCCATGATATCCCGTAGTCACCTATCGCACTTCCTCCTACCGCAATACGTATGTCATGGATTTCGATGTATTCGAATATTAATTTGAACAAATAGTAACCATCTGCAACCTATATCATCTCTAGAACGACAAGCCAATTCAAACCCTCAAATCCCCTCTATCTCTTTCCCAGTTTCCTGGCTGACAATCCGCGAAGAAACCCGACCTATATACTTCTTCCTTGAAATCGAAACATAACTCTGAACCAACCTATTCAATCACAAAGATTAGCCAAAAGCCCTTCATAGATCAAGCCCAAAGGAACTATACTCACGCCTGATACCGCTGAATATTCCGAATCTCCACCCCCGCCAAATCCCCCAGAGCATCCTGCACGTCCCGCACCAGACTCACACACCGTCCCATACTGAAATCCGTCCTGACAACAGCCCTCATCATCCCCATTTCCGTACAATCAGCTGCCATGGTGTAAGCAGGCACAATCCACCCCCTTTCGCGCAGTTTCCCCGCAAGCGCCCATTCGTCGAAGATGACGTTCTGCGCTGGACTCAATCTGAATGCCACGACTGGTAGACCTTGTCCATTCCCTTCGCTCATAATTATGAAGCCCATTTCTTGCAGTTGGCTGGTGAGGTAGTCGGCTGTTTTCGTAAGGTTTCTCATAATGCTGGTGTATCCGCTTCGACCGAGTCGGATGAGTTGGTAGTACTGGGCTATGATGTGGGATGCTGGTTTGGAGAAGTTCATGGTGAAGTTCAGTTGGTCGGAGCCAAGGTAGTTGATGTTGAAGACTAGGTCTTCGGGGAGGTACTCTGGTGATCGCCAGAGAGCCCAGCCGATTCCGGGGTAGACCTATGCAGATTAGCATACCGAGCTTGTATTGGAGATTGAGTGATTAAGGAATGTACTTACAAGTCCGTACTTATGTCCAGAGACATTGATTGAGACGACGTTGGGTAACTTGAAATCCCATACTAGATTCGGGTTCACGAACGGAGCCACGAATCCACCGCTGGCGGCGTCCACGTGAATAGGCGTGTCCAGTCCTTTCTCAAGGAGAAGCTCACTGATAGCTTGCACGTCTTCGTACTGGCCCGTGTACGTGGTGCCGAGAATCGCGCAGATTCCAATGGTGTTTTCATCGACCATGTCGACTGCTAGAACTGGGTCTATCACGTATCGCGTCTCGGTACATGGGACTAGCTTCTCGGCGATATCGAAGTATTTGGCTGCCTTTTCCCAGCAAACTTGCACACCGCTACTCATGATGATGTTTGGGTTGGAGGCATCTTTCCCCTGGGCTTTGCGGTTGACTTCCCAGCGTTTCTTCATTGCCAATACTGCGAGCATGATGGCTTCGGAAGATCCAATACATGACGTGCCAAAGGCGGTTGGATTTCCTTTGGAGACTGGGGAGTGGAATATGTCGGCGAGGATGTTCAGACAGCGGTGTTCGATTTCGACGGATTTGGGGTATTCTTCGTGGTCGATAACGTTCTTGTTTGATGATTCGGCGAGTAGTTTGAGGGCTTCATCTTCCTATTATCGTATTAGTGTCGATCAACTGGAAGATGAGAGATTGAAATACCATATATGTGGTCACAAAACTGGCGAGGCTATAACAATATGTCAGTCCTGTTTTGGGATAATTGAAGAACATACTCACTTCAGGATTGGCTGACCATCCAGAGCCAAGTCATCTTTGATCATCTGGTACGCCACCTCTTTTGGCATCCCTCCGTCCGGAAGCTGATGCGATGGCAAAGCCATTGTGGCGAATCGAGTGCCATAGACATAAGAGCAGTCGCTCGTCTGGTCAGAAAGCGGCTTGGATAATCCTTCTATAGAACCCATGATGCAATGAAATGATGAGATATGTAGATTCGAATTGGAATACTGAAATTAGGATACTAAAATACTGATCAACTAGCCAGACTGTCTTGAATTTATATTCGTTCTCACAAGTTGTTGCATGCTGGAAAAATATCTCATATCTAAATCGCGTGATAGAGAGCTATGAGGCATTTACACCGGACATCATGATCCGCGCTTTGGTAAAAAGGGGGCTTCGACGCTGTTTCAAGTTGGGCTCTGCATTTCTGTTTCTGTTTCTGTTTCTGTTTCGTTTCTTTTTTAGTTTGAGGCATCTATATGACAACGTGATGGACAGCACAACAAGAATCTCATGGTACACTCGAAACTATCTATATCTGAGTATCAGGGGTACCTACATGCCCCACTTAGGACAAGCCAAGACTTTCTAGAAGATATTGGCATCGTGATATTACAGTTTGAAACTATTTTCGATATAAATATGTTGTGTGGTTGATTTGGGAATGATCCCTGCCATTATTATCATCCCTTGCTCTAAAATTGGAACATTCTGGGCCTGGATCGCAGGGCGCTTATAATACAAAATACATACCCCGTGCTCCGTTGCTAAACATGCGATTATTCATTTGCGACATTTAGTTAACGGGTTTCTCTTTCTGGTTAATTAGCCCCTGACTCGTAAGTAAATGTTTAGACCTCCCACCTTCTCGGGTTGGCCGGTAAGGGAAAATGGGGGTGGCGCAGCACAAAAAAAAAGTACTTTTGTAATGATCAAATGCTTCTTACACTGTGTTGTAGTATGTCAGGCAGCAAGATATTGGAATTGGGACAAAACGTAGATAGGGCTTAGGTGTTAAATGGTGTAAATTGATTTTTACTGTGGCTTTCATCTATTGGATATCTAAAAGTCACACGCATATCCTATTATCTCCTATTCCCTCTCCTAACCTTTTTGTGAGAATGGAACTTATTATGTCCATTCAACACAGTTTGACATGTCCCTGAGCGAAAGTAATTGCCCTCAATATATGACGCGTAAACAGTACATCCCTTGCTCTCCGGGATGTATGCAAGCTGCAGATGAGGTAGGTCAACAAGATAAGAGACCTCGAATAGTAGTTTCAGACACGAAAAGGGAGCATTCTTCAAGGAAATCATCATGTAGGCATTCGCGCGATTTACAAAGGCCCGTATCACTATTTTGTATTCTGTTCATAACGTTCTTCGCGTGCGGGAACATGATGCTACACCCAATTCTGGATATTAGTAGTCTTAATGTTGTTCTTTCATTATCAGGTAAGACCTGAAGTACCGTGTTTAGTAATATTTTCTGATTAATAGTTTTAGGAATATACGTCTTGATTTTTGGGGTTATCGCTTTGAAAATCAAGCAAAAATGGTACCTTGGTGAAGTTTGTATGCTGTCGCTCAATCCTGTCAAATATCGGTCGCTGATGATATTCAGTACCCTCTTTCATAGTCGGGGCTATCATAGGACCCTTCGGCGCGAAGTTGATCAATGTCAGTCAGTGGGGAGGAGAGAACGACAAAGATAGTGGTGAAATTGGTGACATTGCCTATGTAAGTCTGTTCACTGCAAAAGAGAACACCAAGCTAATTATACTAGGGACTAACTCGGTTGGTGATTGGCATCGCTATGGTCAAAGTCGGTTACGAGCTACCGAAACGATACATTCGGCTTCATCTGGTCGAACTCACCATTTGCCTACTGCCATTGATGACGATCCAGTGGCTGATGACGTCGGCATGTATCAAATTAATGATCCCTAATCTATCGTTTGTGCGTTCGTTTTCTTCAATTCGACATACGCTCACACTGACCTTCACGCAGCTGACTTCTCTCATCATCGGATCCTGTGTCATATGTATCGACCCGGTGCTCTCACAGGCTATCGCAAAGGGCCCTTTCGCAGATCAATACGTGCGACGACACCTTCGAGAATTTATTTCAGCCGAGGCAGGTGGGAATGATGGATTTGGTTTTCCCTTTTTGCTTCTCTCCATTGCCATTCTTCGTTATGCCGATACCCCGAGTACGGAGACAACAGCTGGCCACGGCAAACAGAGCCGAGACTGGATTGGTGAGCCGGATACAGGTCGATTTGGTGGTGATGTTGGTCGAGCATTGGCGCATTGGGCTGTTGAGGGAGTGCTATACATGCTGGTTATGGGCGCTGGGTATGGGGTACTGGTCGGGTTTCTGAGCCGGAAAGCCTTGAACTTGGCCTCGAAAAGGAATGTATATGTATGCCATCGATTCAAGAAACTGGCTAATGATATATGCAGACGTTGGATTGATAAGGAGAGCTTCTTTTCATATCCAGTTGCGCTGGGTGTAAGTCATTCTTGAGATACACTGAAGTATACGCTAAGATGATCTGCAGTTGTTTATCGTTGGTACCTGCGGCTGTTTTGGCTCTGATGAAACTCTCGCCTGCTTTATTGCCGGCTGTGCATTAAACTGGGATGGGTCTTATCATTTCGAAGTCGAAGAGAGACATGACTCCTTCAACTCCACAATCGAAAATATCTTGAACATTGGAACCTTCATGTTCCTGGGTGTCTCCATGCCATGGGACCAACTTCACACATCCAGTCAGAATGGGATCACCATCACTCGACTGGTCGGGCTCGGACTTTTGATTCTGATATTCCGTCGGATCCCGGCGATCATGATGGGTTATCGATTCATGCCTAGGGTGTGCGAGAATTGGAAAGAGGCCTTGTTTATGGGATACTTTGCCCCAATTGGTATAATACCCAGAAGAGGTTTTGGTTTTCTATGTCAAGTGCAATACTAACCAGCTTTAGGAGTTGGCGCTATTTCGTATGTTGAGTATGCGCGACGATTGCTACCGGGTCCTGGAGAGAGTGATACGGAGATCAACAACTTAACTGCAGCCATGATTCCGGGTATGATATCCATCTACTTAATGATAATGTATACTGACCTTTGATTTTAGTGGTATATTGGCTTGTCTTCTTCTCCGTCGTCATCCACGGGCTGTCTATACCCGTACTGGACTGCTTCTATAAGTGGTTCAAAGTCCCTACTATCCGAGACCACCCGGTGGAAATTATTCTTCTGTCCGAAAACGAGCCTGTTCCTAACAATAGTGTGGTGAATCGCCGTGGCCACTCGGTTATACTCAATAACCGGTTTTCCTGTGCCTCAAACCGGCGCCCCTATTCTGATTCTAGTGATCAGGACCGCGAAGTAACAGACACGATAATGTTACGCAGTGGGGACGCTAGCTACAGGGGCTCGCTGGAAAGGGTATCGACGAAAGGTTCGTCGCGTGAACTGGAGCAGAGTGTATCTGCCAGAAATGTAGTCTGAGCGGTTGATAACGGGATTTGTATATTAAGAACATCCTTGGCAATTTGAAACCCCTTTCACAAGAGATGGCCATGAGAAGGATAAACCTACCACATCTTGACAGCGCTTTATCCCAAATGCGGGGAGTATTCTTCGTTCCACTGGGAATTATATCAAGCGATTTGACAAGATGTAACGCCAGATAATAGGATCGTATACTAACTCTCCCTTTGTATCCCAAATTAAATGAACACCTGACTGGGTAAGCCATATTTGACGACTCCAGTGCTGAATTGTGATAAATTGTATGACGAATAATGAAATGAATAGTTGGATCCCGGTTCTCAGGTGAATATTTATTGTCCATCAAGACTACACCTGGGCAGATGAAGGTCAGGTTCAAAATCATTTATGTAATGTAAGACCTATACAGTACACGTAAAATGCTCACCCAATTCCAAGTACATGTACGGACTGTATCGGTAGTTACATTTATATACTCTGTATGCTTCGGATACCGGCATATGCATCTAAATCCATCCCATCTCCCATGAGAAGATTGCCACAGCATTGATAGAAGGGTGAATCTCTATTTTGCTTTTAGAATCCATGACTACCAGAACAGCTTTGCTAATCCATCAGTGCTAACATTTCCGCTCAAAATCAGTCCCAGGTCCCAACCCTTCTCGCTTGCTTCCTTCTCTACCATCTGCCTAAACTCTTCATTATATAAAGCCACCGCCAGTGACACTGCAGCAGCAGGCTCTACCACCATCTTGAGCCTCTCCAATATCAGCCTTGTTGGTTCGAGAATCTGTTTTTCAGACACGGCAAACATGCCATCCACGAGCTTTCGCTCGTAGATGACGCTCCAGGGGATCTCGCCGACAACGCCGATCAGTCCATTTGCGATGGTGTTGGTGTTGACACTTGTGACCCTCACGCTCGTGAGGAACCCACGTCGACAGTCGTCAGCACCTTCGAACTCGGGCTCGGCACCAAAGACCCGAATAGACGTCTCCTCGCAGCTGAGCGCAGTACCTGCTCATAATCCGCCACCGCTACAGGGCGCGTTGATGGCATCGAGATTATCCGCTTGCTCTTGAAGCTCCAGGCCGGCAGTGGCTTGTCCGAGGATGATATCTGGATGATTGAAGGGTGGCACAAGACGGGCACCTTTATCGGCAACGATCTTGGCGGTGGTAGTCTCTCGCTCGAAACGTGGGCAGACAATCACGTTCGCTCCATAGCCATTTGTAGCTGCGATCTTGTTCGGCCGCGTCATGTCAGACATGACGATGTACGCCGGGATGTCACTTTCCTCAGAAGCGAGAGCGAGTGCCTGCGCATGATTACCTACAATGATGAGATAGAGGAGATAAAAGTTTTATCACCTGCGCTAAATCCGACGACGCCTTTTTCCATGCCGCCACTCTTGATGAAGCTAGGATCTTGCTTTAGCCTCTCAATGGCGTGGAATGCACCGCGGGCTTTGAAAGCTCCTATGCGCTGTAAGTTCTCACACTTAAACCATAGTCGGATGACCTAATATCAAAACATTCAACCCATATCTCCCTACTGCCCTCGCCATAATAACCAACGGTGACTCTGTGACTGTGCCTTCCGGTAACCACGGCCTCGCAAGCTATCGCCACGGCCGCCTCGCTTCCACCACCCAGGTTCGCACTCTCTATATATCCAGTACAGCCTGCAGCACTCTCCGGGGTCAAAGACAACGGAGACGGAACTTTAGGCTTCCAAATCCGGGAACAGACCCTGGCCACTCTTTACAACATCGAGGCTACCACCAAGCACGCCAGTGGTAACCGAAGCGGACTCGGAAGTATTATTGACGTAACGGCGTTCCTGCCCAACATTCATGTGCATTATGCTGGCATGAATGCGGCGTGGAATAAGTTTTACCCTGATACTGAGTGAGCTCCAGCGAGGACAGTGATCGGAGTCAAGGATCTGCCAGGTCCGAAGATGATTGTTGAAATCAAATGCATAGCGTTGGTTAGTAGGAACTAGGTGCGAGGGTTATTTACAGACTGAGTGAGAGATGACGCAAGATGAAGCAGTTTCATGTCTAATACCTTAGGCATCAACACCTTCATTTGATTCGACGAGAATGTCACATTCGCCACATTTGCTCCACATATGATCCGGTGGGCTGACTGTGCATCCGGTGGGCTTGAGCATACTTGTGTTCACAGGGCAATTCTTTTTTTATTTCAGCTTTCTAGTGATTGAATATGCCCCAGTTTCAATGTCAAGTCCCCGGCTGTACCTCGAGCTACCGTCGTAAAGAACATCTCCGACGTCACGAAGCGCAACATCGTGGAAGTCACCTTCGCACATGTTCTATCTGTGACCGCGTCTTTTCTCGCAGGTAGAGTGATCTGTGAAGTTCAGACCGGCTTCATTTAACAATGAATACATATACAGTGACAGTCTTCGACGTCATATTCGTCGCGATCATGAAGACCCCGGACGCTCTCTCGTTCGCGCCACACAGGCCTGCATAAGATGCCGTACGACTAAAGCACGGTGCCAGGGAGGCTTGCCATGTACAGAGTGTTCCTCAAAGGGACATTTGTGTCGCTTTGATGATCCGGTCCACCTTGAGCCTGCTCAACCAGATCCAGAAGAAGAACTTTGGGAGTACGGCAGTGGAGATGATCGGATCAATACTGCCATCGGGCATATCGCTCAAATGGATCATTATATACATCTTTACTTCACACGTTTTCATCAACACTGGCCAATTCTGCATCGACATACCTTCAGTGTCGCTGACGAGCCCCAATTGCTGCTCCAGGCAGTGATAATGATTGGTCTCTGGGTCAGTGGGAGCCCGGCAGCGCAAGAATGTGCCCGGAACTTACACTCCAAACTGAAACTGGCGATTTCGGCACAACAGGTAGGTTGCTCAAAAGCATGACCTTTTCAATTCATTAACCGCCGATGCGCAGGACAATTGGGCACGATCGCCCGTGGAAGGAGAGCAAGATAACGAAGGCTTAGACAGCCCGATTTCACGATGGCCAATTGCAACGTACCAAGGCATTCTTCTCTGTATCATATTCTCATTACTGTCGACCCCGATTAGTCTCGAACTTAACCTCAGCCTGGTCCTAAGTGTCTCCGATCGTCAGATCTTTTCCGCTCTGGTCGCAACCTGTCTGAGGAACAATATATTCTACTACCCTAACATGCTTACGAGGTACCGAAATGTGGAGTCTCTTACCTGTGTGTGGGTGGGGGTTGAAGAAATCAAAAGGTTTGGTTTGGCCTTGTACAAAGTGTCTCGGCTTTGTGGAAGGGGGAGTTTAGGAGAGTCCGATGAGACCGAGAGTCGAGTTTTGCACCTCTCCGATCTACAGTTCCCTATGCCAGACGAGAAGAATCTCTGGGATGCTAGTTCGAATCCGGAATTGGCTCGACGTCTGTTGATATATTCTCGAAGAGATAGATCGGACGAACCTGGAGTTACCAGTTGGGTTTCGCAAAGTGGAATGTTATTAGAAACTGATGAGAGTTGGTGGAATTGAGCCAATGGAGAATTTCTGACTTGAAGAAAGTTATACTGCGTTATATAGCTTGTTCACCGAACCGCCTTTTGTCACAATAGTCTCATTGCTTTGAATCTCGATACTAAAGCGGTGAGAACAAAGCCCAGGGAGAGAAATAAAGCGAACACCAAGAACCATATTCTACTTTTTCTATCGCAACGCTGTTCTAATGACAGGTTTGTCGATAATCAACCCATACAACACCTCGCACGAATACTCTACAATGTGAGGAGTCTCTAATTTCATCCAAAAAGGTCTTGCAGAAAAATTGACGAGACCGGTTCAATTTGGACAACAGTATTGAAATTGTTCATGTAACTTATGTATGTAATAGACCGATGTCTAGTTGATCTCACTTTCAGAGACAATTGTGGCAAAGCCATCGCCCAATTCGCTAAGAACCACACTGACTACAGACTCTGCGTCCGCACCAGGAATGTTGCGATCGCCTATAGCATCACGCACAACGACCACATCATACCCAAGTTCATTACCAGCACGGGCCGTGGTAGAAATGCAAACGTGAGCCATGTAGCCAACTAGCACAATCTTCTTGCCCACTTCTCCTAGTCCTTGCAAGTAATCATGAAGATCGGTCTTAGCAAAGGAGCTAGGGAAGTTCTTTGTGACCACCTTCTCGTTTGGCTTGGGCGTGAGCTCCTCGAATATCTGCGCAAGAGCACTGCTAGGAGTGAAGACGGGTGCACCGGCAGGTACTCCGTGCACGACGTGAACGATGTTGCCGTTGCTCTGTCGGTATTTTTCAAGCAGCTTGGCAATGACCTTGCGAGATTCGGCGACCTTCTCAACGGCGAGAAGGCCTGTAGCGTACTCGTTTTGAGCGTCGATGATGATCAGAGTTGAATCAGCAGTGGAGGCGGAAGAAGGGCGGATGCCGATGAGTTCACGGAATGATTTGACGGAAGACATGATGAGAGATAAGAGGTCTGAAGTTTGTTCGAGGTTTGAGTTGGGAAGGACGATCAAGTATAGGTAGTATAGAAGTGTGATGCTTCCAGATATGATGTGATATATAAAGAGGGGAAATATAGTGGGGCCGGTGGGCTTTCCCCGGCCTTTACAGCCCACCGGGGCCGTTTTAGTAAGAAGTAGTCTAAATCCGGACTATGTTACAAACAATAAGGGGGTAGTTAACTAGATGTGAATGAATTAGATCAGCCCTGGAGTATCCGAGGTTTAGGTTACATCCCGAGGTCGTATCTACTTGATATTGGACTTGTATTATTTAGCTTTTTTGGTATGTTATTTCTATTTCTATTTCTATTCTTATGATTAATGTAAATTCTACATTGCATATGTCCGTTGGAATGCAGCAGCTTCGTATAAATACAGATATGTTGGGTTCCAGAAATATCTGTAAACTAATACCAGCGACTAACAATATACAGATGATAGTAGGTCTGCGAGTTTGTCTCTTCCAATAAAGAACCCTCTCCCCATCTTTCCCTAGCCTTTCCATCTAGTAGACGAACTAGCAAGGCTCAGCTTGGACGATGGCTGCTTTCCACTGGCAAATGGACATGATGATAATAGAAGTGTGGTAAACGTTCGTTGATTTATAAATGCCGAATTTTGCAATATTTCAAAATTGCACCTGGGCCGCAAGGTTATCTTATTGAGAACTGATTCACAATCATCACTCGACCTAAGACCTGGATATTGTTCATCCGGATAACCAACATTCCCCAACTGGGAGGATTTTGAGACGACGCACTTATTAGACTCACCGGAAAATGGTTACCCGGATATCAGGATTACTGATATGATAGGGCATAGTTGTACCTAGTGGTAAGCTACCACTTCATTGCTCTGACATAGAACTATGCTCTGGTGCTACTAAGAATGAGGCCAAGATGCAATCAGATACTAATTCCATGAGGTGGTGGATGGCGGTCTAACTAGGCTAATTGCAAAAAAAGTGACGAAGATAGGCTAGTTATGGTATCACTTCCTATAAACTAGACCTATGCTAGACAGTAACCCAATTAGGAAGACCAGATATCAAATCCCCGACTTTTCCGAGTCTTTCAGGCACAGCATTCCGATTTCTCACGCTGGAGACCATTTGTTCCCTGTGAAATAGAAAGACGACAGAAACATGAAGCAGAAATGGGAACATCCGCAGAGGCTAAAGCTAGTTCTTTCTGGATGCCAATAACCTTGGCCTCTCCAATTTTCCCGGCCTTGGTCAAGCATTCATGAAGGCCATGAAGGCCCCAAACATTATTCAACCTTGCTTTGCGCCTAGGTAGGCTGTCGCTCAGTCCAAGGTCCTCTCGGTATACTAGCTCTGCTTCTTCAAGATGACCTTGTTCTAAGAGTAAGGCACCCAAAGCATGCCGAGTTGGCTGCAACCAAGGTGGGGGATCTGAATAAGGGAGAGTATCTTCCAGAGCAACGGCCTCTCGCAAGCTGCGAAATGCAGCTTCAAAATTTCCCTCTCTATACTGGATCTCACCTTGCAGCATAGCCGATGCAACATTCAGTACATCGGCCTCCAGTGCCGGCAGGCTACTAAGACGGGTTCTTGGTACAAGGGCTTTCGCTGCCTCAAACTTGGTTTGTTCGAGCTTGGCTTTATCAACCTGACCAAGCACCGCAAGTGCAATACCTCGACCATAATAGATCATACTTGTTGTGGAACAGTACAACTGCTTGTCCTCGGGTATCGGAAGATTTTGAAGAATTTCCCCCCAGCGACCGAATCGAACTAAGACATGAACAACCGCGCCGAGAAAGCTCTCAGCCCAATCTGCCATCGGAGGACTAGAAATAGCAAGCACCTCGCTGGTAAGTATTCCAGGCAGACGATTTGCCGCAGAGAGCGCTTCCTTGGAGCGGCCAGAAATCAAGGCGCTATACAGTTTCACGTAGATATTGTGCGCCCGATATAACTTGTAGAGATTGGTTCCTTCTGACCGAGCAAAGAACGTATCATCGGAAAGCATAGCTTGGTGATTCGAGTCCACGGCTCTACGATAATCACCACAGGCGATATCGATGTGGGTTGGCATATGTAGCATATGGGATGCCTCGGGCATTAAAAAGCGTAGCCGATCGGCTGCGGGCAGGGCGATTTCTGGATAAGGGGACATTTCCATCAAATGAATATAGAGATGGCATAACGCGGGATGTTCGGTGCCCCCTGGAAGGGTCATCGCCTTCTCGATTATCTCACGAGCCAGTACGGTATGATGGCCGGTAGGCTCTCCGGTGTTGAGGTTCCACAGAGCACGTGGAGTAAAACACATCAAGGCTTCTGCCGTGAGAGCGGCAATATCCAGATTATCTGAAAGCTTTTCATACACCGGACGCATAGCCTCCCCGTAACTTCGATCTAGAGAGCGAAGGTCCTCGGGTATCACATCCGATTGTGGAAATCGAGCTTTCAATGCCTTGATTAGAGCAGATTCCACTGGGGTTTCTTGGGTAGTGTATGTTTGAGCTTTTTGAAGAAGCTGTCGGGCTTCGGTGGTCGATTTAACCAAGTCAGAGCGATCAAATCGAATCCAGGCCTTGTTGTAGTTCGGCCCAATAGCATAAGAAAGACCCCAATATGCCATGGCACAAGTTTCGTCATGTGCAATAGCGTTCCTGAAGCAACGGGCAGCTTCTCCATGGTTGAAACCCTGGGCCCAACGATATCCACGATCAAACCAGAGTTGACATTCTGGAGAGCTTGTCTTCACGGGTAGTTGATATGAACCGAGATTATAGTATGAATCTTCCGACATGTTGAGTTTGTTACTGAGGGCGTACAAGAGAGCCAAGGTGGGGGGTTGGAAAGTGCGGAGAATGGATGTGTAACTCGAAGTTCTAAATATAAACTCGAATCAGATGGAAATCTTTACCCCCTTGGGTATGTACATCGCCGAGTAGAGGGGACGGATTCGGCGAACTTCAAAACATGCAGGTGTATGTCAGCCTGAGAATAGGTAACATCCTGTGAGAATACAGCTTTTTGGCAGAGACCCGAGATATTAATCGTGTACACCTTACGCCTGTGGTCATTACCATCTATTCTATACGGCTTATACTCCACAAAGTTTCAGGTCTCGGGACGATGCCCAGTGAATCCAAAATCCTAGCCGCTTTGTCCCTTTCGATATAAATGTTTCTGATTCATTTGATTCAGTATATTATAATCAGTTTCTCAGCCAATCGGAGCCATCCATACATTCTCGACCAATAGGATACTTTTCGGATCAATCCGAGAATCCAAGGTCCGTTGTGCTCCCGAGGTCTTCATTTCCCTATTTGTAATAGAATAGGAGGGAAAGCACAGGGACTTGATGATCAATTTTGAATACTTAATGGCCTAACTAGGTAAGGGTTTGACAAAAAGTATTGATCAAAGTAAACACTTTTTCAACGGCCTCTGTGATAGGGAAATGTTTGACGCCTTCCAATACCTCCAGCTTGCAATCGGGTATTGCCTCTGCGATGGGCCGCGCACATTGATCGACTGGACAAACCATGTCTTCCGCGCCCTGAATAATCAGACACGGCACGGTAATTTCTGAATACCGGTTGCCGATATCGTAGGCAAAAAGAGCCAGGGCATTGTTTCTGCGCGTGTACCCCGGCCACTTAGCTGCCTCGATCGCAAATCGGTGATCTAGACCCATGTTGGTGTAGAATTCAACACAGGCGGATGGCACGTCGACGGAAATCGCAAGATGTTCAGCTCCCAGACCTTGGTTTCCGATAGACTTGCCGTCGAAGTAGGCTGCAGAGCTGATGATGCCGGATACGCGATCGGGGTTTGAGAGGAAGAAAGCCGAGGCAATGTTTGTCCCCATCGAATGAGTGACAAGGATCACCTTGCTATTCAGGTTGAGAGATTCTAGAACGGCGTGGAGGTCCTCCGCATGACGTTCAATGCTATAGGCAAGGGCAAGTTCCGGCTTTGACGAGCGCCCAAAGCCTCGGCTGTCGTAGGCGATGCATTGATACTGCAGTTGTAATTTGTTGATCAGAGGCTGCCAGATATCGGCAATGCCCATGTATCCGGAAACCAACACCAATACTGGACCACTGGAACCGGTCTTTTCGTAGTAGATCTCTTGTTTATCGGAGGTGGTTGTGAAAGGCATGATGATGGCGAAGATTGAACTTTCAATATGACCGTGTACCTTAGATATAAAGAGCTAGAGGGAATATATAGTTGCGGGCCCAGGGAACACCCGTGGACACCGAGATTTCCAATTAGTAAGTAGATAACGAGGTTATTAAGAGATGACGAAGTTGGTAGCATGATTTGAACACCCGTAAGTGGGACAAGTCAATACCTTGGCAAATAACCTTGAAGTATAGCCCTAAGCAAAAGGACGAAGGGCTACACAGGCGTTCAAATCAATTACGTCAGGCAAACCGGGATCTATGTGGGTATATGTACATCTATATTTTCCCTTCCGTGCCGAGATTGCTTCCGTACCGAGCAATAAAGTGGGAAGCTTAGTTGCCATTACAATTCCCGTCGATGTATACCGATATCAGCCCAATAGTGGGTTGCAATGACCTTGATAGCATCTCATGGCTGGCCGATACCTTAACAGCGCGTCCCGATCTAAGCCAATCGGATTTCTAGCTCGGATGCCCAACGGAATAACAAGCCTCTTCGGCCCCAAATAGCAAGGATGCGAAGACAAAGTGAATCTCGGAGAAGGGCAATGGTTCAGAGGTATCACAGCTATAAGGGTAAGCTATCCCACAGCTCTACTATATCTGGCTGTATATACAAGACTCCCGGTCAGTCAAGTACTGCATATACTTATACTCAACTAAAGAGTACTCAAAGCGCTTGAATAAGAACCGCTCAGCGCGATCGGAACCGGAAGCTTCATTCATCAAAGGTGCAAGATGTCGGAGAACATAGTAAGTACAACTTGGGGGTGGATTCGGACACAAAAAAAAAGAAACCTTGGAGAATCCTCTTATTTGATGAACGCAAGCACAACCGACCAGTGCTGACTATAGGTAGGAATCACCTGAGGAGAAGATACAAAACGGGGACCTTCCTGTCTATCGCCTTCATGGACGCAGTCTCGGCATCGTATTCTCGAGTGTGACCGCTCTTGGAGCAGAAAATGGCTCGCAGACAGTGTACGATCTTCAGAAGATTCTCACTGACATCGTCATGTGGCCCTTCAAGACCGTTCGTCAATTAACCCAGGGTGGGACTCAGATGTCTTCTAACATTGTGGAAGATGTCAGCGGGGTTATCTTTCCTGGCGAACTGATGCTGGTACTTGGACGCCCTGGGGCCGGTTGTTCAACAGTTTTACGCCTGCTTGCCAACCACCGACAAACCTACCAAGACGTGCATGGTTGCATCCAGTACGGCGGCCTCTCGTCCGATGAGATGGAAAAGCGCTATCACTCCGAAGTCCTGTACTGCGCAGAGGATGACGTTCATTTTGCGAATCTATCCGTCAAAGACACCATGGATTTCGCGATGCGTGTGCGCAAACCCTCCGAGAACCCTGAGCCCGTTACCCAATTCTCCGAACGAATGTCGGATAGTATACTGGCGTCGCTTGGGCTATCACACACAAAGGATACAATTGTTGGAGATGCTTTCATTCGTGGCGTCTCGGGTGGGGAGAAAAGACGAATCTCGTTGGCAGAAGTGCTCGCTGTCAACCCAGCCCTGGCATCCTGGGATAATCCAATCCGAGGTCTGGACAGTTCCTCCGCACTGAGCTTCCTTGAACTCTTGAGAGCCACATCTCGACAGACAGGGATGGCTAGCGCGGTGACAATCTACCAAGCGTCAGAAGCTATGTATGAATTCTTTGATCGTGTCATGCTCATGTACGAAGGAAAGATGATATTCTGTGGTCCCGCCGCTCAAGCGAAAGAATATTTCCTCGCGCTTGGCTTCTCCTGCCCTGGGAGACAAACCACTGCGGATTTTCTCACCTCAGTCACGTCTCCCAGCGAACGTACTTTCCAAGATACCTATACCGGTCCGCGCTATGAGACAGCGGAGGCACTGTCCCGGGCATTCCGTAATAGCAAAGAGTACCAGCATTTACAACAGGAGATGAAACGGTACTCGGAGCAAATTGTCTCAGACCAAAGTCTCACCGCCGCCTTTGAAGGAGATGTCCAAAAAACGCGCCCCAAGTTCGTTTCCAAATCTTCAAGTGAGATATCATCTATCTGGACACAATCCATGGCTGCTTTGCGCCGCCAGTATCAGTTGATCTGGAGAGACTGGTTGACACTTCTCACAATCCTCGTTCTCACTGCAGTCAACGCGGTAATCGTTTCGTCTGCATACTATATGGCACCCAAGACCGCAACAGGCTCCTTTGAGAGGAGTGGTGCTCTGTTCTTTGCGCTTGTTTATTTTACCCTCAATGCGTTGACTGAGGTTCCAAAAACCATTCAGAACCGGGCTATTCTGCTCAAACAACACCACATGGGATATCTGCATCCAGTCTCCTTTGTGATTGCCTTGGCCCTAGCGGAAATCCCCGTTACCGCTCTACAGTCAATCGTGTTCTCTTGTTGTTACTATTTCACCATTGGATTAGAGAAAACGGCAGGGAGTTTTTGGATTTTTACTCTAATCGTGTTTGTCCACTTCACGAGCATATCGACTCTGTTCCGTATGCTTGGTGCCTGGTCCCCCAACCTCAACATTGGGTTATTGATGGCCGGGTGTGCGATGCCAGTGGTCTGTCTCTATACCGGATATGCACCCCCAGTACCAAGTATGCACCGTTGGGGATCATGGATCCGACGCATTTCGCCTACCCCATTTGGTATGGAAGCTTTGATGAGTAATGAATATTCCCATATCACACTTCATTGCTCCCCCGATCAATTGATTCCCCATGGAGCCGGATACAATGATATTCAGAATCAGGGTTGCCCTATGGCCGGGGCGCACATGGGATCGGCAGAAGTCTCTGGTCAGATCTATCTGATCAATGAGTACGGATTCCATGCTGGGAACATGTGGCGTGACTTTGGAATCATGCTTGTCATATGGTTTATATACTTCCTGTTGACGGCAGTAGGCCTCAGCGTCATGACCCGTGAATCCGGTGCGTCGAGTGGACGGATATTCAAACGAGGTGCCAAAAATTCTACTGGAGCACATGACCTGAGAATAAAGGATCTTGAAACTCAAGCTGAGGTGGGAATACAAACAACAGCAAATTCTTCAACTAGCACCCTCACTCAACAGGTCGCCGATGGACAAAACGATATAACTGCTGCTGAGCCCGGCTCAGGTGAAGGGATGTTTGTTTTCCAAGACGTTAACTATTTTGTCAACGTCAATGGCCAGGAACGCCAGCTACTGAAAGATGTCACAGGTTATGTCAGACCGGGGCAATTGACTGCACTTATGGGTGCCTCCGGCGCTGGAAAGTCCACTCTACTAGAAACGATATCTGGTCGAAAGAGTGAAGGTCGAACCGAAGGTAATCTGCTATTTGACAGCCGGTACCTTGACAATAGTTTCTCTCGGGCTTGTGGTTTCTGTATGCAACAGGATGTTCATGAACCCTTGGCTACTGTGCGTGAAGCGTTGAGCTTCTCTGCCTTCATGCGCCAAACCGCGAATGTTACGTCCGAGAAGAAGCTTGAAGATGTCGACGAAATTCTGGAGCTTCTCGAGCTTGATCCTATTGCTGACGCTCTTGTCGGTTCTCTCGGAGTTGAAGAGCGAAAGCGAGTGACCATCGGAGTCGAATTGTGTGCTCGACCTTCGGCCCTTCTGTTCCTGGATGAGGTAAGGAATCCTTTTGATGTCCCATATTAATCTTTAAGAAACATGGATGTGGATTGACTAACATCTGTGAACAGCCCACGTCAGGCCTGGATAGCCAAGCTGCCCACTCAATCATCACATTCCTGCGCAAAATTGCCGGACAGGGCGTTCCCATCGTTTGTACAATTCATCAGCCGTCAAGCGTTATCTTTGAGATGTTTGACCACACTCTGATCCTAGCCCCTGGCGGCCAGACCGTGTACTTTGGAGAGACAAGAGAGCGACTGAATGAGTACTTCACACGAAATGGTGCTGCGATGAGTCCATCCGCCAACCCAGCCGAGTTTGTCATTACAACCGTTGCTGCCAGCAGTCAAGACCCCAACGGGGCAGACTGGGCACAATTATGGCGCAAATCTACCGAGTCTCACGAATTGTATAATCTTGTTTCACGCATCATTGAGAATGTTGCAGTACCATCCTCTTCAGACAATCAAGGGCAGCTCGCTCAATCGAAAGGTTCCAAAGAATTTGCATTGCCGCTATTCAACCAGGTTATCCATGTGACCAAACGCCATTGGATCTCCATTTGGCGTAACGGATCATACAATTTCAGCAAGCTCTGTAAACAAATTTTCTTCCAACTTATCGTTGCGTTCACCTTTTTCAAGGTGGGCCAAGATGTCAACGGCCTCCAGAATCATGCGCTTGCCTTCCTTATTGCCTGTTGGGTAATTCCTGCGCTTGCTGCCGACCTACAGGATATCTGGTTCCAAAAATGGGCCATATTTGAGGCGCGGGAGCGGAACGGCATATATGACTACAAAGCTTTGTTGATTGCACTCATTGCGGTCGAGACCCCATGGCAAATCCTGAGCTTCACCTTGATCTTCTTTTGCAATTACTGGACAGTCGGGTATACCAATACCGCAACCATTGGTGGCTTTGTTTACTTCATGACACTCCTGCTGTCTGTATTTGGCACTGGATTCTGCTTCCTTATGGCAGCTCTTTTCCCCAATGCCACAATGGCGGGATATGCAACTTCACTGTTTTGGGTGGTACTGATGATGTTTAATGCCATTGTCACTCCACAAAGTGCGTTGAATAGCTTCTATCGCCCTTGGATAAACTGGGCTGATCCTATGCGATACTACTTTGGGGCCACCATCTCATCGGTACTGCATAAAGTAGAAGCTGTGTGCAAAAAAACAGATCTCGCCATCTTCGATCCACCGTCTGGCCAGACTTGTGGTGAATATATGCATAACTACATTTTGTCTAACCCGGGGTATTTGGAAGACCCTACTGCGACGTCATTGTGTGAGTATTGCCCCTATTCGAATGGGGACAATTACGCCCAAACCATGGCTTTCTACTACGAAGGTAGGTGGAGAGATTGGGCCGTCTTCCTGGGCTTCTGCCTGACGAATTTTGCTCTCATCTTCTTCGTTTCTTGGGTCACCCGAGTACAAATCCGGCGATGGCGAAAGTAGAGAATACCAGGAAGGATTTCGTCAATCGCTAGGCGAGATGTGCTCACCTACCTACTCCTTAACGCATCCCATTCATCTCTACTCTCTGTCTACCTTGTTGCATTGCTTTCAAAGTTCGTCGGATCTTTCAACATGGTTTTTTAGACCTCCTCGGCATATTTTAGATTGTTCATGCACTGTGAGGAATGAGGAATTGAATTCATGGCCCTATGTACTTAGATAAAGAGAACAGATCCACTGATTTCAAGGTTCTTTACAGTAGATACTAGAAAAGGACAACGGGGTCAAATCCTTCCCATCTAAATAAAGATTGAATGAACGTCAGTCCCAAAGTTATATGAACTATCAACTTAAGTGTAGGGTGACCTCTTGTAGATGGAGTCTGGTTGCTTGTTCCTAAGAACTGCCTTCCCCCAGACACCTTTCGATTTTGATGGAAAAAAAAAAGAAAGAAAAACCTCTCGTACTAATATAAAGCGTGGGGTATATCCTCCTGCTGGAATCCTGCTTGAAGCCAGTGAGGTACGTAATTTACTTCGGGTGCCATTATCAAAGATTCTAGATAGCCTTCCCCTGCGTCTGTGGTGGCAGCTATGGCATAATTTGAATCGGATGTCCTGGTAGGATCATGCTCAAGGACGGGGAGACTGTCTTGGATGAACCGGGGATTGGTCCTGTATATAATTAGAAGAGCGTCCGGATAAGATGCGAAGGTAGAGTGTTTAGGGAAACGGGATTGAAATAGACAAACAACGTACTGTTGGAGCCACGGGAAGAAGCTCGTCATATTTTCATCCAAGTGACTGAGGCTCTGGCTAGATCCAAGAGCATCCTTAGCCACCCTCATCACATCCAGGCTAAGAGCCTTGCCAGAAGTTGGGCCGACGTGTTGTATTTGATCAAGACATTGAATCCCACGTTCAACGACGGTGAACGTGCTTCGAGCATATTCGGCGGTCATTTCGGTGTCCAACACGTCGTAGAGTAAGTTCACACAAGCAGAGACTAGAAAAGTTGCCAATGACCCATCAAACTTGACGCCGGGATATCGGTGGAAGAAGACGTCATAATTTAAATCAATAATGCTCTTGGCTGAAGAGATAGATGCATCAATAGATTCTTTTATATGCATCGTTCCAGCCGCGCGCTCCTGTGCTTCCACCTTGGAGTTAAAAAAGGTGGCGAACACTAGCGCCGGTCGGTGCATTAGCATCCGTACCTGGTAGTAATGATTTCCAAGGATAACCCGCTGGACTTCCTGCCATCCTTCACCAATAGGAAGGTTGTCATCGAAGAAATGCAGATACGATGGAAGCGCCTTAGTCATGTTTTCCAGTTCCAGGTCGCACTCCAGAGCAGTTTGATGAACTCGAGAAAGATCGCTCACGTTTAGAATGTTTTTCGAGGAATAGATGCCCACCAAGAGGCGATCTGCAGTTCTTCCTAGGCTAGCTTCAGCTCGTATCATGGCACATTGCATGGTAGCTTGGGTATGTTGGGTTCCCCTCTCGTCTCCAAGTGACAAGGAAGTTAGGTCTTCGGGATATGGCGCGTCGATCAACTCATCTCGGAAGGCTGACGGTCGGCCGGAGTATAACGAACAAGCGCGTTCCTGGGCGTACAGAGTCCAGAAGGTGAGACGGAGGCGATGCATTGTCGGGTTAACTCCTTCGACGACTTGGGCATGGTGAATTCCGAGGGCGGTAGCGCTGCGAGCGGCATGACCTAGGTATAGATAGGCGTCATTGGGCCTCATGACCTGATAGGCGTACATTGCCTGTCACATAACAGCCATGGAGATATTAGCAGCTAGCTCAGTGGATGGTGATAGAACATTTTCTCTCTTTTTTTGGTGCAGGAACTCACCCTGAGAAGGAAGAAATGCGTGGAGTGAAGACTGGGGTCCTCGAAGAGATTGATTGAACCACTTGCTTTACGAGCAAAATGATCGCCCCATCCCTCAGATAAGGAGGCATCTTGTCGTCCCTCTGAGCTTGACACTCGAGCGCCGATGGCGAGGGCCATGAAAACAAGTTCCCCCCTGTCACGAGAAAGGCGCTGAGAAGGTGGCTTCCAGAAGCCTTCCCAAATGGCTATAATTTCAGAATATACCAACACCGGGATCTGCGGGTGGATGATGTCGAAATACGAATTCAAAAAGGCATCTCCCATCTCGCGGGATAGATACACCTCCGGTTGACGCTTGCTGTTGTTATCGTCTGCACCCACTGAGAACATAAATCTCTCTAGTCCCCATTTTTCTACCCCGTCCGGTACGGCATTGCTCTGTGGTGTCAAGAGGGTCTCATTAGTCCTCTGTTTGATGCGCTGGTAGATACGTTGAACAAAGCAGAAGTGTGACGAAGGGCCTATGCACGGTTAGCCACTTTCAACCGGGACAGGATCAAACGCCGAGATGGCACGAATGTATATAATTACCATAGAACTGAAACGAGCCACTATCGCGGTTCGACACACCGATACCAGCTCGAAGCTCTCGTAACCTCTTGTATTGCACGGGGTCATGGCGTATGTGTACAGCTAGGGGGACTCCAAAGGAAGCTGTGACGAAAGGTCTTTCGGAACTAGTCTCAGACAGATTCCCGGACGGATTCGCAGACGGATTCCCAGACCTGACGCGACCAGGACCCCGCGTCCGCTTGGGCTCGGAAGTGCGGTAGACACAGGCGGCCTCGGAAAGCCGGCAGCCAGAACAAGGAGTCTGACCATTGCATCGGACCTTTCTCGCGCGGCAATTCTGACATGCTCGGGTGATTCTTGGCCCTCGTTTGCGAGTCCCTGGGTTGGCACTACCACTGGGGTTACCAATCTGTGACGAAATCATCTCTTAGATGCAAGTCGAAAGGGTTAAAGGCTTGTCACATACAGCATACGTCCCTTTCCTCGGAGCAAAAAGGGTTCCGAGGCCAATCCGATCCGGCTTCCGCATCACCTGACCGGGCTTTGGAAGATCCGAGGGTGGTTCCGAGATCAGACGCCGAGATAAATAATCATGAGTCTCAGTAGAGGCCGACTTTTCATCCCACCAGCCCACCGGGGCAAATTCCATTGTAAGCACCCATGACAAATGATGTGGATCTTACACATCAATTCACTGTGTCCACGGGTACTACCTAGATAAGGGTCGGGGTGGATCTAATGAATTAGTTCTATCCCATTGTCATACTAGTCGAAATAAGAGATAGTAGAATATGTGAAGCTTGCTTTGTACGAGGATTTGAATATTGGAATATTACATCTTGGCTCATGCCATACACAATTCACAGTGCTTTGAGATCAGCTATATCCAGTCAAATCCAACCCGAACGTCATGTAGAAGACCAGAAGCTTCAGATATCCAGTTTTTTGGATCTCCATTGTCCCGTATGGCTGCGGAGGAAGCAGACTTTTTGAGAACTTCTGACTCTGTTCCTAATGGAGCATTCCAAATATCATCGTTGTCTGGCATGGAATAAGACAAATCGGCCAGGGTCAAAAGGTCATTTCCGTCACAATTGGTGTGTCCTTCAGTAATGTTGGAGGAAGTGGACAATCGGCAGGTCTTATAAAGGGCCAGTCCAAATCTCTTGGTTTCTTCAATGTTCAAATATACAAGCGCGAGTGGTGTATGGGTGTTGTGTTGGATGATCATATTAGGATAATAGAACATTTCCCACCGTCGACAGGTTTGCACAAGTGCAGTCAAGAGCTTGTATTTGTCGTCTGGGAGTCGGTATCGCATCGTCAAATCTATGCTAGAGTTTTCTCTGGCCATGAAAAGGGCAAGGATGATATTCAAGAGGACACTCTGGAACGTTGTTATAGGCAATGAGGTACTAGTGTTTCGGTATGCATTCGAGTTCGCAGCACACCATTGGTCCTAAAAAGGATAAGAGAGAATGTTAGCTGCAGAGTCTGTGTTTAGGCTGTGGGATGATCCTTCTCGCCATTTGCGTGTGAAAAGCAGAACATAGTCTACCATGCAGACGTATAGACGCGTCTCGCGCCTCCCGAGAGCCGTTCACCCACAGTCCCATTGCGATAATGGATTGAACAAGCACACATGGGTCTTTGGCAACATTAAATGTACTTCGATGGAGAAACGGCCACGCTGGATGGAAAGTATCAAAGTAAATATCGATATATTTATGAGCAATCCAAGAGGATGCGTCAGGAAGAAAATTATCGATTGTGGAAATAGGCGGCAAAGAGTGGAATTCATCGATCCAACATTGTTGTCCGCTTGCAATGTTGCCCGGAGCAGGTACGCAGGTGATACCTCGATGTTGACAGGCTTTGCATGGTAATCCACCTTCGCAACGGCCTTTCCGTGCATGGCAGGCGGTGCATGCCTTGGACTTTTGAGATGGGGGTACCTGTCTCTGTGGGTGATGGGTTCGGACATGGCGCCGCAACAGATCACTAAGTACAATATCAGGTGAAGATGTCCCAGAATATCGAAGAGATTACTCACTTCCTTGTCAGGACACTCTCACAATGAGGACAGGTAAGATTGGTTCCCCCATTATGACGATTCAGATGTCGATTAAGATGCTCCTTACGTCGATATTTTTGCGTTACAATCCGGATAATCACATTGAAACCATGAGGGCACGACATCAGGAAGAGGCGACATTTAGTAAAATGTTGTGCAAACAGCTGTTGAATTTTCCACAATTTTTGACGCGTAGAGTGAAGACGTCCAAGCGAATGGAAGAAAATGAAACGGCATGGCCGATCTACTAATTAAAGTGGAGGCAACATCTTGGACAGCGTCCAATCTGATTCTGAGAAGAGGATTCGCCTCCCCCATCCCACCGGCGGAGTATCCCACTTGATGAATAAGTAGTAGCTATGGAGTAACTAGTTATAATAGATATATTTATTATTTATACAATGATACCTAGGTAGGTTATAAGTGATAAAATATTCTTCATTCCACTACATCCGTTACCTTTCGCATATCCCACATTGGGATTGCACCATGATGTCCAAGCTTCCTCGGCCAGGGGTTTTAGGCCATGAATCCGAATTAGTGGACAGCCTTGACGCAAGCACAGAAATTTATTCTGATGGAAATCTCAAGCCAGTCGTTTCCAAATTGGCCAGCATACATGCCCTTCCGGAATTTGAAGTTTACTGGGATTCTGAAGACCCCGAAAATCCTCGCCTATGGCCGCTTTGGTACAAAGGCCTCACTGTTGCTGCTATGAGCCTTGGGGCTACCATTGTCAGTCTCTCTAGCACATTATATACATCTGGGATCCCAGGGTTACAGGAGGAATTCCACATTTCCAAGATCGTGGCCCTCCTCGGTGTCACGACCTACCTTTTAGGAATGGCGATAGGCAGCATCCTCTTTGCTCCACTTAGCGAGCTTCTGGGTCGCCGGCCAATTTACATTGTCTCAATGACAATCTTTCTGTTGCTACTATTGCCGAGTGCTTTAGCGCAGAATATTCAATCCATTCTTGTGGGTAGATTCTTCGGAGGATTCTTCGGGAGTGCATTGATGTCGAACTCGCCCGCATCTGTGAACGACATCGTCTCCGATAAGCACCGGGCTTTGGCCTTTGGCTTCTGGTCTATTGGTCCTAGCAATGGCCCCGTCTATGGCCCGATAATTGGGGGCTTTGTGTTTCAATATCTTGGTTGGAGATGGACAAATTGGATTATCCTTATCATTGGCGGTGTCGTCTTGGTTCTGGTCGCCTCTGTCAAAGAAACATATGCCCCGGTGATTTTAAAGAGACGGGCCACCAGAAAACGAAAGGAGACGCAGAATTCAAAATGGTGGACTCGTTATGATGATAGACTTGGTTTCATGTCTTTACTAAGGGTAAATCTCAAAAGACCCTTTGTGATGCTCTTTACTGAACCGATATGGTAAATAAACTTCCTACCAAACTACAAATCTCAATCTAACACTTCTTTACAGTATGTTCTGGGATGGCTATGTCGCAATCGTTTATGGCATTCTCTACTTATGTTTCGTCGCGTATCCAATCGCTTTCCAGCAAGAGCGTGGATGGTCGCCGGGTATTGGCGGTCTTTCGTTCATTGGCATTGGTGTCGGCGTTTTACTCGCCATCGCATGCGAGCCTGTGTTTCGCAAGGTTATCTATCTTCACCGCAAAAATCCAGAAACCGGCGTGGTACCACCTGAGGCCATGGTCAGTATCATTTTCTTTGGTGCTACTCTTCTAGCCATTGGTCAGCTGTGGTTTTCCTGGACTTGCACACCAAACGTTCACTGGATCATCCCTATACTCTCCGGTCTGCCTTTTGGTGTGGGAAATGCGTGCGTCTTCATTTATGCCCAAAACTACATAGCCCAGTCTTATGGCCTATATTCTGCATCTGCGCTTGCAGGAAATATGTTCACACGCAGTGTCATGGGAGCATTCCTCCCACTTGCGGGTCCAGCGATGTATAAGACCCTCGGCTTGAACTGGGCAGGTACAATCCTAGGACTTGTAGAGGCAGCTTGTATCACGATCCCTGTGGTTTTCTATTTTTATGGTCACAAAATTCGAGAGGCAAGTTCGCTTATCAAAGAGGCGAAGAAATTACAAGCGGCAAGTTGAGAAAAGCTTCTGGGAGGACCTTCATGACGAACATCGCGTGCATGTTTTTTTCTTTTTTCGAGGTCTGCATTGAAGGTGCAAAATCATGTAAGATATCAAGTATCCATTAAATGGAATGGAGCCATTGAGTGAAATTTTTTAAAGAAAATGTTTTGTAATTTTGAGGATAGCGCGTAGAGTGACATTCTTTGTCGGATATGTTCCGTACTAACCGCAAAACAATACATTTTTGTCGAAGTAGTAAGTAGGATATAAAGTATCGTTGAAGTATCGTTGAAGGTACTTGTTGGTAGCCCCGATATAGAGGTTTACGTATATAGGGTATTTCCAAATGTATAGTAGGCACTGCATTTACACCTATGGACATACGATCCACACTGTGTTGACTTCACCAGCATCTAAGCTACTCACGTTACCCTACGACGGCCAACTAGATGCTCCGTCGAGCCTTGTTTGGCTTAGCTCATGAAAGTGTAAATTATTTGGAGCATGTCTAAGTATATATCGTTGCGTTAATGCGTGGGAATGTCAAACCTGACTTAATGAATAAACATCCACCGGAACCTATAGGGCTTTGATTACTTCGGGTCCATGTCAAGTGGGATAATCCGAACCCTATTACATCATCCACAACCACCCAGGCGGGATATACCACACAGCCTCATGGGGTGGGATAACCGGAGCAAAATTCTTATAGAGCTGATTAATTCGCCACATATACATAGATGACCATAAGCATAGTTTGCCGTGGATTTGTAACATGCACTAAAATACCACACCAAGCTACTCTGCATCGTTGCCGTATAAATATCCGTTTGGAGCCCTGTCTACAACATTTCGCTATACAATTAATCCTCGTTTATTGATCACTATGTCTCCCACACTGGAAATCACCCATATTGGCACTGCCACTGCTATTCTTGAAATCAACGGCGTCAACTTTCTGACCGATCCCTTCTTTTCTCCTGCCGGTACCTTCTGGGATAAAGGCAGTGTCATTCTCAAAGTGACAGAAGACCCTGCTCTCCGTTTAGATCAACTTCCAGTAATCGATGCGGTACTTCTGAGCCACGAAGATCATCCCGACAACCTGGACGAACTTGGTCGTCAACTCCTAGATGGGCGCCGTGTGTTCACCACCGTCGACGGTGGGAAAAACCTTAGCCCCCGTCCAGCTGTGCATGGCATGAAGCCATGGGAGGAGCTAGAAACCATTATTGCTGGCAAGAAGTTCAAAATCATCGCAACTCCGACTCAGCATTTTCCCGGAAATGAATGTACCGGCTTCATTGTGACCGGCAAGGATTTCGGAACTGGTCGTGACGGCCTTCCCAATGCAATCTATTTCAGCGGTGACACAGTCTACATTGAGGAATTAAACTCCATCGCGGACCGGTACCACATCTGTGTGGCTGTGATGAATCTGGGCAACGCCCATGTCCCCACGACGGAGGACCCCAATGGTCCTCTCATGCAAATTACGATGGGCGGCAATGATGGCGCAAAGTTATTCCGTGCCCTCAAGGCAGATGTTTTGGTTCCCATGCATTATGAATCCTGGGGACATTTCACCCAGTTCGGAGATGAGCTGCGCCAGACTTTTGAGGCTGAGGGCATTAGTGAGAAAATTTGTTGGCTCACAGGTGGTAAGAAGATCACAGTCCTTTGAATCTTGTTATGGTGGTCTTTTAGAGAGTTCCTTTTCGTTTTCTTGCTTCAAACCTGTATTCATTCTGGGTTTCATCTTTCTTGGTTTCAAAATGAAAAATCTTCTGATACTTGCACGTTTTAACCATTTGATCTGCACTCTAGTAGTATCTGTTATTAGTTCACTATTATCCCGTGTGAACCCTGAATTTCTGTACGTTCTCGTTCTTTTTGTAGAGTTTCCAAGGTTGCAGAGATCTCTACCTCCGAAGTTACCTTCCACATAAATACTATTCCCTCTTTCACAATCATTTATAGCGAAGTGGATCAGCGAGGATTTATCACACAGACCCTGGGGGTTACGACAGTTGCCAAAGAAAGGCTTTTCATTGCATAAACTTTGGTATTTACTCGTAACCCTACAGACTTTGATGGAAATCAGGTCTTCGTCTTGTTCTTGAGGAAGTATTTACAAACACGCTCTTCAAAAGTGTAAACACAAGGGATGCCAAGGCAATGTGGGGCGCTCGTTCTAATACCTACACCTCAATACCCAATAAGTTAATACCCAATAAGTGCGAATAGGTTTCAAGAGAATTTGGACGTCCTTCATGCTAGAATCCTGAAATGATTGTGCTCCGGTGGAGGAGTAAGGCAATGTTGGTGAACGCCAGGGAGAGAGATCTGCTCGACTCCCTGTATGAACTGGTGAATCATATGAAAAGCCAGACCTGTCAAAGCGCCATGTCTCAAATCGTCACGCTAAGTTGCGACAGTGAAACAGTGGAATAGGCACGGGCAATAAGTACCACCATCATTCTCTTACCAATTGAGCCTTTTCCAGTGTATACCGATTGAAATCACTCCTTATCCCGGCCAAGCTGTAGCCAAAATTGGGACGAGAAACTGTGGATGGAGCTATCGCACTAAAGAATAGTAAAAAAGGGGAGGAAACGAATGAAAATGCAATATTTTCAGAGTGGACCCGTAGGATGCGAGGTCGGCAGAGAATGATCTCATGCCTCGGCCCCTCAGAAACAGATCTCGACACCAAAAAAAAAAAGATTCGCCAGGGGAATAAGCTCCAAAATTCCACAATCTCTGATATTCCAGAATGTCGTAAGTGCTCATATACACCAAGAAGGGAAAAAAAAGCCCCCCAGACTAATCCTGATAGTGCCCTTTTAACAACTCTCGGTCTCCGCGCCGCCTCTGGCCAGGTACCTGCGAACCACGCATCGGCCTTGCTGGTGGTGAACTGGTTCTTCGCATACATTTTGACAAGCCCCCGAGGCTCAAAGATCCGCCTGGGTCTTGATCATAATGTCAACCCGCGTGAGGACTTGACTACGTACGGCGAGGCGGCCGTACAGTCGGGAAAGATTACCCGTCGCGCCCTTGACCAGCTTAAGCGACAGACGTCGGCGCATGCCAATGTGCAGGAAGGCTTTACTTTGCTTGTTGCGGCAAGTATGTGGAAGTCCATTTTATTGATTGGGTTCATGATGAACCTGCATCTTGTGAAATTGCTGCGCTGTACTGACCTTATGATCTAGTCCTCGTCTCCTTGTACGCCGGTCTGCCCAATGAGACTATCAACACTGTCGGTGTTTGGTATTCAGTTTCCCGTGTCGCATATCACCTTTTCTATTTGAAAATCGAAACCCACTCTCTGAGCTTTCTGCGCTCGGCGGCTTGGTGGTCCGGCAACATCAGCTGTCTTTATGCACTGGTGCAAGCCAGCAAGAAGTTGTAAAATATATGGAGGCATTCTTTGATTGTGCTCTGGACTCTAAAGATAGATGGATGGGCTGAACAATATAATACAATTGAATGTATCATCGGGACACTAGATAAAAGGTGGCAGTCGATATAAAACTTGGAAGTCCTAGGTGGCGTGGCTAGGCGCTAGGCACTTTCTCTGACAAAGAGTCTACCAAGACTGACTAGTCAAGGAATATGCCGAGTGTACCACGAATATGAAGGTAAAGATATGAGGGAGGCGTCCGTTAAAATATTTTTTCGACGGTGAGTACGACGAATTGTCGCGGGAGAACTCACTCCATCCAAGGCTGGGCGTTAGCCACCTTCATAATCACAATATCCAACGCAAAATAAAAACCCGGAAGGAAATGAGGTCTTGGAAGTCCTCCGTGCCTGGAAAAACCACAACACCATCACAGTGAGAATGTGACATAACGACCCCTGTTCCGCTGATTGGTGGAAGAACCCAGCCCTCAAGGCATGATCAGCCCAGACGGGGGAATGAATCCCGGCCATAACGTTGAATTACACAGTGTCAAATAAGAAGAATCCAACGTGCAAGCTCGCTCCAGCTCGTCCCGACAGTCTCCCCGCATCCCCGCATATTAATATCCTTGGCGAAATGGGGAAATGACTCCATTTACTGTCTATACACAACTCCCGGTAACCCGCTCAATTGCCGCATTCCACAGGCCCTGCCGATCCCACCAGCATGTCACGGAGTCGCTTTTTACAGGCGGAGAAATCTCTTTCCTCTGACCGTGCCGTTGCCGGACATTGGTAGTCTGGGGAAAAGGAAGGCTCACAATAAGCTATATCCGGGGTATTCTTATAAATTAGCAATGCCTGGTTGACTTTCAGATCAACCGACAGCATCATCGATTGATCTCATTGACCCTCGCTATAATGAAGTTCCTCGCTATCGGTGCGCTCCTGCTCAGCACAGTCGGTGCTCTTGCCACAGAGCAAATTATCAAAGGCGCCCAGATCATCCCGGCCAATGATAAGGCAGCATTGAAGAAGATCGGTGCTTATGGACATCACAAGCACCACGACCGTCGGACAGTGACAATCCGGTCATCGAAGAGCGACACCGATGATGTGTCGGATGATTTCCTTTGGGGTATTAAGGCTGCCAATCACGGCGGCAGACTTCTCCTGCAAAAGGGGAAGACCTATGTCATTGGCAAGAAACTTGACCTTAGCTTCTTGGATAATATCGAGGTGCAGCTTGAGGGTGAAGTGAAGGTATTTAGCTTCAATGCTGTGACTGATTGAACCGCTCTGACATGAACAGTTCACCGACGATATCGATTACTGGCAAGCAAACCACTTCTACTACTCTTTCCAGAAATCTATCACTTTCTGGGTTTGGGGTGGTCAGGATATCAAGATCTTCGGCAAGGGTACTCTTAATGGTAATGGCCAGGAGTGGTACAATGCCTTTGCTGGCATGGAAGTTCTGGTGAGCATAATCCTAAAAGAATTGGGAATAACTTGTGCTAATGGATAATCCAGGACCCGGACAACACCTTTTACCGTCCCATTCTATTCATGACTGACAACGCTACCCGAGTGTCTGTCGAAGGAATCACCCAACTCAACTCGCCCTGTTGGACCAACTTCTTCGTCCGCACCAAGGATGTCTCTTTCGATGATGTCTTTATCAACGCCTATTCCACCAACGCATCTGTAAGTCGTGCACCTGGTACATGCACCTGGTACATTATCGATCAAATCTAACCCGTTTGCAGGCTTTGCCCAAGAACACCGATGGATTCGACTCCTTCAACGTGGACGGTCTTAGCGTGACCAACACCCGCGTCGATATCGGCGATGACTGCTTCTCGCCCAAGCCCAACACAACCAACATTTTCGTGCAGAACCTGTGGTGCAACAATACCCACGGTGTCAGCATGGGAAGTATTGGACAGTACTCGGGAGTCGAGGACATCATTGAGAATGCCTGGATTGAGAACGTGACTTTGTTGAACGGCCAGGTAAGATACTCCCCCCATATCGATATATGAGCGATTGATCCTAACTGGAATTCAAGAACGGTGTCCGTCTCAAGGCTTGGGCTGGACAGGACATCGGCTTTGGTCGTATCAACAACATCACGTACAAGGACGTTCACATCGAGAACACCGATGCCCCTATCGTGTTGGATCAGTGCTACTTTAACGTCAACGCTACTACGTGTGCTAAGTACCCGTCATCAGTCAACTTCACCAACATTAACTTTGAGAATATTTATGGTACTTCGTCGGGCAAGAACGGTAAGGTTATCGGCGACTTGACTTGCTCGCCTAATGCTGTGTGCTCGGGTATCAAGCTTTCTGATATCGATATTACCAGCCCGGCTGGTGGTCCCCCAGTTGTGACCTGCGATGGCATTGATGGAGATGTTGGTGTAGAGTGCCAGTCGAGTTCGGCTTAGGTGCAGTATAACATTGTGAGATGAGAATAGTTTCGGAAATAGTCATAAATCAAAAGTACCGAAACGAATTAAAAAGAAAAAGCATCAAATATTGAGTTAGGAAGTGTAGTCCGACAGGAGAGTATGTCCGAGAACACATAGGAGTTAAACGAGTGCGGAGTAGTCATCGAGATAAACATTCAACCGAATAGCAACCATCCCCCACAATCATCACCAGCAGGTCTTTCACAGCAGGGCATTGGTCACAGCAAGTCGCTTATTCTACATGTATTCTGCACGTATTCTGCACATGACTATACGGAGTTCTGATCCAACACCCTCAGCTTCAACATGAACGGCCAAACAGCTAGACAGCCAAGCAGCGAGTGTGGGGAGTTAAGACCGCCAACAGCTCGATCTGGAACTCCTAGCCAATGGAAACGAAAACAAGCATTGGAATCAAATCTCTTCCCGGAGTGAAAATGGATGCTGATATCCGACCGGGCCGACGTTCCCTGAGAACAATAGCAGAGAATATTCAAAACTCAACGGTTATCCTGGATGACATCTCGTCATGATGGATAGAATCCCCCTCATATTGGGCTATTCTCTCTCCACACCCCACACTCTCCCACAATCTGAATTATACACCGGCTGAGACTATACCCGCCCACTGTCTTGGGCTAGATGTACCGTGCCTTGTTCTGAATGGCCCAGGATTCGGTCTCCTAGTGACCTGCTTGCAAATTATTACAGTACTTGCAAATCTCCCCAATCTGGGGGAGATGAATCCACAATCTCCTCCTTTGCCCCCACCCCCAGATCCCCGGAAAGGCGGAGTACGGGGAAAGGACAGGATCTCTGCTATAAGAACGCAGACGCATGCACGGGGTTTCGACTTTTTTCTCTCCCTTTCTTCTCTTTGTCTGTGCTTTTATCTTCCCGCAGATCCTAGCATTTATATTCAACATGGAGAAGATGGATAGCCAACATCAGCACATCGAAGGTGCAAAGGCTAGTCCGCAAGGAATGGAATCTGGAAAGCAATGTGACTTTTACCTTGAAGACCGAGTCGCTCATCTATCGGAGGAACATCGCCAATATATTCTCGCGAAGCATGGCACTCTCGATCTGGACCCTATCCCTGACATGACCGATGCCGATCCATACAATTGGCCGCAATGGAGGGTGAGAGACCACCACTCCTATCGTCCATTCACATTTCGACCATGTTTCTAATACGATTATTTGATAGAAAAACTTGAATCTGACCCTAATCGCCTTCCACGCCATGATGGGCACATTTACTGCCTCGTCCATCCAATCTGCATTCGAAAATATCTCCGAAGACCTCGACGTTAGTATGCAGCGGACCAGTTACCTTGTCTCGCTCTTCATCGCTGTGCTAGGCGGAGCGCCTCTCTTCTGGCGCCCGCTGTGTAATCGCTATGGTCGCCGCCCCATCTTCCTGATCTCATTGGTCTGCAGCTTGATTGGGAACGTTGGCTGTGCGAACAGTCCTTCCTATGCAACAATGGGTCTCTGTCGTGCCATTACTGCCTTCTTTATCAGCCCTGCGGCCGCTATTGGTAGCGCCGTTGTCGCAGAGACTTTCTTCCGGAAAGATCGTGCTCGCTGCATGGGTGGGTGGACACTGATGGTTACTCTGGGTGTCCCTGCAGCTCCGTTTATTTTTGGATTCGTTGCTTTGCGTGTGGGTTATCGCTGGATTTACTATACCCTTGCAATTGTGAGCCTTCATCAACCTCAATCTCTCAAAGATAGACCCATCTAACTATTCGCTTCGAACAGGTCAACGCAATCCAATTCGTCCTCTACCTCTTGTTTGGATCGGAATCCCTCTACGTTCGCAGCAATATACCCTCCAACAACGTTATCACAGTGAAGCAGAGTCTATTCGGATTCAGCCGCATCGACTCTACACCGCTGACACTCTGGGACTTCTTCCAGCCCCTGAGCTACATGATGAAACCATGCGTGGCCATTCCGGCTGTAGCCTACGCAATGATTTTCCTCTGGGGAAGTATCGCGCTCACAATCGAGATCTCCCAGATCTACCCTGCCAAGTTCGACCTGAACACCCAGCAGGTCGGTCTGCAATTCCTCGGTATCATTATCGGATCTGTCATTGGCGAACAGATCGGCGGGTTCATATCCGATCGCTGGATGCTTATGCGTCAGAAGCGCACTGGAGAACCTTCCCCGCCGGAATTCCGCCTTTGGTTGAGTTATATTGGCCATGCTTTGACGATCTGTGGTATTGTGGTTTTTGCTGTCGAGATCCGGGATTCTGGCGGTGTATGGACTATCACTCCCGTTATTGGCGCTGCTATTGCCGCTGGCGGTAATCAGATTGTTACTACTGTTGACATTACTTACGCGGTTGATTGTTACCGTGAGGATGCTGCCAGTGTAGGTGTATTTATTACCTTTGTTCGGCAGATTTGGGGTTTCATTGGTCCTTTCTGGTTCCCTGAGATGTTCGAGGTTGTTGGCTGGGCTGGTGGTGCTGGTATTGCTGTTGCCCTCATGGTTGGTGTCAGTGTAATTCCGACTATCTTGGTGCAGTGGCGAGGAACTGGCTGGCGTTGATGGACTTTGTAGAGAACATATAATTGCTCTTTTTATCAACTAAATAAGAGAATGTAGATGTTCACACAGTAGAAGATGGTGCTTGCTACGTTTCGAGCTGCTCAATAGTATTGGACTATGGAGTACTCTGTATTCTACAATAGTGAATCAAGTTGATACTACTGTGCCATACGTTATTGATACAATACTTCTGTTTAAATCGAATATACTACATGTAACTGCTATCGCCCAGGAAGCCCTCCCATACCCGGGAATAGCTTGCCAATGACTGTCAATTCGTTGTATGATATTTCCCACCTACAGCTTGGGGATAAGTCGGAGACAGTTTATAGATCCATGGCATCGTTACTATCAAAACTGATCAACAAAATTTAAATTTGAGCTGTCAAAATGAAGCTCTGATACATGAAATACCAAATCGTGAATCATCAAAGATCAAAATTTACCACCCATCAACCCTTCGCATTCTCAAGTGCATCCCTTCAACCGGCTTAATAGTAACAGCCCCAGCAACATGAATCACCTGCTTTGGATCCTGCATCTCAAACAAAAACCGTCCAACAACGCCAGCAATCGCACACCGCAACTCCGCACGCGCAAAGTCCTTCCCAATACAAGATCTCTGCCCATGCAGGAATGTGATCTGTGCGAAATTCGTCGATGCCCCGCCATTATTGTTCGGAATACAGTGTCCGTTCTTATCCGTGTCAATCCAGCGCTCAGGAACAAATTCTTCCCCATTATCGCCCCAGAAGAGTGGGCTTCGGTTTATAGCCCACGGACATAACACCACCCGTGTCCCTTTCGGAATGTACTTCCCTGCTACGACGGTGTTGCGGACTGCTTCACGGATGGTCGTTGGGACTGTTGGGTATAGACGGAGGACCTCTTGGCAGACGCCGTTTAGTAAAGGGAGGGACTCGAGATCTTGGTAGGTTATTGGACTGTCGCCTGATGGGATCCTGGAACGGATCTCATCGCGCAGGCGGGTTTGGTATTCTGGGTGGAGATGGAGGAGATAGCAGGCCCATGTTAAAGCGCTGGCGGTGGTCTCGTGCTGGGAGGGGTTAGCTAGTCGCTCGAATACCAGGGTACGCAAGCTGATTATAGCAAGGCAGTTTCATTGAAATACTCACCCCGGCAGCCAAAAATGTCAACATCTGATCAACTAACTCCGTATCCGAGAAATCCCCGCCAAGCATCATCGTCCCCAGAATATCAGCCTCGAGATCCTGAGCAGAAACCTTAGACCCAGCCAGACTGGCTCGCTTCTCGCGCACAATCTCGTCGCAAGCACTGCGCAGATACGCTGTCTCGACACTCAGTACATCGTTCATCCGCCACGGAACACGCCTCGCCATCCACTGTGGTAGTGCAAAGTTCATCACCAGGAATGCCATCTTCTCCCTAGTCGGCTCGAGGATCTTCGCGAAGCTGTCTGCCACTTTGTTTCTCTTGTTGTGAAGAGAGCCAAAGTCACGTCCCATTGCTATAGGTCCGATTATGTCGAGGGTGAGGCGACTGCAGGGTTGTTAGTATTGTATATCCCGGGGATATTGTTCGATCCCCGCAACACATACCTCGCCCACTCGGACATTTCGACCTTACCCTCCAGGTCCTCTGAACTCGTTCCATCCATCGGGTTCACTTTAATTTCTTTCTCTAGTTCATCCAGTAACTGTCCTGTCTTGCTCCACATGAGCGAATACATCGAGCGGATATTCTTGATATTGAATGCAGGTGTAAGGGCTTTGCGCTGTTTCTTATGCGCTGCGCCTTCCGAGGTAATCATTCCAAAGCCGATAATCCGCGCGAGGAAGTTGCGCATCCGCCATGGCTTCTCGAAGTCGTATGTGTTCGTGCTCATTACATCTAGTAGCGCTTGGTGGTTGGTTGGGACCACATAGCTTTGATTGAACATGTCGCGCATGTGGATGAGTCCTTCGTTTGGGACAGTTTTCATCCATTGGAGGGGTTTTGTTCCCCGTGGTGAGTCGAAAATGAGTTCTATATGGGAGCCCTGTCCATTGTTAAGACTCTGTGTATGCTTTCGTTTTGCTTTGGTGTTTCCTACCTGGACTTTCGGTAGATGCCGCATTGGGCTTAGTAGGAATGGCCATATTATTATACCGTAGAAGGCTTTGAGGAGAATATTTACTCCCAGTGCGGTGAGACAGATTGTTTGGAAGGTCTTGTCGGCGAAGACAGCGCGTTGGAGGAAATACGCCTCGGCAAGCGTGAATGCACTCACCGCTAGTATACTGTCGCTAAAAGCCATGTTGCTTTGAATCGAGTTGAAAGCCAAAAGCCTCGGATTCAGGAGTCGAAGTTTATATCAACTCATTTTTCATCGGATATGCCCCACAGAGATCGGCACTCCTGTTGGGGTGACCAATGCGAAACCTCGGCTCTATGAACTGCCATTATTTGGATCTGCGTACTAGTTTTACGTGCTTGTTCTATATGGTAGTGTTTCGTAATTACCATAGAGAGGGGTGTAGAGTTTGGAGGCGTATGTGGACTATGTCAGTAGCCTGTGATGATTCAGAATCTCAATGTGGAGGCTTAGACCAGTAGTTCATAGGATGTCTACGGGGTACTTAGGGTTGGGGTAATAAGGCGATATCATCTGCAATGCGGGGATGCCAAGAGACATGTGAAAGAAGAGAAAGAGAAGACATGCAGAGAATTCAACTATCTAAATGAAGATATAATTGCTGTCGATCTTGCGTCGATCCCTGTGGGGAATATTCTCTCGCATTGTTTTCCTTGTTAGTGGGAAAGCTTTAAAATTGTGAAGCCTCGGCTGGGATGAAATGACCTAAATATACTATCTTTAATAGCTTTAATATGATTATTATCCTTAATATAATCCGATAATCACCACTTTACCCTCCGACATCAAACCTCACAACCTCGCATCATCCATACCTCCCCAAATAGTAACAATGTCTACCCTCGACCTCATCACCCAATACACCCAAACAGCTCTATCCCACCTCCCCGAGCCAACGCAACTTCTCCTCCACAATTCAACGGCTCAAAAAGCCTTCGGTGTTCTGGCCGCCCTCTCCATCCTGCGCGCTACAAACCGCTTCCTTTCAAGACGCACCCTACAAAACTGGACCTCCAACCAACCATGGATCCCAGCCCGAGAGCTCATCCTGCTAACGGGCGGCTGTAGCGGAATCGGCAAGCAAGTGATGGAAGACCTAGCGCACACAGGCGTGCGTGTTGTCATCCTCGACATTAATGAGCCGAATTTCACATTACCCGCCAACGTCACCTTCTACAAGGCGAATATCACCTCCTCGGCTGATATCGCCCAGGTTGCGAGCACGATCCGTGACAGCCACGGCGAGCCTACGGTCTTGATAAACAACGCTGGGGTTGGAAATGACGGGACCATCCTTGATGAGTCTGAGGAGAAGATTCGTCAGACGTTCGAGGTCAATACCCTGTCCCATTTCCTTATGGTCAAGGAGTTCCTGCCAGCTATGGTAAAAGCCAACCATGGTCACGTTGTTACTATTGCTAGCATGGCGAGCTTTGTAGCGCTCGGCGAGATGGTGGATTATTGTTGCTCTAAGGCTAGTGCGCTTGCGTTCCATGAGGGATTGCGTCAGGAGTTGAAGTACTGGTATAATGCGCCCAATGTGCGCACTAGGTGAGTTACCCTCGGATATAGTGTGATGTGAATTTCTGCTGATTGTTGCTTTAGTATTATTCACCCCAAGTGGGTGCGTACACCCATGATCAAGTTGCTCACAGATAACGAGGCACATTTCCATCAGCCCATCATGACCCCCCAAGTGGTGTCTGAGGCTATCTGTAAACAGATCTTGACCCAGACGAGTGGCCAGATAATTCTTCCTGCTAGTCAATCAGTGGCTAGTTTGGTGCGTGCTATGCCGACCTGGATGCAGGAGGGTGTGCGCACTTTCGCGTCGGGTGCGTTGAAGAAGATGCGTATTGCGCAGGAGGCGGAGAAGGCGCAAGCGCAGTAGATAACTATTTTGTTTTGGAAATGATTGGAGATATGATTACGTTGTACCCATTTTGGATGCTGTACAGGACGGATGTACATATTGCTGAGAGTCGCAGAAATCCCACAGGCTGGTCCATGGAGTTGTAATGTTTTCCTCGAGGAATAGCCGGAGTGGATTTTTGTCAACTTTAGCCCTTTGAGTAATATCACAGCTCGTGTATAACATTGTACCTTTTTATGGAGGCCGTACTTGTCGCATCAAACCAAGCTCTTTCCGGCCGGGTATATATATTGTCTGCGGAAGTCACTTGCGAGTGACACAGAATATTTTGACTATTACTGTTTAAAACAGTTAATGCATGTCTTCAATATGTACTCAATCCATGTATGTACAGTATGTACAGTATGTACATCGTTGCTATAATCAAACCATCAACTCGGCCAAAACCGCCTCAACCTTCTTCCCCTGCTCGGTCTTCGTAACATCCCCCAACTCCAAATGATATATCGGCGCAACATGACACTCACGATTCCCGACAAACAACTCCACATTCTCAAAGCCCTGCTTAAACTTCGCCGCCAAGTCTTGAATCAGAGGCAACATAATCTCATTCCCGCCCGCAGTAATCAACACCGAATTCACCGGGAATGTCGTAAACCAATCCGCCGGCGCGGTCGATAAATCAGTGTAATAGTCCCGCTTGCCGTCTCCAATATAGGCTGTCGCCCATGGTCCTGCAACTTCCTGGGTAATGATATCACCGCCGTGGTAGATCTCCATACCTGGGAATTCTTTCTCGAGAAGTGTCCACGGAGCGATCATCACTGCACCGCCAAGGTTGCTGTTCAATGGCAAGGGGTTGATCTCTGCGTGTGGGTGGGCCAGGTGAGAGAGAACTCCACCAACCAGGTTGCCGCCTGCCGAGTCTCCGCCCAGGAAAATGGTGGACGGGTCGCGGTTTGGCTGCGAGAGGATGTATCGCAGACAATTCACGGCTTGTCGGAGTTGAGTCGGGTAGACTGCGATTGGCGCCAACGTGTAGGTCAGACTGAAGATTGCCACGCTTTTGCCTGAGGCTCTGAGGTCGCCTAGGAGTTGCGCGTAGAATTTGAAATAGCCCATGTTGGCGGGCAGTCCGAAACCACCTCCTGATAGATGTGGTTAGTTGAATGGTCTTCCTTTATGTTGGCTATATACATACCGTGAAACCAGACTACGACATTGTCGGCATTTCGATCGCCCACCCAGTGGCCCAATGCTCCATCGCCCAATTCCACCGACTCGGGCAGCCTGCCGGTCTTTTTGGAGTGTTGTTCGTAGATCTGATGAGATGGCGGTAGGATATATTGCATCTGACTCGCGGTCAACCGCGAGGTCGCCTTGCGGAACACCGCATAACCTAAGTGTAGGGACAAAGACTTGGCTTGGCGTTCGGTGCGCCGAAGGCCAGTCAGGAGAGCATAGATGTAGGCGATCACGATGGAGGCCACGGCCGGGAAGAAGTCCAGTTTCTCCTTTAAGGAGAGCTTTATTTTGGATACTTTGAAAGACATGATTGTATTTTCATGACTGTATCTATGGGGATATGAGGCCATGATAGTTAGGTAGATGTAGTAACTAATATATTAACTAGTTAGCTAGTTCATTAGTGAAAGTGAAGTGTGTCGATCCTTCGCAAGGCTATCCCATTTAGGAAGGTGCCGAGGTTTAGGGGAAATTCCTCGGTCGCAGCATGTCTTTCGAGGTTTGGCTATATTTTATGAATGTGTATGTTTACATCCATGTCTCTATATCTAAAGCTATATGGATATATGGATATAGGGATATAGGGATATATCCATATATCTATAGATCTGACATCCCACCAACCGGATTAGTCGAAGATCTATGTAACTTCTCAGGTCACAATTATTGTACTCATTTTTCGAATACATACATGCTACATTGATATCTGTATATCTGTATATCTGTATATATCTATATATATATTCGTACTAATATCAATCCCCATCTCCCCGGTCTCCCCCTGCAGATTTTTAAGGTTCTGCGTGCTGTTTACCCCAAATCGACTGATGTCGATCTGCCGATCAAACGAATCGTGAAACCGAGGTATGTCAACTTTCTTAAATAACAATGTTGTTCACTATTCACTACCCACTGGTAATTGCTCATTGATTGCATTCATCCATCATGAACGGAACCAATGGTATAAATGAAACCAAACACTTCGATATTATCATCGTCGGCGCAGGCATCTCCGGAATCAATGCTGCATACCGCGTCCAAGATCAACTCCCTGGTTACAGCTACACTATTCTGGAAGCTCGTACCGATCTAGGTGGCACCTGGGATCTCTTCAAGTATCCTGGGATCCGTTCCGACTCAGACCTTTTCACCTTCGGCTTCCAGTTCAACCCCTGGTCCCACGATAATCCCATCGCTGAGGGCTCTGCCATCAAGGAGTATGTACGCGACACAGCGACCAAATACGGCATCGACAAAAAAATCCTCTACAACCGCCGCTTGTCATCGGCAAACTGGTCCTCCGATGAAAATACCTGGTCGCTGACCGTCAACCACAATGACTCCCAACACACCTACACCGCCCGCTACGTTATCTTCGGCACAGGCTACTACAACTACAAGAATCCCCTGAAAGCCGACATCCCTGGCCTGGACGCCTTCCAGGGCCAGATCATCCACCCGCAGTTCTGGCCCGAGGACTTGCAGTACAAGGACAAGAAGATCGTTATCATCGGTTCCGGCGCGACCGCCATCACTCTGCTCCCCAATCTCGCCGACCATGCCGCCCGTGTCACAATGCTCCAGCGCAGCCCAACCTATATCCTCTCCGTCCCAAACCGTTCAAGCAGCCGCTGGATCTCCTACCTCCTCCCCAATGCCCTGTATGCCAGGATGCAACGCATGATCTGGATCTACACCACGCGACTCTTCTTTCTCTTCTGCCAGCGGTTCCCAAATTTCGCGCGCTGGCTGTTAAAATTGAATGTACGCAAGCAATTGCCCAACCATATCCCCTATGACCCACATTTCAAACCCAGATACAACCCCTGGGAGCAGCGGTTGTGTGTTTGTCCCGATGGGGACCTGTTTCGCAGTCTCCGGCAGGGCAAGGCGGATGTCAAGACAGATACTATTCGTGAGGTTACGAAGAATGGTATTATCTTGAATTCGGGAGAGCAACTGGAGGCAGATATTATCGTTACAGCTACTGGATTGCGCTTGCAGATCGCAGGTGGCTCGGCGCTATCTGTGGACGGGAAGAAGATTGATGTTGGTGATAAGTATTTGTGGAATGGAATCATGCTCCAGGATCTGCCCAATGCCGCTTTCGTTATTGGGTATACTAATGCCTCGTGGAGCCTTGGTTCGGATGCTACGGCTCAGTTTGTCTGTCGCTTGCTCAAGGAGCTCGAGTTGCGGAAGTTGATCTCTGCTGTTCCCCGCTTGAAGGAGAAGGATGCTGCTACGCTCCAGGATCGTCCTCTCTTGAACCTCAAGTCGACTTATGTGTCGCTTGCTGAGCGCGTCTTGCCCAAAGCTGCCGACCGCGGACCGTGGCAGCCGCGTGATCACTACTTGAAGGACTTGAAGTTTGCTCACAGTGGTGATATTGACACCGGACTGGAGTTTGTGCAAGGGCCGAATCTGCGCCTGCGCCCTAAGATGTCCTGATTGATGCAATTTTATGATATGATAGCGCGCTAACTACATTTTGGGTTGTCTGATTCGGTGTACATACGGCGTTTCAGGAGGCTCAGTAACAATACATTCATTCCTATTCTTCAAGCTGTACAGTCTCGTTGTCCATTAAAACTTAATACATGCTGCCAGAGAAGTAAATAACTTCAACACTCTCCCACAGTATCACACTTATCAGCTAATGTCTATCATGATGATGCATCCGACGGATTGGCACAGACGCTCATATTTCCAAAATACCACCCATGTTCAGGATTCGGCCACCTCAAATCCCGATCCGAACCAGCATTCCCAGCTTTACTATTAATCCCCTCAATATACTCCACCCCATCAGTGGTAACCTGCACCCCAGTCTCCAGAGTAATCCAGTATTCAGGCGAAGGCTGGCTCCAATCCAAGAAAGGCAGATTGAGCGGCACTTTCGGGACAGGGTCAGTAGTATGCGTGGCTCGGTAGATGCTGTTTGGCGTTTGTTGGTTGGTGATAAACTCGGCCAGCTTCAAGTTTCCTGGTTTCGGTCCTCCAAATGTCCACTGATGATTTCTATATGTTAGCTGGCATCTACCCTGCTGTCCTGTTCTGAAACTTGACTTACAATATCCAAAGTGAACCCCTGTGTTCGAAGAACAGTCCCTGCTAGCGCCGCAATACCCCCACCCAGACTGTGTCCTACAACGCTCAGCCTGTAGCCTGGATACGCGCTAGTTGCATCTTGAAGCTGGGTCGTCGCCTGGGTCGCTACATCGCTCCAGTAAACCCAGAACCCATGATGGGCTTTACATCCGGTGCAAACGTCCTCAATCGGGGTGAGAACAATATCGAGATCTGTGTTGCCGTCGCTTTTCGATACCGTGCCGCGGAATGTTAGGACGATCAGTTGCCGCGTGTGGTCTAGGGCAATATAGCCTGTGGGTCCGTTATCGCTGTGGAATGCGTTGATTACCGTCGTGTTGTCGGCTGCTACGAGTCCGCAGGTGCCGTAGTCGCAGGTCAGACTTTGGCCTGTGTGGTTGATGTTTTGATCACAGGCCGATAGGGTGGCGAATTGGGAGAACAGCGTGAAGCGTTCGAGTAACTCGCTTGAGATTGCTGATGCATTTTCATCGTCAGATTGGACATTGTGCTTTGTTGTACTCTGTAAGCGGAACCGAACTCACCCCGGCGAGCTAGTTGGACAGGAGATGCAATGACTACCACGCTGAGGGATAGCACTCCAAGCACTCGACATATCATTGACCCAACCATATTAGATAGAGCAAATGATGTATAGTGTCGAATGATACTTTGTAAGTGTACGAAATGAATTACAAAGACACCTATTCCATTGATCTCTGGGAAATTAGCTCATATTTATAGACATCCTTTTCCACCGCCGATGACAACCCACATATGGGATGTTTTCCAAAATAGGAGGGGTAATGGTGGCAGGACTTAATCCTATGATGCACCGTGATGACTGTATAACACCCAGCTGAGTATATCGGCAGCGCTAACCCTGCATCCGGAGGATAATTCGATCTTAGGGCAGCCGGAACAAACCAATTGGCATTATTTACCCGGGATTCTATAATATCATACATACATTCCACCCATACCCCTCGTGAACCGAAACATCCGAAGATGCTGTTGGACAGCGGGAAATTTTTCAATCCTCGTGTACTTGCTACATAACTTCTAACCCTCGAACACTAGGAAATCTTTTCCTTTCCTATTTACTGCTTACCTCTTGTCGCCTTTCGATCAGTGATTATTTTATCTTCCTGCTAAAATACATGATTTAAATAGTAGTTGTTAGCTATGCTAACTATGTTCTCTAGCTGGCATGTTACATATTTGTGACTACCAATAGCGTGACACCTACATGTGGAGTGGGTAATTTCTCAATCTGAATGAACCCTTGGCAAGGTAGTGATCTTTCTTCGATGGGTTAAGATTTACATGCAAGTCTCTCGTAGCGATCATCATAAGGTCAAGATCATATATGTATGTCTGTCTCACTGTGATGCGGCCCGCAGAATTTTACGCTAATGCGTACACACCCGATAGATCGGCGGTGATCATTTCGGCTCAACATCTACATCAGATCTCATTTCCCCATACGGAGTACTCCGTATACATATATTCACTAGGTGGACTCGTGCATGATGTAAGTTTGCCCCACCCCGACGGTCTCCGCCACCGCAAAAATAAATCATTCTCCTACGTAGATCACTACTCTATAAAGCATGTAATATTAAGAATTGCTTCTGTGATGCCCTCAATTGATCTATAGTCTAGATTCACTTATCCGGGCCGAGCCGAGCCCTCAGCTGGGCCTCTTAATTATCCAATAGCCTGCAGTGGCGTCCAATTCTCGCTTGTGATCCTCTCCCACTCACCCATACGCCCGCCATCAATGCGTTGCCTGGATACTAGAACACCAGCAAGGGAAGGGATGCTGAGCTGTGATTCTTTCGCCCATACATGCTGGCATTCTCGTGTTGTAGCTGGAAGGGTACACACTGGATGATGCCCCCATCTATACGGCCTCAAAGTGATCGAGTGTCTTGCATGGGATATAAAAAGGGGCAATGATATCCAGGCTGCGTTTGTATTCCAAAAATTATTTACACATAATTAAGCTGCCATTTCTCACCTTATTTCTCTACCCTTCCATCATTAATCAAGGGTTATACATAGAAAAGTGTGTTGCAGAAAGTATTCCTTTTTTCTATATACCTGAAAAGACACCCAAAAAGAATATCAAAAGACCATCGAAAAGACATGACAAGGCCGCATAAGCGGCTGACTAGTTAGCTATCCCTGTTCCATTATTAATTCTATCACTGATATGGCGTATTTGTAACTAAAATACAAAATAGCCATGAGCTCAAGTAAGCCCTGCTAGAGAAATTCCCTATATAGCGTAGTAATATATATGCAAGATACACACTTAGCTAGTTGCATGGATGCACTGTGTTTCACGTATGCCGCCTTAAAAGGGGCATGTAGAAGCAACCTCCCCAGATGGATTATTGACCTGAATATCAGAAATCATATTAATCCAGAGACAACGTAGCCATATTGTCCCGCAAAATATACGCCTTAAGGAGAAAAACATTATATAAAGTAGAAGGACCCTTCCATTGTTTACCCTCATGATATTAGATATTACCTACCGTGATCATGGCCCCCTTGCATTTTAATGTCGTACACCCTCGGTCTAACTAAACAATGCTAGCATGTTGTAGTACATAGCATGTCGTTGTAGTACATAGCATGTCGTTGTAGTGCATAGCATGTCGTTGTAGTGCATAGCATGTCGTTGTAGTACATAGCATGTCGTTGTAGTACATAGCATGTGTGACTACTACGATGTAGATCACTTAGCGTAGATCTTGTGAATCCATTTCGAGCACATGTTGCTTTATCTTGGCTTCGTGTGACTAACCGCATTCAAATATTGAAAGTACTCGCCCAATTGAAGGGAATCACTAATTTTATTGTTATAATTCTGTAGTTCTCCCTACATGCTTATATCTATTGGTAAGTAGCACGATCGTCAATGATTGCTTCTTCCGCCCTTTTCAGCCGAGGTAAAGGACCTCAAACCCCTCTATTATTCCCGCATAGTCACATTGAAGCAGCTATAGCTATAGAACGCTCGAGGAAAATATATTCCTACGTAAGTAGGAAATTCTTCTAAGGTTGGGATTTTCACCTTGTCCTATACAACTGTCACGATCTCTTATCCATCCACTTAGTTTCTCAGACTGTAAAATTCTTATATGTCTACGATTTTCAAAGTGATAAGCAATGATCTACTAGTCTCTCTATATAAGCTTTCGTTTTATATTGTGATCAAGGCTGGGTCTTATCACAATATGCAACCGCCTTAAAATGAATAACACCTGTGCCATCTGGACTTATATCTCGAGTTTCCTTGTTCCCTAGAAAATGCCTACCTACATGGCTGGCCTAAACGAAGTTTGCTTTGAATAGTCACGGTGATACATCTCTTGAAATATCTTCTCAAAAGCGAAAGTTATCTATATTCCCTAAGTCCTAGTAGAAGTATGTACTAGGGAATCCCTAGTCTTCACGTTGCCACCGACGGCAAAATCCAAAATACGACCTCACAAGATAGTCGCAAGCCCACCCTACTTTCCCTCCCTAAGCTCTCATTCACAGTTACCATGAGCCGAGTTCTGCTTTACACGTACTCCGGTGTTCAAACTCGGGGATATCGACTAACGCTTACATCTTCTCGTTAGAATTCACCTTGTCATATAGTGATTTACTAGCATGGCCTCCTTCAATATCTTTCAGATAGGAATCCTGGCAAGCATTGCTTCGCTGAGTCAAACTCGGCCACATCCCCAGCAAGGAAGTACACCTCACATGCTGAGACTCGTACGAGAATTAGCCATCACCTTCGACCACGAGCGAGCTGTCGAAATCACCAGTGATGTGGCATATGCATCCTCTGGTCGCATGACATCAATGCAGACAGTATCGTGACCCCGGTGCTTTGCACCTTCTGGCAGATTTCATGGGATCACATTCTACTACCAATAGCCCAAACCCTTGAACATGACTCTACCAACACTGGACCACCTAAGTGAGTCGCAAATAAAAGGAATAGACTTTAGTTCCATTGAAACAAAATAACATCAACACTCCAGATTAGATCGGGCCAACAATTATCTCTGGTAACTCGATGTGTACAGCGCTGCCCCTATTAAAAGGGATAAAATTAAAGTTTCGGGAAAGATTTAAGGTTAAAACCACAGTGGGCAAGTCGGATTTCGTCAGTTCGGCCACAATGATGGCATCCGAATACAAAAGCCACGGCGGCTACAACACCAAAGGAAGAAGGCCGGACGGAAGCTCAGAAACACCCCGATACCTGGGTGAAAAGGAAAAGGAGGGGACAGATGAGAAGATGATCGAGGAGTCGCAAGGCGGGAAGCAGTTCGTTGGAAATACTGTGAGGTGAGGGAGGCGAGGCATAGGGCTAGTGCTGATGTTGGGGATGAGGGCGAGAAGGCTGTGGGTGATTCAGAGGAAATTCGACGGAATGGGGAGGCTGATAAAAAGGGGACTAAAAGTAACAAGAGGGAGAAAACGGAGGGCAAGAAAAAGACAACAAGAAATGAGGTGCAGGAAGCAAACGCGGTGTTAAGCAGGATGAAATACAGAAAAAGAAACAGAAGGACAGCACCAGGAGGCAAGGTCTGCGGAAGAGAAAGTAAACCCTCTACTGAGGTTAGTTGATCCCTCTAAATCCGTATTTGGTCGATGCTATTGATAGTTAACAAAGTAAGAGCCGTAAAAGAGGCGATGACCGGAGTAAAACAGACATCCAAACTACAATCCAAGGGTAAAAGGTGCGATTGGAAGAAGTGATGGAGGAGCCATCAAACAATGTCTGAGAGAGATCCCAGCTCCTGAGACTGCCCGAGAGGAACAGTCTCAAAGAGGCAACAAAGCATTGACGACAACAAAATACATAGTCTACGAAAGAACGAAGTTGATTAAATAAAATATCATTTCAATGGGTATCCATGGTCTTGAAAACTATATTTGTTTATGTTCAGCTTTAGCCAATCATGCCAGGACCGAACCATCCATATATACCATTACTTCATCCTGACATATCTCATTTCGATACGGAAAATGATCATCGCTTTACTTTCGCTCCTCATCTACAACCATCTGAGGAGTAAATTCGCTGTCTGGAAGCATGTTCATGGCGTCCTCCTGGGCGTCCAACTTGTAGTTGGTGGCCCAGAATCCAACACCACCCAGGAAGGCGAGGATAGCAACCACGGTGTAGTTCCAAGTCAAGAGAGGATCATCAGCCAGACCAATGAAAGCCTGGCCGATGGCAGATGAGAAGGCGTTCATCAGGAGCGAGACAGCCTGGACGAGGGATCGCATGTTCTTCGGGGCCTTGGTGTAGGCATATTCGAGGGAAGTAATGGATGCAAGGATCTCGGAAATACCACCCATGATGTAGGTCAAGGCTTGGATCCAAACTGAGATGTTGGTGTGCTCGTGCTTAACCTCCAGACACATGTTGGCCTGGTTACCGCAGGGGCCCAACTTGTAGATGTAGTACTGGGTGACTGCAGCAACGACCATGCTGAGGGCGGCCACGATGAAACCGGCCGTGATACGCTTCAATGGGGTGAAGTGGAAACCCATCTTGCGAATACAAGGGTATACAATATGATCGAAGATGGGGATGAAGATGATGAGTGCAATGGGGTTGAGGTTGTTGATGATGTCGTTGGGGACACCTCCAAGTTTCATGGTGGCCGCTTGAGATGTCAGATTGTTCAACATCTGGTTGTAGGCGAGCCCTAAATATGGTCAGCATATGCGAATACAACAGGAGGGAGCGTTACACATACAGTAAAGGGGGTACCATAAAAAGACTCTGCAGGCGAGCAGTCCACGGCGAACTTCATCAACCCATGCATCGTCGAAGTCCATCCACGCGGGCTTGCTGGCTCCGAGGTGGCTGGGCTTGGCGGCAGCCCAAATATCGACACCAGAGCTCTTGAACCTACAGATGAAGGTCAGTAGGTGTAAGACTTGGCATTAACGGGACGGGACGTAGCTTACCATCGCACGGGGTTCAGGGTCCAGTGGCCCTTCATCGCCAACATTGAGACTTTGAAGGCTTTGGGGTAGATTGATCCACCGGGAGGAGTGAGGATGTAGTGTTTCTTGCAGAAGAGCAACACAGCAGGGCACAGACAGAACATGGCTGTGGGGAGCAGGTAAGAGAGCCAGAAACCAACATATCGCTCAGCGTAGACCATGGCGACCTGACCGACAAAAGAACCGATATTGACCATCATGTAGAAGTACATGTAGATACGGGAAACAGTGGCAGATGGGTCAACGATGACACGCTCACCGGAAGCAAGTGTCGTGACATAGGGCTTGTCCTCGCGATATTGCTCTGCAATCAGGGGGGCGATGTTGGCCTTGAAACCACCAGTTCCTACACCCATGATGATCAGACCAATAGAGAAGCATGCAATGGCTCCGTTGGGACTTTCAATAACCTTGGGAATGGCAGAAATGATGAGAATTACGTGTCCAATGAGTGCACAGGCAATCGCGGACATGATGGTGCGGTAACGACCCCACCATTGATCAGCAACCATGGCACCAAAGAGAGGCATGATGTAGGACCAGAAGGAATTGACTGTGCAGGTTAGGGATATTAGCGATGAACGCAACTCCTCGAGACCACATATCACTTACACAATGTCAATCCAGTGGAGGCCTGTTGGCCCATACCTAGAGCTCCGGGTGAATCATTGCTCCAGTCGGAGACACCTGGAACGAGGGCACCGGTGGTGGATCCAGTAGGCAAAGGCCGCTGAATGAAATTGACAACTAATTCAGGTTAGCCGTCTATCCTCTCTTTCTCTAAGATTGATACTGCATACAAACAGCAGTAGCACCGTAGTACGAGAAACGCTCGCACAATTCCACAAAGGCAACGCTGTATGCAGCCACAGGCAAGTTGCCGGCAACACGTCGCAAAGTGGCCAGTTCCTCCTCGGTAGGAGTAGTTTTATCCAGAGAATCACCTTCGATTGACACTTCCCGCAGGGGCGCATTGTCGATGGTCAGCTCATCAACCACGGGGGCTTTCTCGTTGGTACCGATATCGTGGGAGATTGCCTTTGATTTGGCAATCTCAGCCACATCGACAGGATCGCTGGCATTCATATTGGCGGTTCTGGGATCCAGTGATATGGGAGATGAAACACTCGGCAGAAAAAAGAAAGGAAGAAAGACTTGCGGGAGGGCGAGGTGAAGGAATTATATGCCCCATGGCGTGATTAGCGGAACCGTTTAACTGTGATTTCCAAGATATCCACTACTCATTTCTCACGTTCCTCCATTCTAGAACCCGGGGCAATGTCTGCATTAGGGAGGTGGCGGACGGCGGACATGGCAAAAACCGTCAATAGCCGGAAGAGACCCTGCGTCTGGTACTTTTTCAAGATTAAACCTGTTGGGATCTGTGCCTCCAATGGGGAGCCTCGGGCTCATCCGGCCTAACCACTTTCCTCTGGACGAGATAAGCAAGGTTCCAGCTTTGTTCCAAATCAAAAGAGATCCCGGGAGGCTAATGGTCAATAAGACTTGGATCGTCCAATTAAAGAGCTAATGTGGGCTTAGGCCCCCCAGTTTTGATATCCACTTTGTGTTACTTGGCGTCGCCTTAGCGTGTCTTGGGGCGGTTTGGCCGAGTATCTCCCCGCGCCATGTCGCTTGGCTGGTAGGTTACATTGTAACCCTGTTTGCTTGGCCAACTCATCTACCTAATCACAGTAAAGAACGGCTGATAACCGAGGTGCGATAACTGATATCCTTTGATATCCCGCACATGGCCCCCGACCAATCACAAAACTTGAACTACACTCCCTTGCAAAAAGTGCGGGGCCTCAACTGATTAGGCTCAAGGTCAAATTCCCACTACTTTCCCCCTGGAGAAGTGAGACATGGTGTGATTGGCCTTGTGATATTGCCATCGATTACCCGACTCTTTTACAAACTGCTTTCGTGCATTGGCAGTCTCTTGGGCCGTCGGTGCCCCGGGAATCCTATAACCTCATGACTATCAAGCTGACTACCTGTTTTACTTGGAAGCCATGGGTCTACCCCCCTCCCCGGTCTAATGCGATTAGGCATCCTGATTGCCCTTCCTAATTCCCTCCAGTTCATGCCACACATCGTCCGATATTCTAGGGATAATCATGTTGTATGTGTCGTTTCCTCGTTTCTTTCACCACCGTGTAGTATCTGCAATGAACAATCGCTTGAGTCTCCGGAATATGCAGTTTATCACCCGTCAGAATGCTTGTGTTTGATGTGAATGGCGCGAAGCCGGCCGACAGTCCCATCCAACGTCTACCTTGGTGCGTTGTCAGGAGATCAAAAGTGCAGTGACACTTACACTCGCATATCAGGGTGATTTCTGGATTATTGGCATGTTGATCAATGTCACTGGCTCCTCGCTCACTTTGGCACGTTCACCGCTTTGCGCAGCTCCCATGTGGCGATACTCCAGACAACCTTGCCCACTTATTCTGCATTGACCACTGTGTCCTTAGGCATTCCCTTGACCGTTTTTTGATTGGACGATAACATAACATACATATGGTGGGTTTAATTAGTTACAGTTATGATTCATTAACATTTAAACCCTGGTACCTTCTCAAGGTCCGAGACCCATTTATTTCCTGCCGGTAGAACATTAATATTATTCAAAATCAAACGTTTTAGCTCGCATATACGCTCGGAACGAGCTTAGGGCCTCGCTCTATAATAGTAGATAATATAGAGATGGAACTAGAGAGGTAAAAAACAGAGAGAAAAGGGATAGTAACCTCGATAATCAGCGTATACTGCGCGCCCTAGTAGGAATAGGTAGGCGATATATAAAAGCGGTCAATGGTCGAAGTATTGGGATCTAAATATTAATGAAACGCCACTGTGTGTCTGTGGAATTACCAATACCCAGCTATGTAAGCTGACTTGGCCATGTCTTGTTTTGAGTGGATATGCATCCCCTCGCATGACCACGCATACCTGCATTGTTACAATGTCAGATTATGTTTGTGACCATGCAGCCTTGGTCGCCTTGGTCGCCTTCAAGGGATCGTGGGAACGATGTGTTTAATAACTCCCGTAAAACACCTGGCAATTTTCTTCCGACTGCTAACCCCTTTTCATCTTCTCCTCTTTTCTTTCAAGTTTCCTATTGCCGACGACCCTACTAGAATTTATTTCACACCTATCACGCGCAAAGCCACTCCGAAATCCAAAGGTTCACCAGGTGCCATTAAAGTGGCTATAACGTGGTATCTCTCCTTCCGTTCTTTCACAGCGACTCGAGCCTCGAGCCATTGGGGTAATACACATAGCGGAATCCCCAGATGAACAAGCCATATGGATAAACACACCCGACATTGCAAAAGCCTATACAGAGCAGATCGAGCCGAGCTGACCGGTGTAAAAGAAAGTAATTCCATAGACACTGTTTCTCAGCTGCGATATCATGCTCGGTACTTCTGCCTCGCCGAGGAAGCACCCGATGGACGCCATTGCAGCAGCTGACTGGCGGACCATCTCATATTTCCCCTACGGGTTCTATCGGGACATGAGAAGATGCTTTCAGCCAGCACAAGGGTCCCGTACGTACCTCAAATTACACTGCCCGGTACAAGGAAGCAAACCCAAAAAAAAAAAACCAAATTTCGGTTTGACCACTCAGCCCCGATCTGATACCAGGTCGCCTCGATTATCCCTTCTAAATATTGCGCGAAACTTGATTGATCTCACGAAAATCATCAAGATCTCCCTGACTAGTCTCTCCCCCGATCGCATGTTAATTCGCACCGACGGTCCCGTCCCAAATCTTCTTCCGGATCGACCTAGTCACCTTTTAAAATGGACCGCGACGCCATGTCAGTGCGGTCTAGCACAACCTCTAGGTAAAAACTATCCGTGTTTCTTCCAAGCAGTGCCACCCCGTCCGTGCGATTTAAATTAGGATAGGGGTAGGGACTTTGATCCAATCAGACTTTCCTCCGAGAAGCCAGTCGGTGCGATCTAGCATTAGGTTATATCCACCCGGATTCCTTCCGGGAAGTTTTGCACCATCCTCACAGCACAATCGGGGTGGGGTATAGGGAGCGGTCTTTGGTCAGGTCGACCTACAACATAGTTTTACGATGATCTTGAGTTCAATCCAACCCCAATAATACCGATAACTTTGGCGCAAATACCTTATAAGCAAGCCATATCAACCTGGCCTCCTTCCGACCCAGATGTCACCTCGGTCGTACCTACAGGCCCTTCCGATAATTCCTCCTTGGAAGGGAGCCACATCCATCTGGCCAGGATCAGGGTTCTGATTCCCTTCGACATTGGATCAACAGCACGGGTACCATGCTAAGGTTTCTCCATGACTTGATTTCAGCTCAAATCGCTCCGACCGGCGGCACACTTTGAGAAAGTCAAATCCATATAACCATGATCTGCACGTTTGTACAATCCCACCTCAGTTTATATGAACATTTCCAACAAGGAAAGCTAGATGGATATGAGGATGACCTTCGTCCAGGTGCCTAGCTAGGTTGTACTGACAGGCCCTCATAATGGGCGCTTCTTGGAGGGAAGCAAGATCGAACTCCCAACCTCGGTCCTATCCCAGATCTTCTCGATGGACCTTCGGAGATTCCTTTGGATCCGAATCAATTCGATCATGATTCCGACCCAACTGAAATTCACCCTGGCTCGCACTGGCAAGTCTGTTTTGGACACCTATACGTGGGGAGTTATATCAACCTGAAAAAAGTCACTACTCTGATCCCACCCTGATCGTGCCGACAGGCACTTGCACTTCTTCAAAGAGAACCTGATCGATCGCACCAAAAGTCGAAGTGATCGGCTCTGGCAAAGACAGTCTCTTAGAACTTCACAAGAATCTGACCCTCATTTTCTTTATTACTTACTTCCGATCGCACCGACCAATCTACAAAGGATAATATCTTGGATGGGCTCCGTATAGATGTTACAAAGCTCCCAGCTGTCTCATCTATCAGTCGGATGGAGAAAAGTATCTCTTGGACTCCCATACAGATCCTCCAGCCCATTGACGAATCATGAACCCACTGGTTTATTGGATGCGAAATTGTTTCTGACGCGCCCTATTGCCTAGTTGCACCCCCCGAACCCGAGAACTCCTGCTAACGGAAACGGAAGATGGAAAGGCACAACGGCTAGCTAGGTCGGCGCGATAATGAAGTTTGCCCTCAATCGCGTTAATGCGACATTCGAACCTATGATAGCTACCTGCATGGGACTGCTGAGGTTGTCTTTGAGAGGTCCTTAGGTGGGAATTTCCGTGAGACCCACGACTACATCACCCCGGTCACGTCTAGATACCTTTTTTTCACTTGCAAGATCCACCACGTCAATCCCACAATGCATCGGGAAGAAGTTATGCCTTCAACAGTGTTAACGGAGCAAGTGTCTGTCTCCATAACGCCCATATCGAGTTGACGTACCTTGACACCAAGAACACGAAAATGTTCAAGCGCCTCAACGGGCGTCTTTTGCCGCACACATTTCAATTACAGCATGACTCTGTCAATGAAACCACGAGTGATCTGCGTGCTAAATCCGAAGGCATGATTAACCCGGTTTGGCCGTGAGAATCCTTTCAAACGTGGTAGCAAGAGAAGGAGGGGCCGAATATCAAGATCGGGTTCCAGGAAAACGATGAATTTGAGGAGTTGCAGGGCAACTTGATTGTTATCTCCACGAAGGCTGTTGTATTTTGCCAATTTTTCTCATCGACTAGCATCATGGCAAAAGTCTTCATCTGAAAAAAGCATTGATTTGCCCAACAAGCTGAATTTTCACATATCCTTAACACAAATTTCCAGTCTCAAAGATGGCGGACTTGGCTTTGACTGATATATCTCTATTGCCATGGCCAATCATGCAGAGGGCCGTGTGAACCGATGGTCGACTGTTCACTTTTCATCCAGTTTCCGCAAGGATAATGGTATATCTCCCACAGAACTTCCACGTTTTCCGCGAGACTTCATCACCTTTAATCTTAGGTCTTTGGGCCGAAATATCCCCTTGTCGGCGGATAGACTTATAGCCCTCTAATTAAAGTCTATTAACCTATTACAGTACCTCTTTAACAATAGCCCCGTCGAAGTTGATGAACGGGCACATTTTGATCATCACGCCGGATGCCCTCGAATATGGCATTCAGAGCGAAAGTGTTGGGTTTCCGCAGTTGCCATGATAAACCCCCAGAACGTTAGAACTGGATAGGTAGCAGTTTGGAAGCCTAGCAACTTCCAAAATTAGCTAACATAACTCCGTAATCACGGCTAATGTCCTTTCGAACAAATCCCGAGACTATATCATTACGTCCATAATCTTCATGGGGCTGCGGGGAACACATGTGGGGGGGTTGGGGGTCCTTTTCGTTTAGGAACGAATATAACTATTCGTCACATATTCATATATTTACATATTTGGTGTATTGAATTTTTTTATATTCTTTTTAAATATTCAAATATGTTAGATTTATGGAAAATTGTTGAAATGAGCCATAAAAGTGGAAACAGATATAGGATTTATACGTCTGGAAGTAAACCTTGCCTAGGCTGTCAAAGTTGAGATACACAAAAAGTGTGAAGCATATCAGCGGAAGCGGCAATGAAAAAGGAGATAATACGAATGTATTGATAATATTGACTGATAGAGTTTGAAGAGGAAAAGAGAGGAGACAGGACGAGGATCTAACTGATCTATCCTAGAAGTCCGAGGTCCGTTAGGGGAAGGGGTTACATGTGGGGTATTTTCTCCAAATGCGTCGTTAAAGTCAGACCGACTTGTCTCCAATCGAGATATTTTGCATTACCTTCGCCTATACTCTTCGACTCACGAGATATGGCTTTGAAACTTCCTCATACGGACGCTTTCGTTAAGCTCCAGCTTTTAAACGGCGGCAGTATGATGAATCCGCAGCACATGATTATAACCAACACGGATGACTCGATCGAGCACTTATACAACTGGTCAATTTATATTTACCATCCATCCCTCGAACGTCACGTCCTTTGGGACATCGGTATTTCCAATGTAAGGGGAGGGGTCAAGCACGTTATGCACTAAGTGGTTCCTAATGGATATGGCTTATAATTATAAACAGAACAATGATGATTACAGTACATTCATTGCCACTAGTGGATGGTCCATGTTGACACCAATCGGCCCTAAATGGACAGTTCAAGAGCAGCTTAAGATTCGAAATAACCTTGAGCCACAGCAGATTGACATTGTGTTGTTCAGGTAAGCTCCCAGCCAAATCCACGATGTATTCCTCTTATCACCTACATTCTAACGCATTCTGCAGCCATGCACACTTTGACCACTGTTGGCCTGTACGGTCAATCTTTCTGTTAGCGACAGGGTATTTCGGACCGGGCGCCGCAGAGCACTGCCATCCTGGTCATTTCCGGGACCCAAGCTCAATATTTGATGGTCGATGGTCGATTCATTGATCTACAAAAGATGACCGAGAGATGGCAAACGTTGAATGGTCCTTGGGCATCGTTTGGACTGTTCAAGTCCGCAATGGACCTTTATGGAGACGGTAGTTTTTGGATATGTTAGGCTCCAGGGTATATTCCTGGAAACCTATGCGCCGTTGCAAGACTCGAATGAGGAGAGTGGGTCCTGCTAGGGAGCGACTGTTGCCATTCAAGTTAGGGAGTTCCAAGGCTGATACTCTCAATCTGTCTAATTCAGCATTGAAAAGGCGTATTATCGACGGAATTTCTGATTTTGCAGTGGTGCCCCTCCCCGACGGGAAAACCTATTGTCTTCAGGATAACCTAGAGGCAACACGAGAGACTGTCGCAGCGCTTGGAGTCATGGAAAAGGATTATGAAGTTCACATTGCGTTGGCCCACGATACTCAATGGATGAGAATGGTTCGGATCGAACACTCATGGGAATGTTGGATGATGAAATGAGACAGGCAATAACGACGATTGCGTTTGGAAAGCCTTTGCTTTGATTAGAATCACCAATACTGCCAAGGACTGTTTGACTCTCAATGTACGTCGCCCGTCCGGAACTCAGCCAGACGCAAAGCTACCAGTGCTGGTCGGGATCTTTGGTGGTGGCTTTGAGTAAGGTGCCACCGCCATCTACGATGGATTAAACTTTGTGGCGAGCCCTGTGAAATTGGATATGCCAGTCATGTTCGTGGCCATGGACTACCGTCTCGGGGGGTTCGGGTTCTTGCCGGGTGCAGAGATCCTGAAAGCTAGCTCCGCCAATCTCGAACTTATGGACCAGCGTCTTGCATTACAATGGGACGCAGACAACATCGCCGCATTTGGAGGCCATCCGTCCAAGGTGACCATTTGGGCTGAGTCTGCCGGTGCCCTCTCAGTATTTTATCAGATGGCCATATATGATGGCGACAATACATACAACGGTGCACTGCTCTTTCGCAGTGCCACCATGAACTCCGGCAGCATTGAGCCTGTAAATCCCGCTGACGGCTCGAAAGGCAAGGCCATATACGATACTGTGGTTAACAGCGCCGGTTGCAGTGGCGCCAATGACACCCTCGGATGTCTACGCGGGCTGGATTATACCAAGTTTCTCAACGCCGCCAACTCGGTTCCGGGCATCTTAGGTTATAATTCTGTCGCCGAGTCCTCTGCCTCGTCCGGATAGCACGGTTCTAATTGAAGCACCAGAACAACTAATTATCCAGGGCAAATACGCCTGGGCTGCCGTTCATCGTTGGCGACCAAGAAGATGAGAGCACTGTCTTTTCTCTATTTCCGAACAATTTGACAACCACCGATCATATCGTGGACTACCTACAGACTCTGTTCTTCAACGCTTCCCAACAGCAGATTACGGATTTTGTCGCCACCTATCAAGATATCAAAGAAGACGGCTCACTCTTCCGCACGGGATACCTTTATAACTGGTACCCACAATATAAACGACTGGGAGCCATTCTGGGTGATCTGCCCTTAACTCTCACATGCCGGGCTTTCCTAAACTACACCCAGAAAACGAAACCAGACGTCCCTTCTTGGTCCTATCCTATCTGTCATATTACGACCATGGCCTTCCCTTCCTAGGAACCTTCCATGGATCTGATGTTGTCCAGGTGTTCTATGGGATCCTGTCAAATTATGGCTCCAAATCCCTGCACCCATACTACTCGTCCTTTGTGTATGAAGAGGACCCCGATACAAAAGCTGGAGATTACATGGATTGACCACAATGGGGTAGCAACCAGTCGCTGATGAACTTTTCCTCGATCGTGGTGCCCTCTTGCCGGATGACTTTCGTCTAGTTACGACCAGATTATGGCGAATCCTGCTGCATTTCATCTTTGAAAGGGAATGCAGGTGTTCCTGATCAACAGCTTGACGAGTCATGTTTAAATGAATTATATATTACGATACATACTAGCCAGTATTAGTTTTTGGGGTTTGATCTGCACGGTTCTGCTCATAGAAAGTAGGTCGTTATCAATGATATTCGCAAATTCCGGGATAAATTAATCCCCAAGCAGAATTTGTTATCGACACAAAGTCTCTGTTTATCTCCAGCTCGCCGTCACAGTGGCTGTAGTTCCAGAACACCCAGTTGGCACCGTATACGACCGGTTAGGGTCACTTTCCCACGTCACGGTTGAAGATCCGGTTGTCTTCTTGAGGAATTTGTACTGGAAGGTTGTTCCGACGGGGAGGGTGATAGTCGCCTGCCACAGGGGATTGGAAGAAGTGTAACTGCTTGCAGACAGTGCAATAGCTTTACTAGTGTCCCAGGCACCAAGTTGGCTGATCGATCCTGAGACGTAGATATCTTGCCCATAGGAAGTAGTCACAAGCTCCTTGAATAGAACTGGCAGAGCAGTTGCTTGAACGCAGGCCGCCCCCGTAGTGGTTGTTGTCGCTGTAGTGGCTGTGGTACTGGGGACAGATGAGCCGCATAGACCGCTGTTGCTCACGGAGGACGTGAGAACAAGCACCCGCGGCAATCCAGATGCCATTGGAACGGGAATTTTACCGCTGGAATCCACTGTGATAGATGTGCAAGTGTACATCTCCAGCAGCTTGGCACCGGATGAATACCCGCTCCCACTTAAAGACAATGTGTAGGAGGACCCAGAAGACCCAGCGTTGGAAAGCACCGTAATGACCGGCGAGCTGCCAGATCCCTTCTTCATGGCTAGCGTATTGCTGTCTTGATAGAAGGGGACATTCTAACAATTTTTCAGTCTTTTTCAGTCTTTTTCACTAGAATGGCTTTTACAATACGTACCTTTGTCGTGATATAGGTGGAGTCTGCTGCAATAGCCGCTTTGCGGATCTTGTTCGTAGTTGCGATATATTGATATAACTCTACTGTGGTAGAGTATCCCGACAACCAGATAGCTTCTCGGTTGGCGGGGTCACTTCCACCACTATAATGCTGTTCCTGGCCTGAATATACAATGGGAATACCGTCCGACAAAAAGAGGAACGAGATCACATTCTTGGCCTGTGAGTAGTCACTTGTGTAGCTATTATGAGCAGTCAGTGTCATGTATCCCTGAGAACTTCAAATGTCTCACCTTGGAAAACGTGGGTTGTCGTGATTCTCGATGAAATTGCCCAGCAGAGTTGAATCGGCACAATCAGAAGCCACGGTGCCGATCATGTTATACAAATCGCTAATGCTGCCACTGGAAGATTGGAACGCCCGTAGCAGTGGGTAATAGCTGAGCTGTTAGCCTTTCCCCGGAAAACAGGATGGCAGTCTTCTTACATGGGGTAATTCAAGACACCGTCAATGTAGTTCTGATAGTCGCAGGTGTAAGCTGGATCTCCATCGAAAACCTCCCCGACAGCGTATACGCCTGCTGCGTCATTGAACCCAGGCCAGAAGGACTTTTGGACATGCTTCACAGTATCGACGCGCAATCCATCAACTGACTATGTTAGGTCGGCTTATAACATAAACTACTAGACTTACTAGAGTACTTAGACACTAAATCCCCAATCCAATTGTTCCAAAGGGTCTGCACTGAGCTCTGGGTTGTGTCGAGATCTGGCAGCGAGACAGTGGTGTCGCCAAGCCAACAATTCTCGACATTAGACTGGTCATCGTAGTTACTGATCAAACAGTAGGGGTGGAAGTAAGATGAAGAACTAAAGGGAGCGAAAACACTGTAATCCACAGTATTTCCAGCCCCAGCATAGCCCTATTGCCGTGTTAGAAAGGTCCTATCTCATTGTTTAATGACAATGTACCATGTGATTTGCCACAACATCAACCATGAGATACATGCCTCGAGCGTGCAGTGCCTTCGAGAGTGCTAAGAGATCATCGGATGTACCATGGTTTGGATTGACATCGTATCTAGTGAAGTTGGTAAGCAGGAGTCCAGCATCAACTGTTCAATAATCTTACATATCTTGCTGCCAGTACCCATGATAGGACGTGCCATCGCCAGTGTTTTGTGAGAGCTGTTTGGTCACTGGAGTGATCCAAATAGCAGTAAAGCCCATTCCCTGGATATAATCCAACTGGGTAGTCAAGTCAGTATATGGATTCTAAGTGATGGATTTAATACATACTTGGTTGATAATACCCTGCCAACTGCCACCACAATAAATCTAACAGGCGTGGTCAGTGTATCAATTGAGCATCCAGGGTTGAAAATTGCACATACTCTGTCGTTAACATTGCAGGTAGCAGTGACTGAATTGTCGCTGCGTCCGAATCTATCCGTCAACAGGAAATAGATCGATTGACTGCGCCATTCCGCGGGAGTTAGGCCCAAAACCATCTGCCATAGTAGTATGGTTGCTGTGAATATAAGATTCTTCATGTTTGCGGCCATGAATAAAGTGGGACTTAATGTTTTAGTGAAGTTTAGATTCTTGTACAAACCAACAGGGGGACAAGTCAGACCCGATTTATAGCCTCAACTTGCATGCTGCACGTTACGGGCATGTCATGCGGACCAACATAAGCTGGACTTTTGTTAACGGCGATATACATCGGTATAAGCTTTGCATTGTTCCAATCCAATCGGTTAAATGTGCTAGACGTGAAAGTTCCAAATTCCTTGAAGTCTACTCCGCTGGACCGAGATGTCGAGTTAACACAATGGGGGGCGGATAATTCTCTGTAGGAAACTAACGAGACTAGGGCCTGCACCAGTCTTGAAGAGGTCCATCTCTCCGGAGCTTTGCCTATCTGCGGGATTGTTCGTGGTTCCACATCTTCAGAACACAATGGAAGAACCAGAAATTTCGCATCAAACTCACATTGTAGCTCATTTCTACTCGTATCTCCCTAAAGCGCTACTTCCAAGACAGGCCTAGCGTGCTGTTGACGGAGATACTTGAACTAGCTGATTGGTGGCTATCAGCCACCCCCCCAGATTCTACAGTGAAGATGAGTGAAGATGACAGGGGGCGGAGATTCAACGGAATCAAATACCGGAGATGAAGACTCGGCATCTTCCTGAGGTAATTAATGCTTGATTCAAATCTGGTCGATCCAAGCGATTGGGATGGAGATCAACGATCGGATAATAAGACCTGGCATGTGTCTCGGGAGATATTCGATCCGCCTGCTGAAGAGAGTAGTGATGGACAGGAAACTTGCAGAATCCACACAATGAAGCTCTTCACTAGCGCTGGAATCAAATTCGAAGCTAACGGTAATGCAGCAGCCAAATGCCGATCTTTTCCTAACATCATTTCTCCGGAGGCCCCGGAACTCGTTTCTTCTGCAATAGTGTGCTATCATGCAATTTACAAGCAAGTTGCATGAGGGTTGCATTAATTCAATTTTGAGTCGCGACCGAATGGATTTTTCGGTGGCTGAAATCCTCACTAGCTGCAGCCCCTATAAAAACTACGTTTGACCCCCACGATGATCCCAAATCAACCCACTTTCCGACATCATCATGGCTCCTCGCTTTTGGACTGCCCTTTGGGCGCTTACTCTTGGCCATGCTGTTGTGGCTGCGCCCCAGACATTGGTCCCTCGTGCGACAGGTAGTTTGGATACCTGGTTGGCATCTGAGAGCGCGGTCGCAAGACAGGGTATCCTGGATAATATCGGATCGGCTGGTGCCTATGCTGCAAACGCAAAGCCGGGTATTGTAGTCGCCAGCCCGAGTACTTCTGACCCTAACTGTAAGTTATTCCACGGCTGCTTATCGAAGTCAAAACTAACCGAACCTATAGACTATTATACTTGGACTCGCGACTCGGCCTTGGTGTTCAAAACTTTGGTCGATATGTTCAAGAACGGTGACAGCGCGTTGCTGGATGTCATTGAAGAATACATCAGTGCTCAGGCCTATATCCAGACAGTATCAAATCCATCTGGAGCTCTTTCCGGCGGCAGCGGTTTGGGAGAGCCCAAGTTCAACGCCGATGAGACAGCTTTCACCGGCTCTTGGGGTCGCCCTCAGCGTGATGGACCAGCCTTGCGAGCCACTGCATTGATCTCGTTTGGAAACTGGCTTATTGTATGAATTTCGATTCTGTTGCCTTGTGCATTACTAACCCATTTAGGATAATGGGTACACCACCTACGCGACCAACATTGTCTGGCCCGTTGTGCGCAACGACCTCTCCTATGTTGCCCAGTACTGGAACCAGACGGGATTTGGTTCGTTTACCTCGGACTTTAGTGATACCCAATACTGATACCCTACAGATCTCTGGGAGGAAGTTTCTGGCTCATCGTTCTTTACCGTCGCGGCTCAACACCGTGCCTTGGTAGAGGGAAGCACGTTTGCGAGCCAAGTCGGTTCCTCATGTTCTTACTGTGACTCTCAGGCTCCCCAGGTCTTATGCTTCCTACAGTCTTTCTGGACTGGATCTTACATTCTGGCCAACTTCGGTGGTGGCCGCTCTGGCAAGGACGCCAACACCCTGCTTGGCAGCATTCAAACCTTCGACCCGGAGGCGGGATGCGATGACACCACATTCCAACCTTGCTCAGCTCGTGCACTCGCAAACCACAAAGCTGTGACTGATTCGTTCCGGTCGATCTACTCTGTTAACTCTGGTATTGCTGCGGGCAAGGCTGTTTCCGTTGGTAGATACCCAGAGGACTCATATTACAATGGTAACCCTTGGTACCTCTGCACTCTGGCTGCAGCTGAGCAGTTGTATGATGCTATATACACGTGGAACCGTATCGGCTCTTTGACAATCACCTCTGTCTCTTTGAGCTTCTTCCGGGATCTGTACAGCTCCGCTGCGACTGGCACCTACTCCTCGTCCAGTGACACATACTCTTCAATTGTGAGCGCTGTCAAGGCATATGCGGATGGCTATGTTAGCGTTGTGGTATGTTGCAAATTGCTATCGAGTGTTGATCACCCCGACTAAAGATTACCTTAGGAAAAATACGCCCCATCCACTGGCTCTTTGTCTGAGCAATTCTCCAAGTCAGATGGTTCCCAACTCTCAGCTCGCGATCTGACTTGGTCCTACGCAGCCCTACTTACCGCCAATGAGCGTCGGAATGCTATTGTTCCCGCACCATGGGGTGAGACATCTGCCAGCAGTGTCCCTGGACAATGTCAATATACTTCGGCTATTGGTACTTTCAGCTCTGCAACAAACACCGCCTGGCCTGCCACTTTGACTAGCGGATCAGGCAGCGGAACCACTACTGGATCAGGCAGTGTCACCACCACCAAGGCAACTACCACGACAACAACATCATGCACCACTCCGACTGCCGTTGCAGTGACATTTAATGTGATCGCCACTACTACATATGGACAGAACATCAAGCTTGCTGGATCTATCTCTCAGCTTGGCTCCTGGTCCACAAGCAGTGCTATTGCGCTAAGCGCATCATCATACACTACGAGCAATCATCTATGGTTTGTAACTGTGACACTTCCAGTGGGTACTAGCTTCACCTACAAGTATGTCCGGGTGGCGAGTGATGGTACCACTACGTGGGAGAGTGACCCGAATTTATCGTACACTGTCCCCACCACGTGCGGTACCACAGCTGTGACCATTAGTGATACCTGGAGGTGATAAAGCGCAGGAAAGATCTCAAAAGCAGTTCGAAGTGGAAGTTTTGGTTGCGCTATCTTAGCTTCTTGCTGCTTTAGCAAAGTTTTGAATACAGTATTCCTCCGTTGCAGATTGTGGTTTGGTTATTCTATTATTGTAGAATAGCAACATGACAATGGATATTTATCTATGATCTTCAGGACTATAACTATCGCGTCGATTGTGAGAAATCGGTTCTTTGATAGAGCAGGACGTTTGTTGAAATGCTTAACTGTTGGTCAATGTATGCCTTTGTGTCAGAATATTCCCAGCATATATATTTAGCCGGGTAGTCTCTTAGCATGCCTTTCGTTACTATCTTCCATCTGTTTATAACTATACATTAGATTCCACTCGGACTATTATATCTTTATTAGGGCTTATCACACAAGGGATGTCATTTTTCAGATTTCGTTCCCATCTTATTAATCTCGAATCTCATATAGGTAGTCCTGATAGACGAATTCTAGATTTGATGGCGCGCAATAAACAACCCGCCGAATGACGCCAAAAGCGAACAACCAAGGGAAACAACTGCAGCACGTTAGTGGAATGTACCCAATATAACATAATTCATGAACTCACGATATGTATGCTTCAGTCCCGAGATATAACAAGCCACAACAATATTCCGTAGCTGGCCAGTTAGGTGCGCGATATAATTCGTATCGTCCATCGCGCGTTGAATAACCTAGAGTAATTAGAAGTAAGACTAAAGATCCTTAACAAGAAAGTACTCACTTCCTCAGAGCCAGGTCCGTGGACATTTAGTCTCAGCTGCCGCTGGAACTCCATCCCCAGAACGGAATTGGATGTAGTCACACCAGCCGTCATGGAGAATCCCACAATAAGCATATACCCCGCCGTCGCCATGGCGATTTCCTCAGCCGGCAGCATAGCGGACATGGCAATAAATGAGGATGCTCCTGCGATTCCAGTCCCAAGTCCGCCAGGGAGGATAAATAGCGACTGCCAGAAGCCGCTGTGTCCATCCCAGCGGAGGTAGAGAAGGAGGTAGGAAATGCCGGCAACTAGGCCCGCGAGGACGAGGAGGATTTTGAATTGCCCTGTGCGCCGGATGAACATTCCTGCCAGCAGTCCACCAAGAGTGTTTCCTACCACCGCTGGAATGAGATGTACGCCCGCTGCTGTTGTTGATGCACGCTGAGTTACTTGGAAATACAGTGGGACGGAGAACATTAGTCCCAGTTGTGCGGTGATCTGGAGTGCGCCGATTATGTATGCCATTGCGACGTTTGTGCGCCGGAGAATGCGGAGGTTGAAGATCGGTTCGCGGGCAACGTAGCTTTCCACGAGCACGAAGGCGATAAAGAGTGATACTCCGCCGCTTGCTAAGAGACCTGTCCGCCATGAGCTCCATGCGAAGGACTTCCCGCCTTGGTCGAGGAGTGTGGTCATGGCGACAATGGATGATCCTAGCAGTGCCGTTCCAAGGAAATCAACTTTGGCAAGTTTGCTTTCCTTGGAGGTGGATTGTGGTCTCTCACTGACGTTCAGTTTCACAATCACCAGAGCTGCAGCCAATGCGAGGAATGGAGCTTGTAAGATAAACAGCCTAAGAACTTGGTTATAAATTATATTCAGCCCTCAGAAAGGTAGAGACTTACCATCTCCATCCGATAGTATCGCTCAGCCAACCACCCAGCGGACCTCCAAGACTGCGTCCAAGTGTCATGGCGATATTGACATAAGCTCTCCAAGTAGCGACCTCGCGCTTGGGCACAATATCTGTTATGATAATGGAACTGATGGTCATGATTCCTGCACCGCCCATCCCACTGATTGCGCGTCCAAAAATCACCACCCACATACGGGTTCCAAGGCCACTATGTGTGGTCAGATTTGGATTCCGGCCGTTGGGTCAGGAGTTTCCCTACCTCATTATACAGCCCACTGCGAATAGCAAATATGAGAGCAATAGCATTGACTTGCGACCGTAGATATCACTCAACTTTCCATACTGAATGACAATTAGAACTTGACATGTCCCCGGTACGGGTTGTGCCCACTCACCATTGGTTGTGCAGCACAAAGACCCAACGTATAGCCCGTTGAGAGCCAACTAGCATCGCGTAGACGATTAAACTCGGAGGATATGCGACCTGTCGCTGCCATGACAAGTGTCGCATCGGCATTGGAAATAAATTCACCTATACTCGATTAGATCTCCGGTCTTGGTGTTATGCCAATTTTCCTACCGAGCAGCAGAACCGCGATAATTGTTCCAACACCTGTCAACGCCTTGAGTTTGGGCTCTGTATCAGATCGCGGGAGTAGTGGACTCTCTTCGTCTTGGGCATGGCCATTCGTATTGATGCCCTGGGTCCCCAGGATACCCGGAGGTACCGGCTCCACCGGGTCACTTTCCATATGAGCCATGTTGTCAATTAAAGAGAGTCGCGCTGGGAAAATATATCTAGAAGGGAATCCTGAGCCAGTGATAAATATTATTCGAAGCAGCGTTGGAAACTAAGTTGTGCTCATTGGAGTTGTAAAGCACGCCATATATACGAAGGATCCACTTATATACTTCCTTTTGGTATTCGCCAGAATAAGTATAGGCCTCGTTGTTTGCATGGTCTTTGTAATGGTCTTTTTAATGTGTTTCTAGACATATTTTGCTTTGGATATTCCAGTATAAGTATAAGTTCACATCTTCGACATAGTTCACAATTGGCTAGTTCCTAAGTAGGTTTAGCCTGTTATAGAAGCCGGGAGGTACCGTCCCCAGGGTCTGACTGGGCAGCATTGGATCCGTACTTTGCGGCAAGAGACACGAGGCAAGTAGACCCATGTTCACAAAATCCTCGTCAGGAAACCACTTTATGTGTTTGTTAGAGGTATTTTATTCGTGCCCCTGGACAGCATTAGCTGGAACCTCAAATATTCCACCGCCCCAGTGTGCTCGGTTCATGACCTTCACCTGCTGAATGAACATAAATGCGAAGAGTGTTCTGGCCACATACTTGCCCTCTTCTAGGGCCCTCGCAGCATTCAGAATGTGTTGACAGTCAGGAGATCTGAGAATCCCCTCAGCATGGTTCGCGGACTTAGCCAGAAATGACAGGTCTTTTTTTAAACCGTCCAGATGCCACCGCACAGGGGTCATCGGTCGGTTCCGTTCTTGCTTTTGCATGCGACTTATCCATGGCTAATACGTCGACGTGGCCGTGTTATAATGGATGGGTGGATCTGGAGGAGAGTGGGTGATTATCAAGGCGAGTTCGAACTGAGGATTGCTGGTTGGGAAGTAATGGGGAAGTGAGAGTGGTATTAGTTCTAGGAATAAGTGTAAATGTGTCGATACAGAACGCGTAGAAAGTTTACCTGGGCAAAGAAACATCTTGTAACATCAAAGAAATTCATTAAGCATTTGGACGATCAATTGAAAAGTAAACTATAAATTTATTGAATACAACTCACGGGCTTTATTGCCAATATCAATATCCATTCTATATTCATTGCTGACTTGATATCGCGAATTATTCCTCATATTGACAAAAGGTTGGATATATACATATCCCCCGGTTTAAAAAAAGATAAATGGGCTTCGCTACTCAATGTATGTCGCAAAACTGCATGGCTCGTGGATTTGGTGGGATTTGCTCATAGCATCCAGATCCAAATCCCCACCACAGCACTCACAACGCTGAAAGATATTGGTACATGATCACGAATAGCACCGCTGGTAGGTGGCTTCGAATCGCAGCAATTGAACCTCAATTCACGGCTCGGCAATCGACCCATACTCTGGAGTTCAACGAATAGCGTGCGGTTGAAACTTGTAGACTTGACTGATGGGGAAACTCCAAAGTCAGTCAAGACCGAAGGAGGAAATTGACTGTTCAACGGGCCCATTTGCTGGGAAACAAAGTGATCGCTGTTCTTTAGTGTAAGCCTTTATTGCTGTTCACTATTACATCGCGTGGAAACAATATCCGTTGAAAGGCTTTTTTATCACAAGATGTCTCTTTGCTCAGGTAGAGACTTGACGAGCTAACCATATATGGCAGGCTTTATATGGCACCTAAATAGTCGACCGTTTTGCGAAACAGTAAGGAAAAAGAATGTTAATGGAAAATATCGGCAATTGTACTTCGTCAGCTCCGGTCTTTTGATTCAGATAGATTTATTTTTGAAGCTATGTGCTCATTGTGATGATAAAGCACGCCATCACTTTTACACTTGACCTTACATTAAATATTAAATATGGGTATATACATACTACACAACCACAACATAGTATGGAAGATAAACAACCCTGGAGAAGTGAGAATAAACTCTCGGATGTACAGTCTACCTATATACATGTGCAGTTATACAAACTACGTTAAATGAAAAATACTTAGGTGTTCTGATCTTTTGAAGTTCTGATCTTTGAAGTAATCTCCACTCCGCCATCAAAGCCATCGATGGCATCATTGTCATCTCCACATTTCATTCTTTGCCAAGAGCTTCATTTGACTTATCCAATTTGTATCGACTTTTGCTGTAGGTAATTTCCGAATTTCTCACACTTCACCCATTTTACAATGAAATTAATCACTGCCCTTGCCGGCCTCATCGTCGCCGAAGGGGTGACTGCCCTCAATCTCCAATCCAACCTGGAATCGGCCGTTCAATCCATACTCAAACACAGCGAAACACAATCGCGCAAGCCAAATATCCTCTTTGTGATAACCGACGATCAAGACCTTCAACTCGACTCCATATCCTACACCCCCCTAATCTCAAAACACATCCGCGACCAAGGCACCTTTTTCCGCAACCATTTTGTCACAACAGCCCTATGTTGTCCGTCGCGTGTGAGTTTATGGACCGGTCGCCAGGCACATAACACAAATGTAACCGATGTCCATCCGCCCTATGGCGGATATCCCAAATTCGTCGAGCGCGGGTTCAACGATGATTTCCTCCCGCTTTGGCTGCAAGGGGCGGGATATGATACGTATTACACCGGCAAAATGTTCAACGCACATACCGTGGACAACTACCACAGCCCGCACATCAAAGGATTTAACGGATCCGATTTCCTTCTCGATCCTTACACTTATTCTTACCTTAATTCGACTTACCAACGAAACCATGAACCACCCGTCAGCCATGAGGGTGAGCACACCATTGATGTGATTACGGGAAAAGCACTGGGTTTCCTCGATAACGCATTGGCCGGCGAGAGGCCCTTCTTCCTGGCTGTGTCGCCCGTCGCACCGCACTCGAATGTCGATCCAGGCAATATCGCTTCAGGCAAGGTTTACATGTCCGCCCCCATCCCCCTCAAACGACATGAGCATTTGTTCCAGGATGTGAGGGTGCCTCGCACAGCAAATTTCAATCCGGACCAGGTAAGCGCAACCTTGATTGAAATGAACGTGTTTGTGATGGCCCATTCTGACTTAATCCTTTTTTTTTTTTTTTTGGCGCAGCCAAGTGGAGTTAGTTGGATTCGCGATCTGCCCGTGCAGAACCAATCGGTGGTCGACTATAATGATCACTTTTATCGCTCGCGTCTGCGTGCCCTGCAGGGTGTTGATGAATTGGTGGATGGGCTTGTCACTCGGCTGGAGGAGAGTGGCCAGCTGGATAATACTTATATTATCTATACCTCGGATAACGGGTTCCATATTGGCCAACACAGACTACTGCCCGGGAAGACTTGCGGGTTTGAGGAGGATGTTCGCGTTCCCTTGTTCGTTCGTGGACCAGGGGTGGCCAAGGGATATGTGCAGGACGCGGTGACTACTCATGTGGACTTGGCGCCGACCCTTTTCCATCTTGCGGGTATTCCGGCGAGGGACGATTTCGATGGGACTGCGATTCCCGTGACGCCCGAGATTGGTGGTGAGCGGCATGAACATGTTACAGTAGAATACTGGGGGTCTGCTGTTGTGGAAGGCGCTTATAGCGGTATTGGTAAGTCCAGGCAATATTGGCAATGGACATTATGGAGTACGATACAAGATACTAATTCCAAGACAGGCCCCGGGGGCTCAACTATGATCCCGAACAACACCTACAAATCCGTCCGCTTACTCGGAGAAGGCTACAACCTGTACTACTCAGTCTGGTGTAACAATGAACATGAACTGTACGATCTATCGGTGAGTAAATCGCACCTTAGTTCTTTATTATGCCAACGATTAATCCTTTTGCAAGACCGACCCATACCAGTTGAATAATCTGTACCCGACCACCTCCCAGGCGGATATCAATGAGCCGCACATTCTCGGTCGCACCTTAACTCAAGCTATCAATCGCCTCGACGCGCTTTTGATGGTTCTCAAGTCTTGCCAAGGTGCGACTTGCATCCGGCCTTGGGATGTCCTCCAGCCTGTAGACCCCGTTAGTACTCTCCAGGATGCTCTACATGAGGAGTATGATGGTTTCTATGGTGCACAACCTCAGGTCTCATTTGACTGGTGCGATGCGGGATACATCGTTGAAGCTGAGGGTCCCCAAGTGCCATTGACTAGTCGACATGGTGTGTCTTGGGATGTGTGGGTGTAATGAAATACACTTAGTTTGAGATTGTAAATAGTGATCAAACTTGGATATAGTCAAGTTCATCCAGTAATTCAATATTTAGTTTAACACTACTCCGTATGCAACGTATGCAGTAGTGATCTTGGAAGTATGAGCACCCGAAACAACGTGGCTATAGACTTTCGGATAAACAGCCAAAGTCAAAGAAAATGCCTATCGAATAGAAACAGAGAGTCATCTCCGTAATCTCCATATTATCAGAGAGTAATGCCAAAGCCCAAATGCTCGGCAAATCCCATCGTCAGATTCACCGTGATTGCGCCATATCTCCCCGTTTCGCGACATCAACAAAAACAAAAGAAAAACGTATTGACTCGCATTTTAGATGTCCTTTAGCTGATTTATAGCGGGTTAGTCTACGCAATCCTGTCTCTATCTATCTTTTTTTTGTTTTCTATAAGAGTGGCTGATCACCCAGTGTTGTAAATTCGCCAATCTAGGGATTGTCTCAGCATACTTGCTGTTTTGTTTGTATTTTTTTGGTTCTTTTTTTCCATATATATTCTTTCGAGGTCTAAATCGCAAGATGGTAGACCAAGGCAGTTTCGGTGAGAAACACACAATCGCCGAGCAGGTCATCGACTCACCTCCATATGAGCCTGATCATGGTATCGTCAAAGACTGGGATGGCGAAGAATCGGCCGTTCGACGAAAGTATGTACAGTCCTCATCGCGCATCGACTATAAACAGATCACTAACAAATTACTTTAAGAATCGACTTCATCCTCATTCCCATTCTTGCTGTCGCCTTCTTCGCCTTGCAAATGGATCGTGGGAATATTAGTGCGGTTTTGACATCAAGTATCACTAAAGACCTTAATATCACAACGAACCAAATTAATATCGGATCACAACTTCTCTCCGCTGGTATTGTTCTCTCGGAGATCCCATCGAATATTATTATGCAGCGCATTGGGCCGCGTGTCTGGTTGTCAGGTCAATTGTTCGCTTGGGGTTTGGTTGCGACCTTCCAGGCCTTTGTTAGCTCGTTTCCCGCGTACCTGGTTACGAGGATTTTGTTGGGATTATGTGAGGGTGGTTTTATTCCTGGTATGGGAATCTATATATATGCCGGAATACTCGACTAACAACCTGAAGGTGCTTTATACTACCTCTCCACCTGGTATAAGAAGGACGAGACCAGTCTTCGCACCAGTCTCTTCTTCTATGGGCAGATGTTCGCATCGGCTACATCGAGCCTGATATCTGCCGGTCTGCTTCAGCTGAATGGCACCCATGGCATAGAGGGATGGAGATGGATCTTCCTCGGTAAGTGCAGATCAGTATTATATACATTTCTGCCAGCCCGAGCTCATCTAACGAACATTCCAGTCGAGGGCTTAATCACCCTGTTCATCGCGATCGTATTCACTCTCCTCGTGCCTCCATCTGCGGGAGACGGGCGTCCATTGATCGCGTTCGGCCGCTGGAGCTACTTCACAGAGCGCGAATCGCACATCATCCGCAACCGCGTTCTGCTAGATGACCCTCGGAAAGCCAAAGGCCATATCCAAATTTCGGGCTCTGATATCTGGCAGACTGTCAAACAACCCCGCATCCTGCAACACGTTTTCGTCACTTTGGTCTCCATGACTGGCTTCACGGGTTTGACTCAATACACACCCAGCATGATCAAAGGGCTGGGATTCGGTGCCGTCAAGGCCAACGCCTTGGCTTCGGTTCCGGTTTATTGTGGGATGGTTTGGCTGATTGTGCTATCTTATGCTGCGTGAGTGCTTGCTATGACCATTATGACAATGAAACAGATTCTAACTTCTAATAGCGACAAAACAAGACACCGTGGACCGTTTGTGCTCTTGGCGATCACTTGGAACGTGATTTCCTACGCTTGTCTTCGTACAAGTAGCCCCCACGCTTCACCCTGGCACCGGTATGGAGTTATTGCCGTCGCTAATATCTCCTACTGCAGCATGCAGTAAGTTCCCCGCCCCAAGTCTCTATAACCCGCTCTGACCCAAATATTAGTATTCTAAATGTCGGCTGGTTGTCATTCTACTGCCGCACACCCCAGGAACGAAGCGTTGCCATGGCATTAGTCATCATGGCTGCTAACTGTGCTGGTATCGCTGGCTCGCAGATTTTCCGTACATCCGACGCCCCGAAATACTTGCATGGTCTTACTGCCATCTGCTCCATTGCTGGTGCCTCATGGGTGCTCGCTTTTGTACTTGGCGTTCAATATTATTTCCGCCGGCAAAAAGCGGCTCCTTCGGATAATGTGGAGGCGAAAGCTTGACGAAATTGGCGATAGATGATCGTGGACGACAATAGATGGATGATTACATCGTTATGTTGTACAACATAGTTAACTATCTAACTATAAGTAATTATTAAGATTCCCCACTGGATTATCTTATCGAATCAAAAGCATTTCCATTCTTAGTCTGAAACCTCCCTTCCGAACTCAATTGATCCTGACCAATGGAAAAACCAAGCTTGTCATAAGCCGGCATAACCACGGGCTTGGCGTTCTTTAAGTCCGAGCATGATTACAAGCACCAAGCATCTGAAATTCCGAGTACATACAACATATGTAAGTATGGTGTTTATACTTCTGACATGTACCTGATATCATCAAGAGTATCACTTCGTAAGCGGTTCCTGATCTGCTTATTCACTTCGGAAAGAAATTTCTTCACCGGACATAACTTATATTAAAACCGTGATTACAATCCACCCGATTACCATCCAACTCCACGATACTCCACTTCACGGGTCAAGTGGACCTTTCTCTTCACTTTGATGATCACGTCGCCACAAATCGAAACTTGCAAGAACCCTCCGAGACGGAGCTCAATCACTCCGCGTGGGCGGTTTTAAAAGAAATCGAGGACCCTGCAGGAATAGCTGGTAGATCATCTCCATTGAATTGAATCCGAATTATATACATTTTTATACATTTTTATACATTCCATTATGTCTTCCACTGATTACAAGTTCGAAGGCTGGGTAGGCCTCGGCCCCGACGCTGCCGAGGGAAAGATGGTCTGGCAGGAATTCGAGCCTAAGCCCTGGGAGGAGACCGATATCGATATCAAGGTCACTCACTGTGGTATCTGTGGCTCGGATTTGCATACCCTGCGTAGTGGATGGGTATGGCGGCATCCCTCTTGAACAAACATGTTCTGAATTGAATTACGTTGCTAATTACCATCTTTCTGCTTCCACAGGGACCCACCAACTACCCTTGCTGTGTCGGCCACGAGGTCGTTGGAACTGCCGTCCGCGTCGGATCCCAGGCTGAGGGAGATATCAAGATCGGTGACCGTGTCGGTGTCGGCGCGCAGAGCGGCTCGTGCCAGAACAAGGATGGCGACTGTGAATCTTGTGCCTCGGGTCTCGAACAGCACTGCAATAAGATGGTCGGTACATACAACGGTACCTATGCCAACGGTGGCAAGTCGTACGGCGGTTACTCCACATACAACCGCTCTCCCTCGCACTTCGTGATCAAGATCCCCGATGCTATCTCCTCTGCCGATGCGGCACCTATGCTCTGCGGTGGTATTACTACCTACTCGCCTCTTAAGCGCAACGGCTGCGGTCCCGGAAAGACCGTTGGTGTCGTTGGTGTCGGTGGTCTCGGTCACTTTGCTATTTTGTTCGCCAAGGCGCTCGGTGCTGATCGCGTCGTCGCCATCTCCCGCAAGTCTGATAAGAAGGAGGATGCGCTGAAGCTCGGTGCGGATGACTTCATCGCTACCGGTGAGGATGAAGACTGGGCTACCCGCCACGCTAGCTCTCTTGACTTGATCATCTCCACTGCCTCCTCTTCCAAGATGCCTATTGTCCAGTACTGTGGACTTTTGCGTGTCCGCGGTACCTTCATTCAGCTCGGCGCCCCCGAGGATGGCGCTCTTGAGATCCCGGCTTTCGTGCTCATCGTGAAGGGTCTCAAGCTCGGCGGCTCTTTGATCGGTAGCCCTGATGAGATTCGGGAGATGTTGGAGTTGGCTGCTGCCCAGGGTGTCAAGCCTTGGATCCAGGAGCGCCCAATGAAGGATGCCAACCAGGCCATCGTTGATATGAACAATGGTGATGCTCGATACCGCTATGTTCTCACGAATGAGCAGTAAATCGATCAATTATGGATGAGTGATGAATAAGTGACAGTTTGGTTCAAGTGATGGGCGTTTAATGTATAGAAGCAGTTAAGAGTTAGAACGAAATTAGACGTTTTGTATATGTTCCCCAGACGGACTGTGAATTAACAGAAACTTGGAAATATGTCTGTTTGCCGCCAGGGTCCCCCAAAGGTCATTCAACGCGATGTCATTGCTTAATAATTTGTTTGAACTCCCGAGGTATCCAGGGCTGCTTTCTCCATCCACTTACTTTTCCTTCACAGTTGCCGGGAGGCTACAGCTAGGCACTCCTCGTGATAAGAACTATATACTACTCTTTGTAGTCTTTGGCTAACTGCATCTTCAGCCACCCATGTGAGCAAGGTTCATATTGCCTAATACTTTACGGTTTTACGCCTTACGATAATTTCTGCTGCAAGTTTTACATCACGCATGGTTCCAAGGATGAGATCACAAATGCACATTGTTTCGAACAGACGATCTGCGGGCGAATATGATACGGTCTCCAACGAGAAATGTGCCAGGATATATATACCAGTCACTGTTAAGACTCGGCCTTCCAACCAAATGTTGCATTTCCACTGTGTTAGTCGGGGCATTGGGCGCTGCGAATGCCCCCGGTCTTTCTCAAAGGGGGAAGGTAAGAGGTGGACTTCTGTGCAAAAGGCGACAGTCACAAGATGAATGGTCGTCAATCTTCAAAACCTCTTCTGTCGAAGGCAACCATCTCACTTCCATTAATCCCCCCTCTCTCATCTTGCTTTCATTTCTTTGTGGTCATCCATCCCCTTAGAACGTCATCGTCAAGACTCTCATTTCTAGGTCCAAACAAAGATCACACACCTTCCTTCAAGCATTCCGAAGAGATCATAATCTCAGTCCATCCAATCCAACAGGGCCAAAATTCCAGCTGTTCAGTCTACACATTTCTTCTGTTCTTCTTAGAGAGCCTCCTCCCCGGTCGTACCAGACCCTCTTATCGAACACAAAAACCAAATAAACACAATCTCGACAGGTATGGCCTCTTCTTCCGACCGAAATATTTTGAGGATGAGAACAAATATCGCCATTCAATAACGCAGTACATTAACTATCTGCTAGGGAAGTAGATTTCCTTTGTCAATACTTTCCAACAGTATGCCTCTACATTGATATAGATCTATACGTATAATGCCTTCTGTGGTGCGTATCTACTAACTTAGGGACATTTGGACGGAAACTAACACCTTTTACAACCACAAAAGGACATATATTGTGGTTCCTTATTCAGGCTACCTCTCCATGTCCTGGAATTATCCCATAAATTTCCTGTCTATACGCCTTTATAATTCTCTCGATCTGCTAGTACGTTGATAAAGATCGTATACCCCCGGAAAAGAGAGCATGTTGCAAAGGACCTCAAAGACAGACCAGGAGACACATGGGTCGGACCGTGCGTGTCCACGGATCGACTAAATAGCATCAAATTTCAAGTGTGTAGGTATGTAGATGTAGAAGGGCCTTGAACAGCATAGCTGTATTGCTTCCATGGGAGGAGACAGGTAACGAATGAGCAATTTATAGCTTTAATAAGGCTAATGCAGGTAACTATGAGTACGTACTAGTTACACAATACAAAGTTGATATGGACTCGAATGTTTTTATTCTGGGTGTGGATAGCGCATTATATATAAATATACTTACATAGTTATCTATTTTATACATAACTGGGATGACCGAAATGATTGGTGACTTATCTAATTTGCGGCTAAATCATAACTATCCCAACCTCGCAGCTCCAGTCATCTTTCTTACAAACTTCAATATGATTCCAATAAAAAGCCACCCACTCCCCTCACATGAGCAGTCGAACAATTATCTAGTCCGTTTTTGAAAGATGCCCTTATCAGAACCCCGCCAGATCAAGAAACCTCGATTATCGCTCAGTTGCATTGTCTGTCGACGACGCAAGGTTCGCTGCGGTCGCGAACAGCCAGAATGTGCCAACTGTGTGCGCATGAAAAAGAAATGTGTCTACAGGGCCATGGTCCGGGACGAGTTAACCGGCCGTGTACGACCTGTATCGCCCCAAGACAGAGACCCTAGAGATTCTGAAGATGCCCACCCTGACCTCCCTTGGCCGCATTGGGGCCGACAAGCCAATGCGCCATATCCCGAGAAACATTCTAGACCTCCTTCTCGTCCTCGGTTATCCTCCAATACTAGTTCTTCTCCACGCCGACAAGAAACATATCCAACAGTTCCAACAGTTTCTTCGTGGGAAGAGGCCATCCAACTCCCCCGTTATCACGATGCGAACGTTCCTCAGATTGGTGGTAGCTCGACAACCCGGGAGCCTTCCCCTGTGCCATCAACAAGCTACTTCCCGTCTCTGCACGATCCCCTTTATCGTGATTATTTAAGTATACGACGAGGTGGCCGCGTGAGATACATTGGTCGGACTTTCTGGGGGTTCGTTGCCGGAAAGGTGAGTCTAACTTACTTGGAGGAAAAAGACAAAAAGGAACTACAATCTGCGACTAGATATGTCGCCCGGCAAGACTTTAGCTGACCTCAATTAATCTTCCCCTAGGAGAGTCTGAGCGATGATTTCTTTGACGAAAACCGGCACGCCTACCCCGATCTTCCCCTTCCACATATATCCTCTATGGGCATGTTTAATCTCCTACGGTCGCTACCCACCAAGCCCGTGAGCGATGCCTTGCTCGAGACGTTTTTCCTTGCCGTGTGGCCACTTGTGCCACTCCTACACCCACCTTCCCTACAGGCAGACTATGACGAGTTCTGGGATTGGTGTCGGAATAGCGAGAGCGCTTTACCCTCGGCTAAACTTCGCGATGATCCTACCTTGATATGTCTTCTCTTTGCAGTTCTATATTGTGGCGCATCTGCCGTGCCAGCAGCCAGCTGGACGCACCCTAATCTGCAGGGTCTACAGAAGGAGACGACAGTGAGCCACCTCAAGTCGACATATACGACAAGTCTTTCTCTATGTCAACATCTGGAACATCCAACAGTAAACACACTAGTTTCGACTTTGCTCACGACACCGTTCCTGGATCGGCCATTCCAGCCCATGTGTAGTCTGGTTCACATAAGCACGACGGTGCGCATTGCCCAGACTATGGGTTTACATCGGGAGGGAACATGGTCTGCGTTGAGTTCAATTGATAAAGAAATCCGACGTCGGGTCTGGTGGCACATTGTTTGGCTCGATGTGCAGTCGAGCATCTCCACGGGCCTGACCCCTTGTTGTGGGAACGAGGCCTTGGAGGCCGTGAGCATGATTGACACTCACCATGAAGAGTCTAGCGATATCCCTGCAAGGCGTTCCCGGCGCACTGCCTCTGTGACTAATGGACCATCGGTGGCTATATTATACGCCATCGGACGCTTTGAGACTGCTCGATTACAAGCGAGGATCATGGCACATCTGCAGAGTGCACAGGGATCAACCGAGGATGGATTTGGCGAGCTCGCTGCAGACGCCAAGGAGCTTCTACGGAAGATTGACTCACTTATCGCGCGCGTTCCTACACAAGGGATTCCCGAAAAGGGGTACATCCCATCGCGTCTGGCTAATGCATCTCCGTCCACGCATCCTTCGTTATACAAGGATGATTCAAGCCAGCCGACCGTCTTTGCGGCATGGGCGCGAATTATGCTAACATTGATGAAATCGGAAATATCCATTTTGCTCCAAAAGCCATTTCTGGCAGCCCCAGATAGCACGAATGCGCAATCACGCAAGTCATGGACTAGGTATGAATTATTTCGCCCTACACCTTATCCCTATCCCACATAGTCTAGTGCACCCGCTACATGCCCTCTTCGTATAGCGAACCCTGTCCAGCTTGAGTAATTATCCATTCACATTCATCCTTCATCGCCATCTTGTTATGACAGATTTATTAACATGCGATTTGGCCGTCCAGCATGGTGCAGCTCTGCGTGGATTACTTGCGTATTTACTTGCAGCTGTATCAAGCACCTGCGTTCTCCCCATACGCGTGGTTCTGCTCCAGCCATTATGGGCCTCTCCAATGCGTATTCATCACCCTAGTGTACCTCCATTCCTCCCAAGAGTCTGGAAAGACCTTGCTCGCCAGATATTGCGTTGATGAGTTTATACAACACTACATGGCGCAGTATCAAGCTCCAAATTCATCCTCCGTGAAGACCAGCCCCTGTGACACTGAGTTCAATTCGAGCAAGACGCGCATGCCATTGGCCATCCAAATTCTCGTTGACCTTCATGAACGCCTCGACTCATCTCTCGGAGCTGAAGACCAACCCCCGCTTCCATTGGACGTGATCCAGCGTTAGACCTGCTGTCCTGCGTCGCCTTTTGCTACTTAGACGTCAGAGTTACGCGCGACCCCCCAGCAGCCTCTTCTGATGCATTTTATTTCACGCCTCGCACCAACCGCAATTGTGAAGCCCCATCTATGACCACAGGACCTCCTCCGGTGGTTGCTGGTAACAAACCAGGCCCGCCCAATAACGTCTTTGTGGACGGGAGTGACTCGGGCTTGGATATGGACTTCCTTACTACGATTTTGGAACTAGAGGTATAGTGCTCGTCATTGGTTCTAGAACCCGACAATTTCCCCGCACATCCTGATAATATAACGCCTGATCACCGTGGCCTGCATGAAGGTCTCGATTTCCCAGCGTAATAGCGCTGTGATACGTGGTCTTCTGTTTGCGTTTCCTTTTTTGTCATGAAGGAAAGAATAAATGTATAGATCCTATGAGCAATATTGATATATCTGCTTCGTCCAATTACATGATTTGATCTGACCCTACAAGATCCGGATTCCACGCGAGCCCGTACGAATCTATCATTACCCCTTTACAGACAGTGCTACTATATAACGAAGCACATATATTTTTTGCGAGTTCTCAAATGCATACAGGCTCCTCCAAGCACCCCGATACGGCCAGTTCCTTCACCCTGTGGCTTTCCAGTCAGATTCCGCGAACCAACTACCTCGGAAAGGCTGCATGGCGTGCGCGTTGTCACCTTTACGGCCAGCGCACCCCGTGCCGATGTCAGGCAAAGTATATTATGTATCCCGCCATCAGCCGAATAATTTGCAAGTCAGTCTTGTGGCAGCTGTCCTCGGACCTTCGCTCTCAGCCCCGCAGCTTATGGCGTGGCATACTGGCAGAAGATTTCGGACTTAGCCTGCGCGAACTCTTGGAGAATAGTTTCGGCCCTCGCAGCGGAATTGGAAGAAGTACCTGTCCTTCGCCATGGCCAAGTGCCCCCGCAGGCTAACCTGCAGATGTTGAACAGCAAAATCACATGGAAGGAGAGCTCCAGTTCTCCTCCTCTTGTCCGTACCAGCGAACCGAATCCCCACAACAGCGGGGAGCCTAAGCGAGTGGTTGCGCGACACTGATGAATGGATATCCCTGGCGACAGTCGGCTCAACACTATTGTAGCGCCACACGTATCATCGCTTCCGTCATGTCATCGTCGCTTATTCCGTTGCAAACGCCATCGTTACCCTCGATGATCTCGCCAAAGATGTGCCAAATCGGTGGGGCATCAACGACCGAATTGGAACTGAGACGGCCAAGGGCCCGGTTTGGGTGGCTTCGGGCCATGGCGCACAGTGACCAGACATGGGTCGTGAACCATTCCACTCTAGTTTGGTAAGGGAAATGGTGCGCAACCTGGAACCGATTATTCAAGCCGAGTTGGGCTTCTCCGCGATTGAAACCCTGCACGCCGGCTTTCCAGACCGCACTGATGTTATCCAGGTGATGACATTCCTCATGCATGAAGCAGCCCTGGTAGTATGTCGGCGAGCATGTCTTTGCCGTGAGTTCATAGGAGAAGGTGCCATGACCCTAGTTCGGCTGAGGCCCATGCTCGTATTGCCACGCACCCAGGCGTAATTGAGGTGTCGCCGACCGCCTGCGTGGTATCCAGCACTATTGACGCCATCCACAAAATATATGAACAGTGGCGCGAAGAATGTTTCGAAGTGCGTGCTGTCGCTATTGACGTGCCTTCTGTACACCGCTGCTGGAAAAGCTGGCAGGTCCCCTCCGCGACCCGCTGAAGGGCGAGCTCCACCCTCAGGTACCGCATCGGGCGCTCTATTCAACCTCGCTGTTGGATCCACGCTAAGGGTACCTCACGATGTGGAATACTAGGCTATGACTATGGTCGGACCGGCCCTCCTACAGTCGACAGTGGCGTCACTCGTAGACGATGGATTCCGCCCATTTGTAAAGGTGGCGAGTCATCCCATCATCACGCACTCGATCGTCGAAACTATCAGTGAGCAGTATCGTGACACTCGCAATGTTGCGTAAGCGGTCGGAATGGAAGAGCATCTTGGCCGCCGTGGCCCGTCTGCATTGCTTCGGCTGCGCTGTGAAATCCACACATCTTGACCTCACTGCGCCATCGAGTTCATCAGTGAGAGCCTGGTACAATTTGGCATCACCAGCTATTCTATCGCGCTGTGGGCGAGATGGCGGCGGCATAACTAGCGTCAACCCACAAGCCTGCCGCCAATGTCCTGCTGGGTACTCCTACCGCATTTTGGGGAACAGACGAGGTACTTTATCAAACGCATCTCGAGGAAGACAATCCGCCTTTCCCAGGCCATCACTCACTCTATGGGCTAGAGATCGTGACTGCTGCTATGATATTGCACACATCCCTACGTGCACTCTCTCCTAGGAACGTGAATGGGGTGTCGCTTCAGGTGCCTGTGGTGGTCCAGCCCGCGAGATCCAGATCCGCCATAACACGCGCAACATCACTATCACATCTTGTCTAGAGGAGTTAACAACTAATGAAGATGGCACGTGTCTTGGGTAATACCACCACGACTGTGCGCGCAGCTGATGCAGCACCCTCTGTGAGCTATGTTGACATAGCAGAAATCGGGAAAAAACTGCCGTAGAAACTGTTGGATAGCTTTCCGATGGACTACCTCGCCTCTGTAGGTGCTTCTGCCATGGGATTGTCACGGCGGTTAGCGTACTACGTGGCGAGCAAAAACGAGATACTGGCCAAGGTAGGCGCCAATCCAGACAGCCTGCCCGGCATGGATACAGCAACCTCCATCGCGTCTACCCTCTGACACCGTGAGCCCCGACTCCGCATACCCACAGCCGTCCGCTGCGTGGTCGTCGTTGAGATGGCCACTCCACAAGTGATGTGCATCCACTGCACGAAAGCACAATCCTCCGTCGACGCAGCCAACGTGATCATCAGCAGCGAGGGTGTCACCGTGCTAATGGATATTCGGGGTATGGCCTTCGCCGGTATCGGCGGTGAATCGCTGTTGCGAAAAAGTACATCTGGCCTGGTGCACCAATTCAACTGGCCGCCCGCCGCGCTGTTTGAGCCGCTGGAATTCGCCCACATCACCTCCCTGGCACCCAATCCCACCAATACCAAAGTGGAAACCTATCACAGACAGCTTGACAGCAGACGTATCTCCACCTTCACCCATCATTAGCATGCCTCCGACTTGCCATTGACAACTCATTTATCTCTGGCGGCCGTCTACCTCCATCAAGTGACCGATCAAATCTTCTCGACTGCTGCCAGCACCTGCAATGGCCTCTTGTCAGCAGTCCAGGTTATTATATCCTTCTCGAATCCACACACCGTGTGCCTCTCCGTTCTCACCTCCAAAACCAATCTAGCCCACAGTGCCCTCACTGGCCTCGGTCAGATTGTACGCACCGAACACCCCGAGATCTGGGGTAGTCTGATTGACCTCGAAGATCCCTGATCTTCCCGCCCATGGCAATGCGCTACGTGCGTAACGCTCATGTTATCAAAATCCAACTACTCGCCTCCACCCGCTCCACTCTCACATCCTTCCCAGCATCCCCATATCTAATCGCCGGCGGACTCGGTCAAGGCCTCTCCGTAGCCCATTGGATAGTCGGTCAAGGCGCGAGACGCATCCTGCTAACCTCCAGTCGCTCCCTACCGCCGCGCATAAACCCGAGACCGAGTCCATCATACAAAGTATCCTCTCTCTCGAATGCCTCGGCACCGCCATCCACTTCCTGGCCATCTACATTTCCCATTCATCTGTTATGACCAATTTTCGCTCATCTCATTCATACATAACATTGCAATAGTTAAATAGATTCTTGCTAGATACTAAAGCCTTAAGGGCTTCCACCTAGATCCGGTAGACAATTGATCGACAACCTCAGGAATGTCCGGAACACTCTCCGAGCAGCCTATTTGAACTCCGAAGGAAGGGCTACCAACGCGCCTATCTCCGCAACTGTCTCCTCCCATAGTTTCTTCTGGATCTCCTGGCCCACCGGTGACCGGATGAACGCCGTTTCACTGCAGGGAATATACATTAGCTACTAGCAAAAAAAACAAAAAAAACACAAAATTTGTAGGAAAAGGTGCAAGAGATCACTTACTCAGCAATGGTCTTGTCGCCTAAGAACTTGCCATGAGACTCAGGGCCTACCACCAACGCACTATGCAGGATGATCCAAACACCCACCTCGACAGGCCGGGCACGGAATGACTTGACAATATTTATAATCAAGCGCAAGTGCAGGGGGAGAATATCACTCATGCTGGTATTCACCATGCCTGGACACATCATGTTGATGATGACTTTCTTGGGATCCAGCCGTGGCGCCAGACTGTACATGAACAACACGCAAAGTAACTTCGAGTCCCCATAGCGTTGGAACGGGACAAACGCCTCGTCATTGTCCATGTGTGCAAGCACACCTTCACCGGACTTGATAGGGGACTTCTTCTCGAGGCTTGGGGACTCGTGCGCGCGACTGCCAACCCAGCTAATGCGTGCAGGAGAGCCGGTCTTCACCGCACCGGCCTCGAGATACGGCAGGAGTTCGGCGATCAACAAAACGTTGGAGTAGTAATTGACTTGAGTGGTTCGGTCATGGCCACTCGGGCTGCGTTCTAGCTTCAGCAGACCGATACCCGCATTGAGAATGAGGAGATGGACCACCGGAATCTCTTCGCGGAGCTGCTTCGTGAAACGTTGGACGCTCTCATAATCATCGACGTCAAGTGCCATGACCTTGATTGTCGGGTTGGGATTGTGGGTTTGAATGCGACGGTCTTGGCGGAGGGAAGCTGCGCAGGACTCACCCTTGGCGACATTGCGGACGGCGAGAATCACAGTAGAGGCGCGTAGTCGCAGTAGCTGCTTGATGGTTTCCAGACCCATTCCCGCGCTAGCACCGGTAACGACCACAGTTTTACCCGTCAAGTCAATCCCCGTAGGCAAGGGATCGATTTTCGGCTGGAGGATGTTGACCATGATTCGAGTTGGAGGTTGGATGTCAGTGGAGACGGGAGAATCACAGTGAAGAGCAGAATCGATAGAAGAGAAGAAGTGATATCAAGGTAGTCATACTGAAGTTACTTTTTGTTTCGCGAGCTACCCTTCTATATGTATGATCAATCCCTTGTACGTTCTTTGATTGATTGTTCAGCACCTGGGCAACTTGATGGGTGACTCAGCATTCGGCCGACGCCAACCCCAGAAGGGAAGTTCACAGGGACGAAGACCGAGATGATCTCGCCGAATGGACACCACCTGAACACAACCTGAACACTACGGAAAGGTCTTTCTCGTCTGATATCCACTCCAGATGTAAATCTCTGGGGTTTTCACTTTAAGGGCTTACTGGGAAATTAAACCGGAACACCAAGTATGTAAAGTAGGTAGTTTATCCATTTCGAGGTTCTCTACTCTCTCACGTATACTTCCACTTCTTGTAAATGAACTCCCTGCAAATCTCATACTTTCACAGCTGATCTGGGTCAGCTCACCGATTCGAAAGAGACATTTCAGTCCGTAATCTGGCCCGGCTCCCGGACCGCTTGTTCCTATTTCACGGTATCATGAGGCCAAGTCGCGGCATCTATACTAAGCCGATCGCCACCGGCCAAAAGCCCCCCTCACATCCCCACCCCTCCCAGTAGAGATTCTTCTGCCTCCTGCGTGGGAATACCATCAATTCAATGGGCGTGTCATTCACCGGATCTCCAGTGATGGCGAACTGGCAGTGCCTCCCTATACCCATCATATTATTTATGGAACCTCGGAGATGGAAATGAAGGAGGTAGAGTTTGTCGTGAGTGCTAGCGATCATGCTGCGGAAGAGGAGAGTTCTAGCGATGGATCAGAATTTCAAGTATCTTGACTAGACCTCCGGAAAGCCCATAACTGGGCCCGGACCCTAGGCCGATGGCCCAACCCACGGTGGGCTATGGGCAACCTCCAAAGCCCAACCCAACCCATAGCCCACTACGGGTTGGGCCGTGAGCCCCCATAAGAACCCATATAGGCGCTAACAAAGCGGACTCTGTAATCGTTGTATTACGACCTTCCACCAATCGTATAAAGTTCAAATTTCAAATATAGAATAGAATATTATGACAGAAAGCTGGTGTACGAACAATGTATGGTATAGATGACCAATGTTGAAGACTCTAGTTAACTAACTAAAATGACAAAACCCGCTATTTCAACAATCTGTGCGGACAATGATGACTAACTATAATATGCACTTTTGTATGGTATGCCTGGTACCCAATGTCATATGATGTTTCCGGTATATTACCTAGTTTCTACCATGTATTCGGACTTAGTATTCGACACTTTCCTATATAGTAAAAAAAAAAAAGGGGGGTTTATATATAGAGAGAGAGAGAGATTCGTTTGAAAGGAGGAGGTTAGTCCTAAAGGGGGGTGTTACGTCTAGTGGTCACGTGTACTACCACGTAACCCTATATGCCGCAGGACCTCTATGATTGCTATCTTCCGTCGTCCCCTGCTTCCTCCTTTCCCCTTAGTGAGTCATTATCAACCAATAGAATCCATCATTGGTAACTACATCTCTATCATTGTAGCCTGTTCTATCATTAGTTTGTGGTGTGGTGCTCCGGCATGGCGGCGGCAAGGCTAGGCACATCAATGTGGTGGCTGAACCAGTAGCTCTGCCTCCGTGGGGTTTCACTTGGCGGATTTAGTCATCCCAAACGTCACGCCAGGCTTGGGGTATGCCGCCCACCCCCCAATGCAGATGGTTATAGGAATTTTTGTTCTTGATGAGTAGGGGGACTAGGCTGGTTAGGCTGTTTGTGAAGTGATCCGGGCGGGCAAGGGCTATGGGGATGTAGAAGGGCTCATGCATGTTATTAGTAGTCTAGCCATGCAGGTTATCACCAGCTAGGCAACTTCTCATATCAATTTTGTTTCTCCTCATCCTCGCCCCCACTCCTAAACCCCGCTCAACAACGCTCAGAACCCCAAAATGAATCCTGATGACAGTCGTCACCTCGTGGCGAAGCCTAGGTGTCTACTAGTGTTGGAGTGAAGAGACCTAGCTTCCTCGCTTCATCTCTCCCTTGTCCTTAGGAATGACTGTAAAGGGATGAAGAAAAAGACCATCATGTTATGCAATGCTACCGCACGGTCCATTCCTCCACTCCTCGAGTATGGCGCTGAATTCCAAAGAATCGTCCGGTCGGTGTTTTAGTCGCAAGCAGTCTGGTTTCTCTGCCGGTCGAAAGCCCCCAACATCACAGACCCAGACCAGCCAGCTAGTGTGAAGCCCGTAGAGAAATTATAGCTGAGTTGCCAAAACTGGGCATTTTGCCTCTCTTATTCGGATTTGGCTCAAGTGTTCGCCTAACGGCTTCGGAGGTCAGTACCTATTAGATCACGCAAGTGCTGACTCGGAATTCGTCTCGTCCATCTTGTTCTTAGCCTCATGCACGGATGGGGGCGATTTCTAGACTGAAGGGCCGATTATCTCCGGAGGGGGCGATTCCTCTACGGATGTGGCGATTCCTCTACGTGATGGGCCGCCCACAGGTCCATAATAAATGAGGGGCGCATCTTAGACACTTGCCCCAGGGGAAACAAACGAAAAAGAAGGTCAGATCAACGAAGTCAATGTCTATCGCAGAACACATGGAGCTAGTAAGTCTCAAGTTCTGTTGGCTTGTCGGGGGATGCTCACGAAAGACATCTTGCAGCCAACGTATACAGTTCCAAAGTCTTTGCTGTCACCAAAGCCGGCGCCTTCCTCACGCAGCGGCCACTCGTTACGCAGGTCGTTAAGCGAGGTTGATGGTCAAGAATGTCATAGCGGAACGCCACGCCAGAGAAGACGGACGAGGGCTGAGTCTACTTCAGGACGCACCGAGCTCGTAGGTCTCGGAATCTGCCCGCTCGTCAACGAAAACTGATAGAGAAGTTCATTCTGCAGCGACAGGACACAGTTCCAGAATCTTTGCTGCCACCACTGTCGCACGCCGACATTGCGTTACACGCGCCGATCAACCGAAACGATGGGCCGGATCGTCACAACATCCACACAGGGCCGCCCTCGTGCTAATCCCTGGACGAGAGTCAGGATCTTGCATTCCCATTCCCAACACCAACGAAGGATCTCGGCATGGAGTATGATTGCTTTTTAGGTCAGTAAGTGGCAGCTCACTCTTGAGATATAACCCACTGATACTAGGTATCAGAACTGTCCAACAAGGATTTCTTTCCGACCCCATCCATGACGGACATCCGGGAAGAAGAACCGACATCAATTCTGTCGTGGAATTCGGCGACGAATCAGCCTATTCTGTTGGTTGGAGATATGCCTGCAGCCGGGCAGGATGAAGCAGGACTCGGGCTATTGCTCGACACCTCCGCATCGACGGAAGCCCGGCTGTCGCATGTTCTAAAGGCTGTCGCTGCAGCTGGCTTTGAAAGCCTGGACAACGCCGTTGTTGCGTACTATGCAAAATCTTTGAAGGACGACGAGAGGTTGGGGCAGGAGCAGAGGCTGAATCGTATTCGGCGGCTGCCTGTACTGTTGAAGGAACTGCATCTCGCATCGGAAAGCTGGTGTCATTGGCAACGGAGAAGCTTTCAAGAGCAATTCATCAAGAGCACGGAAGACATCCTCATTGCCGAGTTGGAAGATCACCTCGCTGCAAGGGCTGATCCTCAACATGGGCAACCGAACCAAGCCCCCAAGCACAAGGCAAGGGGCAAAGCAGATATTGAGGCTGAGGTCCGTCAAATCCCACCGTGGAAAGCCCTCGGCCATGCTAACTGGAGGTATAGCTCCCGAACACATGGACCTTGTTGACTTCACTCTCTACAAGATACAACACTATTGCTTCGAAACACGGGCACAGCGACATGCATGACTTGGTCGGCAAGTTCCTCGCAGCCAGCACTGATTTAGACACTTCACAGCGGGGTAACAGGAGGGAATAGCATTGTTATAAAGTGTTTGTGAAGCTCTTCAACCTACTAAATTTTGTATAGGGAATAATTAAATTACTACTACATATTATCTAACTATATATCCTAGACCGAGAATTATACTTGAATAAATACTTCACCACCACTGTGAATGTGCCGTACAGTTTGTTCTCGGCTGGATATGGCAGCCAAGTAGGTCATTCTCCAGGGCTGCAAGGATATTATTAAGTACCCCAAGATGCGAGATTCAGGAGCTGGGTAATGAGAATGTACTTATCCAAATAATACGCCGGCATCGCCTTTGTGCTGCGGCGACAGGTCTAACAAAGTACTGTACAGTCTCGCTCAAATCCACAATCAAATCCCGCATGAGAGTGCCAGCCGCCTGCAAATATGACGAGATTATCGGCAAGATTATACTAAATATGCTATAGAAAATCACCGGAGGCAATCGCATGATGGTCATTATCGATCTCGACAGGCACATCAGCCGGGCCGTTTCCAACTATCGCGCCATTGTCTGTACGCTCGCGAATGTTCTGCCCGCCATCCAACTCATCCTGCTCTTCCATGCCCATGACCTCAGGGAACATCCGACCCCACAGCCAGACGGCTTGCTTGAAGACGCGTTCACAGGCTGACATCTCATCCCAGCCGTTGCCTAGCGGCTGGACCATGGCGAGCTCGTCGACGATGGATCTGCAGGCGCCTACGAAGCTGCCAAAGCTTTCTTATGTCCAGTTTTCGATGAATGCCTCGCGGAGGGCGGTGATGTGGCCGTCTTTTGGTTTTGGCTGGACGCCGTTTGGGTCTGCAGGTGCTCCTGGTGGCAATGGTGGCGATATTGGCACTGTTTTAGTAACGAATCTAGCCGCGTAGGAGAAGAAGCTGTGGAAGAGCTTGCGAGCTAGTCAGCTCGGGGTGATAAACAGCAGAACGCAACTTACAGTTTCGATAGCCCATAGCATCACCATGCCCTCGAGTAATGTTGCAGACGGACATGATGCACTGTTGAACAGATCGACGGAAGCCTTTGGTGGGCGGTTTCGGTTCGTCAAAGCTGACCTCGAGTCCGTACTTGCGCTTGGTCGCTTCAAGAAACTCCAACTCCTTCTTCACATTATTGACCGCAGAGCACAGCAAGTCTAGAGACCGGAATGTTGAGTCGCGTTCGCAGTCGTCGATTTCGGGGATGCGGATCTTGCCTATCAATGTCCCGGTGAATGAGACCAGCGAGCGTGAGATATACCCGATCTGCGTCAGCCATTGATTGAGAGCGCTCGCAGTCGGCAATCCACAACCTGCATGCGACAAGAAGGCATGTTGAGTACCATTCGTCAGTAAATCTTCAGCTTGAGCCAGCAGATGTTGAGCCAACGAGGGCGCTTCAGCAAGCGGTGGTGGTGTTCTAGGTCTAGAACCACCTGGCGCCGTTGAACAACGATTGACCAGATGGCTGCATTCTGATATTGTTGATCACTCGTCAACAGCTCTTCCCTTTTAGTGGTGGAGAGAAAGTCCTTGCATTGGCTCAGATGCTCTGCCTGACAAGTGGCGTTCTTGGGTCGGACGAAGCCACAGCTCTGGCATCGGACTCGTACACACTGCTGGGGGGTCATCAGAGAGACCCTCTCGGTTGCTGGGGTAGGCCTACCTTGTGAACAGGACTGTCGTCGACGAACTCGTCAAAGTACTTGCTCATATCCACCGTCGATCGTAGTCGTGATGTTGAGTCAAGACCTTTATTAGAGTCGCTGAGAAGTCTTCTACCAGCAGCGTTGTAGGAATTCAGTGGAGCCAATTCTTGACCGTTCCCTGCCGCCCTCCACGAGGCGTATTCCGGACACTTCTGGAGATGCGACTGGGATGGTGGTGAGTGAGTTTGATTGAGGTGCGGTTCGTTATCGGGGGGTGGGGTGGATCTGACCTTCTTGCGAATAAGGACTCTGGCGCTTCCCTGCCATCGCTTGCAATGACGACAGCGGACGGTCCCACCTATAGTTGGACTATCAATTTTCTCGAACTGCGGAATCACTCAACCACTGTAACCACTATATATCAAGACCAGCGAGCTTGCGAGCTGCGTGTAATAATACCTGATCATGTGTGTATGTGTCTGTTGGCCGGGGCATGGCACTCTCATGGCATTGATGAATTGATCAATGGCCAATCAATAACTGGGCGTATATACTGTCAATGCTGGCAGTGAAAAACTTTTGATGTGAAAAAGCCCTGAAATATACATTACTTAAGAAAACCCGTGAATCCTGAAGACTCACAACGATTCCCAATTTTCCATCGGGTGCCACTGTCGTGCTTTACTCGAACAGTAGCAGGTAAATAACCCAGCCAAATAGAGCGCTCTAATTAGCTATTTAAAAACATTAATATTGGCGCCTAATACTAATACTAGTACTACTACGTAGTACTCGGGGACAGCAACTTACATTAGCGTTAGCACGGGATCTACGGAGTAGTTACTAGTGGATTAGTTAGTAACTTAATATACGCAGGTAAGTTGAACGCGATTGTATGTTTTACTTAACGGGGATTATTTTGAGGGACGCAACGCCAAGACGTTGCGAAGATCGACACCCTGATGCACCCGTGTGTATTGAATTTACGGAACGGTCCGAATCCGCCCCCATCAGATCGATCTGTCCTCTGCCCAACCAAAAACATATTGGAGTACATTAAAGCGGGGGCCACGAGCCAACACACAACCATTTAAAGCAAGTTATTGACGATCAGATTCATATGTGAAACAGCTGCCTCGTGCATTGTTGCTGCCTTCTATCTTCTCCATTATTCACTAGGCCTCCATCCTGAATCCTGATGTTAGCCCCCCTGATATTAGCCCCCCGTCTTCGCTTCAATTTCCCGAGGTCCTCAGTCTGTATAGTGCAGTTGCCGCGTCATTCTTTAGACAGAACTGAAGCTGTGATTAAGGAGGTGAGCCAGCCTGCCTGGTCTCATTCATCATTCACATCATGGTGGCGCAACCTCCAAAGGGCACCGCGCCGGAACAATCCACTCGGGTGCCCTCAACACACATCGGCCTCGACGATCAAGAGCTGGCCGAGGACGACGTGCCTCCCCCTGCCTACGGCGAATATTATGGCGAGATTCACGATGAAAAGAATGGCACGGGGACCAGTGCCCAGCTCACCGATGATGGCCGTATCGCCATTCGCATCAATCACTTCAGTCGCCAACTGTCCCGGCTTATTGCCCCCCCTCCACATGTCGAAGACAGTCGTCCGCTCCCTCCCCCATATATTCCTCCTTCCCTGCGAGGTGACCCGTCAGCCCATCTCCCTCCGCCCTTGAACATAGTCATCCAGGTCGTGGGCTCTCGTGGAGATGTGCAACCCTTCGTTGCCTTGGGAAAGGTCTTGAAAGACGTCTACGGCCATCGTGTCCGTCTGGCCACTCACCCCACCTTCCAGGACTTTGTTCAGCAGCACGGCCTGGAATTCTTCAGCATTGGCGGCGACCCGACCCGGTTGATGGCCTTCATGGTCAAGAATCCCGGCTTGACGCCGGGCTTTCGTGGCGTGCTGAGCGGAAATGTCGGCCAGCAAAGAAAACATGTTGCCGAATATATTCAGGGCTGCTGGCGGTCCTGTTACAGAGCCGATGATGGAACTGATGATGATAACCTTTCCGAGTCCTCTTCAGGAAGCGATTCTGGCTCAGCAAACCACTTTGTTGCCGATTGTATCATCGCCAACCCCCCGAGTTTTGCCCATATCCATTGCGCAGAGAAGCTCGGCATCCCGCTCCATATCATGTTCACTATGCCATATTCCCCTACCCAGGCCTTTCCTCATCCGCTGGCCAACGTTCAAGCCTCGAATGCCGACCCTCAACTTACCAATTACATCAGCTATGCCCTAATCGAACTACTCTCATGGCAGGGCCTCGGTGATATCATCAATCGATTTCGTGTAAAGTGTCTCGATTTGGATCCCGTAAGTACCATCTGGGCCCCCGGGATGCTTCATCGTCTGAGAATCCCCCACACCTACTGCTGGTCTCCGGCCCTGATACCCAAACCGAACGACTGGGGCTCTCACATATCTATCTCCGGATTCTACTTTCTCGACATGGCCTCTGATTACACACCTGCCTCTGACTTACAAGCATTTCTCAACGCCGGTCCACCTCCCATCTACTTGGGATTTGGGAGCATCGTGTTGGACGACCCCGACACGCTGACGGAACTCATTTTCGCCGCCGCGAGGAAGACTGGCCAACGTGTGCTCCTTTCAAAAGGCTGGGGAGGTATGGGCGCCGATCAGCTGCGTATCCCCGACGGCGTCTTCATGCTCGATAACGTACCGCACGACTGGCTCTTCCACCATGTCTCGTGCGTCGTGCACCATGGTGGTGCCGGAACCACGGCGGCAGGCATCGCCGCAGGCCGGCCGACTGTGGTCGTTCCCTTCTTTGGAGACCAGCCTTTCTGGGGCGCCATGATCGCGCGAGCAGGCGCCGGCCCCGATCCGATCCCCCACAAACAACTCACGGCAGACAACCTAGCCGAGGCCATCAACGCCTGTCTAACCCCCAGATGCCTGGAGCGCGCCAGAAAACTCGCAAGCAAGATCGCGGCAGAGCGAGGCAGCGACACTGGTGCTCAGTCGTTCCATGAATTCCTCAACCCTGACCGGCTCCGCTGCACTCTCGCACCATCCCGACCTGCTGCGTGGCGGGTCAGGCGCACCAAGGTCAGGTTGAGTGCTTTTGCTGCCTGTACTTTGGCGAATGCAGAGCTGTTGGATCTCGATGACTTGAAGCTCTTCAGACCACAAGAGCATTACACCGACGAGGGTCCCTGGGATCCGATCTCCGGTGGTTTTACAGCATTTGTGAGGGCTTTCAGCGGCATGACAATGGGGCTAGCTAGTGTTCCTTCGGAGACGTGGAGAGCTTTACAGATGCCGGCTGCGCGGAGCCGACAGCAGTCCCAAGCATCGGCATCGGCATCGGCGTTGGCATCGGCATCGACGACGACGACCGCGAGCAGGAGTGAGGTCTGGCCTGTCGTGGAAAGATCGGATTCGTCGATTTCATCTAGACGAAGTACCAGGCAGAGCTTTGTCAGTGAGGACTCTTCTCCCACTCTTGCTCGGAACCCTTCCAGCCTCTCTGGTCGGTCAACTCGACCTTCGAACGTGCCCAGACAAGATTATCCTGGCCGAGGTCCATCCCGCAGTCGGACTGAATCTGACGCCGGCAAACAACCCGACATCCTCCGTCCGACTGGCGTGCATGTGAGCAAAGGCGCCGGGCGTTTCGCCAGGGCGGTTGTGCAAGGACCCGTGGATATTTCAGTGAATTGGACGAGAGGCTTTCACAACATGCCTAGGCTTTGGGGAGACGATACCGTACGCCCTCAAGAAAAGGTTAGCGATTTCAAGTCAGGCGTCAAGGCAGTAGGAAGAGAGTTTGGCTATGGCTGGTACGATGGCGTCACTGGCCTGGTCACCCAGCCCTGGAGAGGCGCCCGGAAAGGGGGTGCCAGCGGCTTTGCGAAAGGAATTGGCAAAGGACTCGGGGGATTTATCGCCAAGCCAGGCGCGGCGTTTTTCGGTATCCTGGGGCATACGATGCAGGGGGTCAACAAAGAGGTGCAGAAGTTGTTCGGCAGTGATGTGCAGAGCTATATCATCTCATCTAGGGCAACTCAGGGTTATGAGGAGTGGCTGCGGGGCTCCGAAGCGGAAAAGCAAGACGTCATCGCTCGGTGGAAGCTGATCCAGAAGGATCTGAAAAAAAGGAAAAAGAAAAGGAAAAGGAGATCCCTAACGAGGTAACGCGAGAAGCCCAGGAAGTATACCAACAGACGAACTCGGGCAGCAGTGCAGATGCTTGGACCCAAGATCCCACCAGAACCACGTTCGACATGGGTGGTGTTTCACAGTCATCTCTGTGTTCTACCAACACAAGATCGTGGGATGCGGCTGAAGCCACGTCGAACGGAGACGCAGCACATGATGACGACGACATGGAACTCGTGTCTAGACTCCAGTCCCCACGGCATGTTCACCAGACAGATCGGGGTCTGCGTGACGAGAAAACGCCTCAGGAGAAGACGGAAGAAGAGGTTGTGATAGAGTACATCAAGAAGCAGAGTCTGTTGGAAGTGCAACACCAACACAAAGGTAAGGGTCGTGAAACAGCGATAGAGGATGAGGACGATGAGAACGATGAGGACTTGCAGAAAGCGTTGAAGTTAAGCATGCAAGAAGAACACGAACATCGGTACTGATAGATTCTTTTTATATAAACAAATGACCTGAACTAACTCAAGCTTAACATGACCTGGCCTCTCTTTTTTTCCCTACTGGTCATCTTTGTAATATCATAATCGTATACATATATGGTTTTGAGAGATGACGTGCTGAGGGAACTATTAAGGGAGCAGATCCAGCGGAGAGTTGCATACTATACTTGACTAAATATCGAAGTTTTGGCTTCGACTTGTCTTCTAACGCTATTGAGGCCAGATAACGTCGCTGAAGAAAGCACTGTAGTCTAACCTGTATACCTACGCTGCCGTAGACGCTCTCACTTATCAAGTTGAGAGAAGGGGACTGGGAACGCCAGGCAAAGACAGCTGCTTCCTCAGTTCTCGCTTAAGCATTTTGCCGCTCGCACTTTTCGGTATCTGATCGATGAAGATGATTCGGTCCTGGAGACGGCAAACTTCAGGCAGTTCCAGGTCGTTGTAATCCCGGATTTCCCTTCGAAGATCGGCCTCGCTTGTCTCAGGTGCATACGACGGCTCCCGGACCACGAAGGCCAGAACTCGCTCACCAGCTACTTCGTCAGGGATTCCGATGACGGCGGTCTCGGCGACGGCGGCATGTTGGATCAGATGCGCCTCGATTTGACCAGGGGCGACTTGGTTGCCCTATAAAAAAGGTTGGCAGGGCTAGATAAAAGGTTGGCCAGGGTGCGGGATTCACACCACACCTGGTCTTGAGCCGCCCACTCACCTTGACCTTGACCATGTCCCGGATACGATCTACAATGAACAGATGGTTCTCGCCGCTGGGGGCCGCGCGGAAGAGGCCGACGTCGCCTGTTGGCCACCAGAAGTCCGCATTGTCTGTAGGCGGGAGAAGCGCATCGCTGGCAGAGTCAATGTGCCCGCGCACGAGGCTGGGAGTGGCAATCTCGATCTCGCCCATTTCCTCGAGAGTCTCAATCTCACGGCCGTTATCGTCTTTCAATCGGATGCGGACGCCCGGAAGCAAGACCCCACTCGAGCCCGGGAAGATGTCGCTGATATATGACAGCTGATATATGACAGGGACCCGACACCGCAGGTTTCGGTCAGACCTGACTGATTGTCAGATCATTGCTCAATCTACACTCTCAGGAGAATCCTACCCCAGCCGCTGAGAATTCGCACTTGGGGGCACACGGCTTGCATCTTGGCAAATGCTTCTTTACTCAGAGGTCCACCTCCCGACACGATCAAGCGAACGGAGCTCAAGTCGAATTGAGCCAACGTAGAGCCAACGTAGATCCATTTCGCGACAGAGCGTTGATAACCGGCGGCACCTACACCCATCAGCTTGCGTTCCAGATATCCCTGTGAGCCGGACTAGGAACTACCAAATAAAGTGTATTGATGCGGTATTTGGCGATAGAGGCCATGATCTCCATGAAGTTAAAGCCACGATGGATGATGACGCTGTCGCCAATATACATCAGCAGATGAGCTGTCCAAAGACCATAGATGTGGCTGAACGGCAGGCAAGCCAGAGCTATCGCGGAGCCTGTTTCTCTGGTTGTCTCTAGAAACTCTGAAGCCTGCAGGATGCTGGCGATGAGGTTTTCGTGCGTGATGGCCACGATGCGCTACCAAGCAATAACAAAAAGATATCTGATCAGTATCACAAGACATGTGGAGCCGTATGGTATTAGTTACCTAGAAACCAGATGTGCCGCTCGTGGTACAGTAGTACGCCACACGTCGAGTGGCTTCGTTGACAGACAAAGCACCCTTCTGCACCGGAGGTAGATCCTTAGCGACTGCGATTAAGTCATCAAGAGTCGTGATTCTGGACAGGTTGGTCGCTCATCCGGGCACGGACAGCCTGTAGAGTGGCAGATCTGCTGTAGAGTGGCAGATCTGCTGTAGAGTGGCAGATCTGATAGGGAGCTCAGTTGAACGGCTTCTTGGGCTAGAGGGAGTAGCTCTTGTGAGGCAAACATGGCGAACGGCGGCACAAGATCGAAGTGGCCTGCGATTTCCTCAGCCGAACTCGCAGGCTGCATCATGGGGCAAGCACCGCCCATGCGGTGGATAGCCCATGAAAGAATCAGAATGTCGACCTAGAGGCCACTCAGATTGGAGTTTCCCGATGAGGAGCTGTCGAGGAGACCTACGCTGTTGGAAGCCAAGATGGCGACAATTTTATGCCACTTTTGCCCGGGCACAAGCTGCCACAACGAGCACAAGGCGGCCGCTACCTGAGCGACGCGAGCACTGATTTCGTCCTGGGTCCATGCCCGATCGATTGTTGCCTCGATGAAGGGGGCTCGCTTGTCTGCTGGGTCCGATCCGATGGTCCTGGCAAGATGTTTTGCCAGGCATAAATCCCCGACCGGCTCTTCGAGCGGGACCGATGGCAAAGAAGGAAAGAAAGTCGGTGGTGTGAAGATCATGATCATCTACAGAGAAAAGCAAACATGAAGGTTGCCTAGGCGGATCTTTGGAGGCGCTCGCTATATAGGGCATGAGGGTTATCTGCTTTGCAATGGTTGTATGTACTACGGAGTAGTAATATAGGTCCAGCGTAATTCGCCGTGGATTGAAATTGACCAGTTACATTCATAATTATGTTCATAGACTATTCCGCTTTCCGAAATTTCCATTTATTATTTACAGGGCAAGGCCACATAAGTCGATATAATCCCTGTCTTAGTGAAACCGATGAGATCCAATCGCTCCCGTTCCCTGTAGGAGACTTACACTAGTGTTTTATTCTTATAGCCATGGCGTGGACGATCATGTTCTTTTGACCGCTTGGCGACGCATCTCAAAATGGAGTAAAAGTAAAAATACAACTGGGAATATATGGCGCTAGGCACCAGCCATGTCCACAGGTTGTGGATAACTCACCTTTTCTTTGTTTCCATTATTTACGGGTCTTTTTGGGATGGGCGATTCTGTTGCTTATTTTGTTTTCCCTTTCTTTTCTCCTCACTTCGTTATTACCTGCCTACCATTTCCCTACCACACAACTTGATCCCTATACATCAGATATGGCCGAGAACAACGGCCTCGACTACATCGTGCGAGGGCTGCAGCTGCTCTTTGCCCCCATCGTCATTGGAACAGACGCCTACGGTACGTACCGCGAACTCACCCTTAAAGCCTTACGAGTACTGACCCCGATAGCGATTCACGTGTTTCATGGACACGATGACCACGTTGACTCGCCCGTCTTTGACGGTGACGCCACCCTTCATGTCGGTGTCCCTGCTGCATGGAGTTTCTTGATGTTCTGTGCCGTCTGGACGGTCCTGGTCGTCGTCTGGCACTTCGTCGAGCCCGGCCTCGCAAGTCGCCCGACGATTAGATACGTTAGTATCCTCGCCGAGGCCGTGGCTGTCCTCTCGTGGCTCGCCGGCTTCATTGCCGTGGCTGTCAACGTTTCGACGACCGATGCCTGCTCGTCCGGACAAATTTCGTGCGCGGAGCTCAAGGTGGCGACGGCTTTTGGTGCGTTCGAATGGCTGCTGTTCATGATTACCGCAATCCCGGCTCTCACGTCCTTGTTCAATAACCCGAAACGGGTCAGTTCCTCATGAATATCAGAACCAGGGATGCGCCACGGAGTTGAGAAGACTTAATTGTAGTTGTTGATGCTTCTGCTAATATGTCATATTCGGCTGGGCCAGGCAGTCACAATATTTACTTTTCTGGGTCACGCGCCAAACACCAACAGGTGCCTGCCTTGACGGTCGTTACAGATATTTTAGGTTATTTCAGGAGGACTGTCGGATCGGTTTTATTCGGGTGATTCTAGTCAAGAAGACAGATAATAATTACGACACAGCTCAGGGGTCGCATTGAGCATAGGTAGGCTTCGGAAATGCTGATTTATGTGTCATGGTTGCTATAATCTACCAGCGTTATTCTCTGTAGTTTTTGCGTCGTGCGTAACGAGATATGACAAGATTACTTATTTCATACTCATTGTTAAAATAGAGACACTCATCAATGAAACTCGCAGCCCACACCCTCCCTACCTTTAAATTCCGCAGCTACTGTGTGCTTGGAATGTCAATAAAAATTTGCAGACATACTTAGGGACACTTGACGAAAGAAAAGAGGAAAAGCAGGCGATTACTGATAAACGAACTCAGTATAGGAAACAAATATACATCTGAAAGTAAGTCCAAACTACTAGTACCGTGAAACACAAGCAAAATACTATATAAACTTTATCCATAGTTATGGTGTTTCAACCTAGCTTCGACACGGCTTCTTGGAGCTTGACTGGGACCAATCTCGATTTACTCGCGACCAACTGGATCGGATTATCAATGCCCCTAGACTCACGAATGACGAGAATCGAGATGTCAGCAGCCAGCATCGCCACGACCCAGTTGCGAAGTTCAACCACCACCAACGAGTCGACCCCGTACGAGTCGAGCGTCCGGTGAAGCAGGATCCGGTCCACCGGCATGATAATCAACTTGCTCAGCTCGTCCAGCACCGCGGCTCCGACGGCCTCGACTGCCTCTTCTACAGTGTTGGCATGCCCGATCTTTTCGATGTGGTCTGAGCCACTGCCGCTGTTATCGTCCAGCTCTACACCCGCGAAGCGAGCAGAGTCCTAGACCAGGCGTGAAACGTGCCGCTACTCGAACCAGTCCGGTTTCTTGACGCCAGCGTCGGGGACCAGGCCCAGGGCCGCTTGACACTCCAGTCCACGGGCAGTCAGGACGTAGTCGAGCGTCGCGAGGAGCTCGGCGACGGAGATGAAGGGAAAGCCCTGGCGTTTCATATTGGCGAACACGGCTGGGGACTCACTGACGAAGTCAGCGTCGCCCACGACTCCGACATCGATCGCAAACCCGGGCTGGCCGCGGCTTCGTCGATAGTGCATGAAGGCGTCTTGGAAAGCACATGCAGCCGTGTAATTCACTTGGGCCGGGTGACCGATGACTCCGGCGACGGACGAAAGGACCACGAAAAAGTCCATATCAGTTGGCAGGACCTCGTGCATGTTGCGGGTTCCAGCAACCTTAGGGGCCAACGACGCCTCCCATTGCCAATGTTCCATCTGATCAAACAATACATCCTGTTTCGGTCAGTCACCTGCTTTTCGGTCTAAGTATAAGCGGTATAAGTATAAGTACTGACCTCGAGCGCCATCGCGGCGTTGATGACACCTCGAATGTGGCCTACCCCATCGACAGCCTGGAGATCTCTGACCACAGCTTCCACGGCCTCTTTAGAAGCAATGTCATAAGCCTTTGAAAGAACTTTGACGCCCTGGCTGTGCATTTCCGCGATACATGCCTTCGCAGCGGAAGTTTTGGCTCCCGATCGCGACAAGTTGACAATCGTGCGTGCGCCTCTCGAGGCAAGCCATCGGATGAGATACACCCCCAGCCCTCCAAATCCACCGGCCAGGATGTACGTGGCGGAGGGCAGCAACTCCGGAAGGACCGGGGTCTCAGGAAGTGCCTGCGAGCGTCAGTATGTATAATTATACTTGCGTAATCAGTTTACGTACCGCAACCATCTCGTCTGGATCCGCCGTCAGGATCACTTTCCCCATGTGCCTGCCGGCTGAAATCATGCGGAAGGCAGACTCAATCTCGCCCATCTTGAGCTGATGAACATGGAATTTGTCTTGGTTGATCGTCTGCACCAAGTCCACCACGACGTTGATCAATCAATCAATCAATCAAAGTTCAATTAACCTGTTGCAGTCTAACTAGTTGCGTATGACTATGCAGGCGCTTCATCCAACTGAAGCAAGAACTCGAAGCCAAACGCCGAGCTGGAACCACATAGTGCATCCCATAGAGTATACAGATACTGATCGTAAAGAGTGCGGAATTAGCCCATTCCTGTAACCCGTAGCCCTATAAATCCAAACCCATCCCAACCCATACATAAGAAATTAACATATAATGATAGTTGTGGAGTGCACCTTCCACCTTCCATCTCTCACTTCTCTCTCACTTCTTTCTTACTTCTCTCTCTGTAAACCCTCCCCTGCCTCAGTTTCAATTGATGGTAACGTTGTCCTGGCCAGTTGATTGGCATGTTTGACGACTTTGACTGAGTTCTCGTTTCACAGCATCATTTGTCGTCATTAGCTAATACCCATCGTCTTCCACACCTAGGTCCATTGCCGCAAGGCCTATCGGTTCGTCGTCGTCGTCCTCGGGTGTCATATATTGGAACTGCTGGAGGAGACCTATCCGGTACATAAAGTTGACCACGTAGCGGATGGCCTACGGGTTAGATATGATCTTATTATAGTCTATCTCTGTGAATCTAACCCCAATCTTATCTAGCTGTTCCCATAGTTTCGACCGCTAGATGACATATAGTAGACACTACATTAGGATGTGCTTTAGTGTCTATGAGCCCTCGTCATAGTTGTACCGGTTAGTCTCGGCTGCCTTGATCTTGAATAAGAAGTGTCGAAGGCCGATCTATATTATGCGTATTTGAATCAAAATTGTATATTATAGTTTCGATAATCCCTCGTATAGCCGAAGCGTCTTCTTATTCGGCGCCTATACTAAGCGCTTTGTAGGTACAGAGGTTGTCTCCCGTTCCTACTGCTTTTCCTACCGCTCTCTGATTCGTTAGCGTACTACTCTCTTAGCAGCTATAGCGAGACGGATTATCGGTTTCCCTGATTCGCTGATCCCGGTCGTAACTCCTATCCCTATACTAAGAAGCGCTGTACTCTTTGCTTCTCTATCGGTATATTTATTACCGTCTATACTAACGTATATAGGGATCTACCTAATAGTGATGTTCGTTAGCTGGTTTTATAACCGGATGGTTCGTACGTAGTTATATATTAAGCCGAGTACGTACTAGCTAGATGTTATGATATAATCAGACGTGAGGCCATTCCCAGATTGGTGCCTCAGGCCTATAGGAGGTTTGACCTCTCCGGAGGGGGATCGCCTATGTTTCCCTCCCCTTCCGAGAAGGGTTCCCCGCGGGAACGAGACCCCGCTCTACGTATTATATTTCCTCCCGCTATTAATATAGGGAGACTATATATAAATTGGACTATATAGAGGAAGCCTAACGGCTCTTTAAGAAATAGTCTTTAACTTTTAGGGAACTACCTATCTTATTACCTTCTCCTACCTAATTAATAGGTACCTACCCTAAACTTATAGAGTATCTTTTAATAATTCTATTTCTTCTTCTTTAATTACCTAGGAGAATAGTACTAAGAACTCGCTCTACTCCCGCTATAGAGGAGATACCGAACCCTCCCCGAACTACTAGAGAAATACCCCTTACTAAAGCTATTTCCCGGGCTAACCCGGTCGAACTAATTACCGACCTTAATACGAATCTTATAGCGACTTAAGCTACTATAGAGAAGCTATAGAGACTTAAGGACCTCTAGGATTAGGTTAAGACTCTTAGATCTTAGCTTATAGGCCGAACCCTAAACGAACCCCCGATAAGCCCCTACCGAGATATTTACGATACCTCTAGTAGGGACTAAGAAATTAAACTTAAGAGTATACCTATATTTACCCTTAACTATACCTTATAATAACGCTAAGAGTAGCTCTTAGACCTATAATAATAATTTAAGGGAGCGCTAAGGCGCTACTACGACGATCAGACCTAGATTCTTAGAGTACTTAGTAATATAGATATAACTTATAGGTAGAGATAGTATAAATATATTAACGAAAAGATACCGGTTCTACTATAAAACCTTAAGGAAGACTAGGCCTTGACAAGTCCCGCAGCACCAGCCAATTTTTGGTTCCGGTGCTGTGGTGCTGCGACCATACCTATTTAGGCTAGAAAATTACCTAGATAGGAAAGTGATCGGCATGATAATGCCAAGGCAGCACTGAAACTAGCGCCTTGGCCCCTACTTGGCGCCAAGGCGGGACCAAATCGGCGGGACTTGTCAAGGCCTAAGGAAGACTAGCCCTATTTTAAAGACTAGACCTTAACCCTTATTAAGAATATAGCTACCTTAGAATCTAAGGTAATAGGCTAACTTAAGAAGGCCTATTAATAGAGAGATAAGGACCCTTAAGAATTCTATACGCGTCTCGATACCCTAGAACGTTATTTCCTAAGGATAGTAGAAAAAGAGAGGGCTCTTTCCTTCTTTATAAAACTCTTATATAACCTCTAAGACAAAATCCGCCGCTATATTATTAAACTCCCTAAAACCTAGGAAGATATAATTAATATCGCGTATTACTTCTAGGACCTTAAGAAATTAGAGTCGAATCGTAAACGAAAACGTACTGAAACTATCGAGAATACGCTATAGAAAAGAAACTCCGATCGAAATTCTTAGAAGCCCTAATTTATAGGAAAACTAAAATCTAAGGAAGATAAGGATATACTATCGGATAGGCGCCTAAACCCTATTAGAGATAATAGGAAACGTAACTAATACTTTAATTATAGGAGCGAAAAACACTACTCTAATAAATACCTAAACCCTACTAAGGGCTAAATAACTATAATAGTATAGTTAGCCCTATAGGGAAACGATAGCGAGACGGAGTAACTCTTATACCTCCGTCTTTTCCTATAGTAGGAACTAGAACTCGGCTTTACCTTCCGATTACTACCTAGAACGATCTCGAAACCTACGCGGATCTTAATAGTGAGATCCCAGAAGCCCATTTCCTATGTATATAGCACTATTGGTCCCTATGCGGGACCCTACGGGCCCGCACCGGACCGTTTCTACGTCTATGGGTACTATAGTACTCCGTAGATAGTAGTATTTAGTAGTTAGAAACCCCAAGTAATAGAAAGCATACGATCCTTTCGAAATCACATCTGGTAGCATGTCGGTATAGGCTATCTTCTACGATAAGCCTAGGGAGGTACGGGACGGCACCGTCCATGCCCGAACGTAGTAAGGACGGTTCCAACCCCCTCTCGTACCATCCCGACAACGATCCAGCGGACCTCTAAGGCTAGGTATAAAAGAAGTCTTTATAACCATCTCTCTCTCCCTCTCCTTCTCCCTTACTAGCTACCTTTCGCACTTACTATACCTCTACGGCCGGCCCCGGGGACGTTTGTCCCGGAAAGACGGAGAAAAACGGAGATAGGGAGATAACCTACCCCTCCGAGATACGAAGCGGGCCTATATACGGCAAAACGCGGGAAGTGAAAAAAACCGCGCGTACCCGCGCGGGAGAGATCGAGGCCGTAAAGACGCTAATATCGGCCAAATACCTAGTAAGATCCGTATCTAGACGCTGTTATAAAATATTAATAGCCTCCTGACCTAATAAGAGGAATAAAAAGACGTAATATTACTTCCTCTAAGAAAGAAACTAACTCGCGCGAAACTAACTATATCTGAATAGACCCCCTAAGGAACTACTAAGGCCTAATTCCGGACTAATCTTCTAGTAGAGGTTAATACGGCCCTCGACCTACTAGATATAGAAGAACGAAACATCTTCCTCTATATATACTCTAGTATAGACTATTAATAGGTTAACCCCCTAGTCGAATAGGCCGCGAATCGGGTCTAGTCCCTCTGGGCGGAATAGGCTAAGTCCGCGTGACTTATAACGGCCCTCGTAGCTATTAAAACAACGCCCTAGGGACCTAATACGTCTCTTAGGGGAGAATAAACGTCCGCGAATATCTATAAACGGCCCCTAGTAATAGTAACCGGTAGCTTCTAGGCTATAGATAAGGATACCCGTAGGAGGTTCTTTAACGACCTCCGAGTAATCGCTAATTACGATAGCGCTATCCTCTATAACGCCGCCTATAAATAGACGCGCGACTACGACCGGTACTTCTCGGAGCTAGTAAGACTTACTAGGTACGACTCCCCTAACGAGGTAAAGATACTCTATACCTCGGGTAAACTAGTGAGAACCGCGCGGTAACGACTAGAGTAGCGCGAGAAGTACTATAACCTACTCGGGACTGATAATTTCTCTACGTAGGCTACCTTTAAAGAATAGCTCGAATAGGAATTCGTAGAATATCTATCTACCGAGAAACTCTATAAGCGCTATAAAACGCTTAAGTAGGGTAGTTAGTCTATTTAGGAATACGCCGCTAACCTCTAATAAGTTATCTCCGACCTTAATTAGGATATTCCGGACCTAATACTCGTCTAACGTTTTGTTATAGGAATAAAGACTATATACCGCGTTAAATAGGCGGAAGAACGGGACTAACTAAAGATAATCAAAGACGTTATCTTCCGTTTCGCCTAATATAAATAAGGCTAAGCTATCGCTCGGAGATATAAAGGTACTATGGCTCGATACCCTAACGCTATAGATATCGATAAGGTCGTTAATATGATAGAAATACGACCTATATAGACGCCCCTAGGCCCGATAGAGACGCGCGAATATTATAATTGCGGGAAAAGGGGATATCTAGCCCGCGCGTACCGGAAACTAAAGATAGAGGAAACTAAACGGAAGCAAAAGGCTACTTTCGAACGATCCCGGTAACCGTCGAAAAACTAGTACGGCTATATAACGTAGAAGCCCTTATCGGCCGTCTTTAAAAGGCTCCCGAGCTACTATAACTTAACGCGGACGATATTCTCGACCCCCGTTACCCCGCAAACACCCGCGCGTACGCCCGGCC